AATGCAACAATTAATGAATCCAAAGATGAAGTCGAAGTGACGACTGCTTCTGATATTCCAAGCAGTACAATTCGAAATTCATTGCGTGATCGCAAAGTTGGAAGAAATCGAGTTTCAGATAAATTACATTCAACATCTGATGAAAAGATTCGAATCAATAACCAAGGTCTTGAAATAACAAATAATAAATCCCAAGATGAAAGCGAAGTGACGGCGACTTCCGATGTTCCAAGTACAACAAATCGAGCTCTATTGAATGATGGAAAAGTTGCAAGAAATCGAGTTTCGAATAAATTGCAATCATCGTCTGAAGAAATTCTAAGAAGTGAGAACAGAAAACGACAGAAAAATTTAAATCAAAAAAAGATTTCTGAGAAACAATTTTCAAACAGCAATGCAATCAAAGATGAATCAGAAAAAATAACAAATAATCTTGAAAACTTAGCAACAACGTCTAAGGAAAACATTTCAAACAATATTCAAACTCCTGACCCAGCAGATGTTAAATCTCAGGATGAAATAGAAGTGACGACGATTGCAGATTTTCCAAGCACAACTCAAGTCGCATCAGGAGGTTTCAGTGCTGCAAGAAGTCGTTTTTTGCTTAAATTACAAAACAAACTCAAAGGAAATCAAGAAAATAACTTTTGATGAAAATTTTTACTTTGGCAGTGACAAAAGCAAAAACATTTACTAAATATCCAAACGTTGTCAACATTCAACTCGATGCTTTTCAATTATTTTCTTAATTCAATTACATTTAAAGTTATTCAAATGAAATTGAATAAAAATTTGCCATTTAATTTGAAAGAAAAATAAAATTTACCTGTCTATCCAATAATATTTCAAATGAAACTTAATTTAGATTGATGCAAAGCTTACTTATAATGAGAAGAAAAGGAAATTGGATTAAATTCCAGCTTTACCAACTTAGCAGTGCATTAAGCAAACTCTTTGAATGAAGAAAATTTTATTTATGCATGTCGAACGGCAACAAATGGCGCAAAAATTTATGTCAAGTAACTTATTTCAAATAAGTTATTAGGAATGGAAAAGCAATTTTCACGACCTGAAGAATTTTTTTTCATAAATCAGTCGTGCGAAAAGAAGCTGAAAGTTGGTATGTAAGGAAGAAGAAATTTTGGTCGCGATAGGAATTTTGATGTGTTGTCATGCAGAATAATTGTATCGTGTATGTTAATTTCATCGTCATTCATGGTGAATGTTGTCGCGTTCACGGAAACACGTTTGTAAGTCGATTTCAAACAATTACGTCAATCTTGAAGCTTATTTAGTCTCACATCACAAAAAGCTTCTATCAGCTGACAAGCTGATCAAGCTTCCACTCGATTTCACTAATGTAAAATGACATGACTGACGGATGTATCCCACAGGTAATTTCAATCAGCTTTGAACTTATGCGTTCTTCACCTTGACAATCCTTTTGAGTTCTTATCGACATTCCAAATATTTTCCTTCATTTTAGATTGAGTTTGCATTAAGAAAAATGTTTAACGTGCTTGTTTCTGTTAAGTTCCTTCAAAAAATAAGAAAAAAAATGTTTACGTCAATTCATGTTTCGTAAATTGATTTGTTTTGTATTTATATTTGTAGCTCATGCTTTAGTACTCTCCCTCTTTCTGTAAATGCAAACAAACAAAATCAATTTTAAATGAAAAGAAATATTCCAGAAAAATTCTGCAAATATTTACGTTCAAGTTTTTCAGGAACTTGTTTTTCTTTTATTTTATTTATAAAATTTATTTCGATACACCGCAAGGTAAAATTTTTTCAATATAATTTCATAAGTTCAGTTTCATTCAAGCTATTGTTCGTTCTGTGATGGCAAAATGTCGACAACACCAGGAAAAGAACACAATACACAATCACATAATACACAAATTCGATTGGAAAATTGCAATCGTTTTTCACCAACTAAATGAAGAATCAATGAAGATTTTTTGAAAATTCTCTCATAATCTACTCACCAATTGTAAAGTATGAAGAAGAATAACAATAATTTCACTCGCCTGGAAAGATAAAATTTCGATTTCTCTTTCAGTTTATGTAATGAACACTCACTGTAAGAATTGCATGAAAGGTACGAAACCATTGGAAGTTTCGCTTCATGCTAGGGAAAAGACTAATTATCGTCAAATATCCGTAAGTAATTGAGTGCACAAATGTGTTTATGAAAGCAAAGAACGTAGCGTGCCCTCCAGGAACAAATTTTACAGCTCCCCAGATCATACTGGCAAAGATAGAATTTTTTTCCTTTTAAATAGCTCATCATGCATTGTATGTGGAATTGTCATAGTAACAACTTACTTCGGTAACAAGAAATGATGTATAACATGGTACTTTGTTATAAGCTCATATCGCTTTCCACAAACCAATATCAATGTCTCCAAGAAATCAGTAAATTTAAACATCAAAAACCACCATGAAACCTTCGCAATCTAGAATGAAACAATTGAAAGAGTTTGACTATAAATAATGAATATGAGACTTTTGAAACTTACAGTAAATCCAATTCCCTCACTTGATCGATTTACTGGTTCACATCTTTTGATAAAAACAAAGTAAGAATTTGAAATGTCTTTGAAGTTAGAAGCTTTATTTACCTCCAGCTATAAGTCGACAACCATCCCAAGGAGCAAGAAAGATAGAAGAATATTATGTTGATAGATAAATGCCACAAATTATAAAATCTTAAGCTTTGTTTGATGTCAAACGCTTTCCGATTTTCCATATATCTGGGAAAAAGAATCTTGAAACTGATTTCATTATAAAATGTTAACGATGTAAATAAGTTGAAATCTCACTTGAACATTAATTAAGTAAGTCAATGATATTAAAAGCACAGGCAACGGTGAACTCATAAGAAACATTTTAGATGTTCGTTGATCTGATTCTATATCAAAAAGGTTTTTCAAACCATCGCAAATTTTCATTAATGTAGTCATTTTATAAATATAAATGATGAACTTGTTATAAGTAATATTTTAATGTTCACTCCACAAGGGCGTATCAGGAACTGATAGATTATTTCTAAGAGTGCTTGAAGTGATTCGTGATGTTTACTTAATATCTCGTTGGAACTGATTACATTACAAGATATGCAAATAAAATCATTCAATAACTCAGATCATAATATTTATGTATTTACTCTGCAGACAGATTAAATAAAGCCCAACCTAAATTCCATTTTTAAACCGTCAAAGAAATTCTGTTTGAAATGTGCAAATTATGACAATTATCGCGCACAAAATTTCAATCACTTGTGACGATTATAATTGAGACTTCTTTTATTGTCATTTTCATGTAAATGTGAATTAATATTTGGAGGTCATGCATTTGGCTTCTCTTTCTTGATATATTTTACTATCTGTCCAATTCCATTCATTCATTCAAAGCAAATAATCTTGTTAAACAAGATTTGAAATCTTTCAACTACCGTGACAGCTTCAAATTAAATTTTCCATCGTCTTGGCTTTGAAATGAAAAGATTGATTGTCTAGATCATCGTAGAGAGACATTTGCTACAAAATTGAATCGTAAATTCGGGAGAAATTCAAAATGATATCTTTGTCTGATCACTGTACTGTCCCTTTTTCCCTAAGGAGAAATGAAAAACGTATGATAAGGAAAGAACATTTCTGAGTTGTTATTTCTTCGAAGTCGTAAAAATGAGAGGATGAATGTGTGATGAAAGGAAATATAGCCAAGGAAAACGAAAGAAAAAGAAAAGTCATAAAAAATATTCATGTTTGAAGTGTAAACTTCTTTCTTTCCTTCTTTACTCTAAATGTATGAATTCGAACATTGTTTAATATAAAAAAAATGATATTCATAAGCTTTTATCAAGGGTGATGCATGAAAATGATTCTTGATGGAAAAAGTTTTCAATACTTCAGACGTGAAACGACATCGTAAAGTTGGCATCATTTCAATGTTTTTTCTTTCCTTTCTTTTAAAATTTCTACAGTGGTTTTGAATAAATGGCAAATAGATTTAAGGATTAGTAAATATTCCTATTCGTTTTCACTTATCAGATATAAATTCTCTAGAAAATTCTAGATATGTACATAAAAAATATTTATGAAGCTAAGAATGAGAAATTGTTGACATAACGAAGCAATTCAGAGCATGAAAATCCAAAATTTGGTTATTCTATTCAATTTCAATTTTCTATTCGTTGGTTTAAGCGCAATAATATCAAAATAAGCAAACAATAAGAAAGTCAAAAGAAGGTGAAATTCTTGAACAGGAAACAATTCATTGAACTGAATAATGTTGTGGATTTAACAATGTGCTTTTAACCATACTCGTTATGCTTAATGTTGAAAGAAGAATACATTATGATTGCATTTCTTTCTTCTTATAAATCTTTTCATGATTATGCATGAAGTAAAATTTTATAAAAATTCAGATTTATCTCATGTGGATGTAAAATATGTGGACGTGCATTTGCATCAATACAGAATGCTGCTTAGAAAAGCAAAGATTTGCTCTATTTATTTTATGTTTTAACTTTTCTTATCAAACATATTTATTTGACAACTAAAGATTTGAACAGATGATGATACTTTGAAGTCCTTTGCCTCTTTCGTTGTAAACATGTAACCTTTCATTCATGAATATTTAATAACAAAGCATTTGTTCACCATAAGCTCCAGACTTGCTTCCATGCTCATTTTTCTCCATAAGTTGAAACTGGTCCAAGTTTCTCCTCGCACAAGGAATGATAGAAAAAGTTTCTGCTTTCCCAAAAGTTTCTTTTTTATATTAATTCTGCTCAAGTTGTCTTCATAGTTGACTTCTTTTGATTTGATTGCTTGTTATAAACATTTCCAATGTTATTACAATATATGAGAAGTGTCTAATATTTCTTAAGTTAATGTAAGAAGACTACGTTCTTTGAGTGTTTGCATAAAAGGACTTTGAAAATGCCTGACGTAAATTATATTAAATTGGACAAAGAAGTCTTCCAGAAACAAATTGGCAATTATTCAAGGAAAGCAGAAAAGTATTTTCCTATAAATTCAATGAATATTCAGAATCTTAAATACCTACGAAAAGATTTCCTTTTGAATGCATTTAAATATCAAATACTTTTGAATTTAAATACATTAAAAAGCTCAAGAAAAAGCTCATAGAAAATTCCTTTGAATGTTCATTCATCAAAATGTTATTCAATAAAAAGAAATTAATGAGTGAAAAATTGAAAGATTCTTGTCTGAACGATAGAATGTTAAATGAATTGTTCAAAATACTCTCAATTTATTATCTATTTAAAAAAATTATGCCATAAACATTTCTTAACAATTTTTTCTTTTTATTTACTAAATATCAACTTAAATAATTTTAAAAGTGAAAGAAATTCATAAGGACATGCTCTGAAGTAATTCAGGTTGTCTGGGGAGCAAGGCTCATGTTGATGCCAATAAATATTTAATTATAATGCTTCAGAAATTTCTTAAAAAGTAGAAAATTCCTAGTAGGAATAACTAAATGGCATTTCCTCTCGAAATTCTTGTCATATCTTCGACAAAAACAAAAATGTGGTCCACAAAAAGACGAAATAAGAAAATGTTTTGGTCCTTTCACGTCTATGGACTTAACAAGAAATGGCTTTTGTCATAATCTTGATGCTTTTTCTAGAAATGATTAATTTGAAGCACAAGAGATCATGGAAAAGATAAAAAAGCTTAACGAAGATATTCAAGTAACTGATGAATATTTCCTAAATTAACTTCACTAAACATCAAATTGAAAGATTCAAACGATAAATCACGAACATCCCAGACACCCCTACAAAAACACTTCAAAAGAAGTTAATTGTATTCAACGTGATACTCGAGACATGACAGCATTTATCAAGTTTGCACTATGCAAAGGTCACGATCTTTAATCACCTTCACACAGATTTATTTCAATACACCAGCAACTTATTCAGAATTTAAACTTTGCAACACCATAAATTAAAATGCTATCAAATGACAATTATTTCTTTTCTTGTTTGCACGTAGCACTCAATATCGTTTCTATTGCAGCGAAATCCTTACAAAAAATAAACATAAATTTCTATAAGACTTTAGTGTAAGTTAAAATAGAAAGGAGAAGAAGAATGAGACGAGAATATTAAGCATCGTTCAACATAAATATCTACAAACATTTCTATAGAACAACATGATGCATCGTTTACCAACATAAATGAAAATGAACAAAAATATGTAACATTTGTTTTCCCTATAAATGCTGAAACTCGCGATGATGAAAGTTGTCAGAGAGATGACTGAGACCATTGTTTTTCCGACAGTTGACAGCATAGCGAGCATAAACGCAAACATACATCACAATTCATATTACATCAAATTGAATGTTTTTTTTTTCACTTCTTAAAGCTTTGGAATTGCATGAAAATGATATCGAAATATACTTTGGCATTAAAGTGCTTGTAAATAATCGAGAAACCCTCTAATAATGTTGGAATAATTTTTCATTTGAACATCTATTTTGATGAATTCTTTCAAGCTTTATTACCTCTAAATATGTTTGTGGAAACGACGGAAAAGCACTGCCTTCATCTGTATTTGATTCCTCGTAACTTTGACACGTTTATTTGACTTTTATTGAAGATATAGTTTTGCAAGCAACAAATCATCATTTCCAGAGACTTCAGGAAGCTCAGAATTCACTCGAATGTTTGTATCTTCTTTATTAGCATGCTTTGAAGGATATATTTTTGATTTTAGTGCTGCTATTATCTTGGCTTTTATCTTTTACAATTTTTTTATCAGTTTCGTGACATGAGACATTCACTTAGCAAAGCTTTGCTGTTCTTCGTTTCCTTGTTCGTTCTCTTGCATGTAGATATTTATGAAGCTTGACGAAAAAAGAATACATAAAACCCAGATTTTCATATTCATTGTTGCAGACAGAAAATATTTTTTATATCTTTTTTTTTCAGCTTTATAAGTGAACGTTTTATCGCTGCTATTTTTTTGTAGCTATGTATGTCTCTCTTTATTTTGACGAATTGCATCTCAATTGAAATGAAAGGCAGTTTTATATCTTCGTCGGTAACATTTGTGAATGGGGGAAATAATTTGAAAGGTTTGATATTGGAAAAAAGAAAGGCTGGTGAAGAGGAGTTTGCCATAGAATTAAAAAGATATTTCCGCAAGTTTATATCTTTATTTGATAAGAGTTTTCAAGAGTTTTCATTCAATGCAAAATTTTTCCAAATTAAAAGTCGCTTTAACATATTGTGTGGGTGAATATGAGAAACGAGAATGCTTATTTTCTATTTTTAAAACGAAAACATGACACACTCAATTATTTGAGAGTTTGAATTATACATTTCTGCTGATGCTTCGATGAATCCAATTGAGTTATGAATGTCCTTGTTGTTGGTTTCATTTCTGACAAATTAGATTTCCCTCCACACATATGGCGAACGAATTTCATTTTTAAGCGTTCATGAGAAATAATAACCATTAGTTTTTAAATATAATATCGAACGCTTTATCGATTTCAAAGCCAATACAATTCAATCGAAATTTAAATGATTTTTCCTGATGCTTTACATAAGCTCAAACTCATTCAACTTTCCTCAACCACACAAATTTAAGCTCACTTTTTGCACATACTTACATACATAGTTGAGTTTCTTCAAACAATGTAGATAAAAAATTGTTTTCTCAAACTTTAACTGACATGATTACAATATTTGCTGACTCATTGCTTTTATTACATCGTTTACATCAATTTTCTTCATCAATTTTTTTCTTCTCTCTTTTTTTTCCTGCTGAAAGTTCGAAAGTTTATTGAAATGTTTTCGGCTACTTCATTCATGCGAGTTGGATAACTATCAAAAAAAAAAGAGAACAGATGCCGACTTATCTGTTTACCCTCTGCCTAAATAGGAGCGATGAAAAAAAAAAAGCACATGCCAATTTTATTCTAACTCTTACAAGAAAGAAAGAAGAAGACGAAAAACCCTCGTAGTCATTTTTCATTTACGGTTCATCTGAAAAACACTCGCACACGAGCGAAAGAAGGAGAAGGAAAGAAAGTGAAGGGTTGATGATGTTTGATTTTTTTTACATCCTACATTTCTGCAACATGCAAAAGGAGGACGAGTTTATTTACTTTTAATTTTATTTGTGCCTTCAAACATTTCTCGTAGAACAAAGGAAAAGCTTCAATTTGTACTTATCTGAACAGAATGTTAGAGTTTTGATCCTCAATAAGCTTCTATCATTTTTCATGAGCCGGAAGCCTCTTCTTCTCTAACCGACCACCATAACCAGAACGAAAATTCTAATTTTTCATCTAAATTTCTCATAAATATTTTAATAAATTTTCCTCACCCAATATTTATATAAGCAAATTAGATTCTAATAGCGCACTTTTAGACTTTCTCTTTCTCTCCTATCCAATTTATCTAGTTGGCAAGTAACTCAACTAATATTATTTACTCTCTTTATAAGATGCGGTAGCGTCACAATGTTGACAAAAAATCATAAATCAAATTTGAAAGCGTAGATTATTTAACAATTTTATGCGTATATGTAACCGGAATTGAAGGAGAATTTTTGATGATGTCAGCGTGAGTGGATGAAGAAGAATTTATTATGTTGTCGTCGGATATTCATTTTCCTCTTATTTTATTTCGTTACTTCTTTTTCGATGGCACAATTTGAAGAATCAAGATAAAAGTTCTCATTTACGTTTATTTTTGTGCAAGAAATAAAATTAATTTGATGAAGCAGACAAATAAATTCATAAGAGTGGAAAAAATGGAATTACTAAAGTTTGTCTTTAATCAGTTCAGATTCTGACATGATGTGAACGTTCTATTTTGATTTACTTTATTCTATGCACATAGAGGAAAGTTAATAATAAACTCTAGGATTGTTTTTTTGTTTAAGTTTCTTTCTAAAGTTCGTCTTTCATTTCACGACAATATTTCCTGCTTTTTGTTGATAAATATAAAAGTGAGAAGCATTTTGCTTTTATCGTAGATATCGTTTTTAAACCAGACGACGTATAAGTTGTGCACAAAAATTATTAAGCTGACTTCTCCATGAAAGGAAGAAAATGAACAAAAGTTTAAGGATAGATTGTAAAAAGTTTTGAATTTTAGCCTGCTTATGTCGGACATTCTTCATTTCTTTCGAGATAATTCTGAGAAAAGTTTTCAACTATTAAATAAATATTGCTTATGTTCTTATGTTCCATTCACTTAATCTTATGATGTAAAAGTTATAAAACTTAATTTATTTTTCATTTATTATTTTTTTCTTTGTCTTCTGAAATGAAATATTATAATAAAACCACTCAATAAAACCGTAGCTCAGTCTCAGTAAACATCAAAAGACTTCGGAACAGTATTTGCAACATAAACGCCAATTATAATGTTTAGTTCTTCAACCAATGCGGAAATCACAAAAAAGAGGAAAAGCATTCCGAGTGGTCTTCGAGGTTTTTCCTTTCTTGAAAGCATAAATTGTAGAAATCATCTGTTTGAAGTGGTGAGATGGGAATAATCAAAAAGAAAATAAATAAAAATATATAAAATTAAAATCTAAGCTCAGTTAAATTGTTCGAAATAAATTTAAGAAGAATCTATAAGTATCATCTTAAAGCAGCATTAAAAGTGCAGTTAAAACCTCATAAAATTCATTCATTTACCGATTTCAAGCAAAATTTAATTGCGTGATAAAAACTTGAGTACTTTGTAATTTTACGACGTGGAAGTTGTTTTTGAAAAGTTTTTGTTGGTCGATGAAAGCATTGTGAATTGTATTCTTAAAGTTAGACGCTGAGAAAGACATAAAATGTCTCTTGCAAATACCTTTTAATGTTATCAATGACTTACTTACTGATTTCCTAGAAACGACACGTGACTTTCAACAACTTTTGACTTTCACGATTAAAAGCAAGTTCAAAGAAGAATATTTTTCAATTAAAGTTTCATTTTCATTCAGATCTTTTAGGTTTGATATCTAACAAAGTTAATTTCAAATTTCCACGTTCAGCAAACATTAAATGAGAAGAACTGCAAACATCTTGCATTATATCAATTGAATATTTATTTAGGTCATTTGAAAACATTAATTTTGCAACATCTTTTGGTAAGTAGGATAGCAAATAATAGGCTCAGACAACCGGGACAAGGCTATTCATTCTGAATAGACAAAGTTAGCACATTGATCTGTCGAAAGAAAAAGTAAACAGAAACCATTTGTACAACTAACATCCTTCACTCATTGTAAGGAAAAAGGAAGAAAAGAAAAATGTCAGAGCCCACAAATTGATGAATTATTTCCATTTACATTTCACACTTGACACAAAAAAGGATGGTCTGTAACGATGACACGTAAAATACGATTGGGAGATAACTTTTTTATAATCTTTTGTCATTAGATATCTTTGAGAGGTTCTGCAAATTTATTTAGACACAATGAATTGCTTAAAACGAGACATGAAGGTCGAAATTTCTATCTTTCCTATTTATGTATTCACATGATTTATGTTGACTTACATTTAATTAAAATAGTCACATAAAATACATGTTATTGCATATTTATTCAGATTCCAAGACATTAAAGAATATCATACATGACAAATGATTGTTTGTTCAAAATAATTGCCTCATACGTCATATCTAAGCATTAATTATTAATCCAATGTGACAGTTAATTCGATCAATCGTCAAGTACTTTAAACTAATACCTTTCCAGATAAGCCTTAACTGGAAAACATTTTGCTACTAAGTATTTTAAGTCACGTTTTTCTAGAAAGAAACGTCATCAATACACGTTGATAAAACGAATGATTTATGATTTTTAGATGCTCATCTCAATCTGTTATTGACAAGATAGCCAGAAAAAGCTTTTTACACTTTAAACTTTATCGGATTATCACTGATCAAAGAGAATTTCAAGTTATTTTGCGCGTTGTATTGACAACTCATTAGAGCGCCTCCAGTTACTTCAAATCACCTCAAATTAACTGAAATTATAAACCTTCAATGTTATTGTTGGGAAATCTTTTTGAAGAGCCTCATTAAGTTGTAAATATTTTTTATGGAAGATTGTGACATATCAAGAAGCTTCCAAAATATTTGCATCACAGAAGATGTTTGAAATGAAATTAAAGATAAGATAAACTCATTGTAAGTGTGTTGGGAAAACTTAAAAATTTAAAGCGAGATGAAATGTTACAAGATGTACTTAAAGAAAAGTGAAGATTGTATCTTAATAAATATTTTAGTAAATTAATTTTGTTTTATGTTGAGCCAAAATTTCTCTCTTCAACACGCAAAACTCATAAAAACTTTTCTCAAAATACTTTCCTATCCCAAAATAATTTTACAACCTCCTACCAAAAAGCTGTAAAATTTATTATTTTTCTGTGTTTCCGTGGTCTTCTCTCTCTAGTGGTTGCACTAGAAATTTATATTGAAGCCAGATTTTTGCGGAATCCGACAACATTTATAAGCGGACGTGAATTAAATTTATCATCGCTACTTTTTTTTGTAATCGACAATAATGCATTCGGTTGAGTTAAAAGAACGCATACATATTATCTGTGGTGTTTGTTTCTCTCATCTTGCTTCCAAATTAAATAAACAGGGCATTCATTACTTTTGGAACGTGTGGTAGGAAGAATTACTGTAAATACAATGTAGCTGTGAAAAAACATTGTGACCGGCGCTTTGCACAACAGGTGAGATTTATGGAATGACATTTTATCTTGTGACAAGATGTTTCTACAACGACAAATCTCGTCACGAACAATTAACACGCTTTTTTATCTCTTTATTTTGTGACAAGTGCTAGACGCAATAACTCTCGACCTACTGGTGATTTTCCTATTTAATCTTTTCATTGAATCGTTATTTTTGATAGATATTTTCTTTGATTTATGATGCTTTGTGCTGTAAATTAAGGTGATAATCAATCAATTAATACCTTGTTATTTGCAAAAAGATGGTAATTAATCCAATCGTCTGTTACGTCATAAAACGATTGCACTTTGTTATCTGTCGTGTTATTTTCAGAAAGTTTTTGTTTGAAGAATTATGTGTTGTAGAAGTTATCTACGGTTATCGCAAAGAGTTTTCGTTTAACGACAACAGCGACAATGAAAATGAAATAAAAATTTAAGTTTTGGTTTCAGTTGTCGTTTAGCTGTCAAAACGAACTAAATTGAATCAGAAAGTGATCTTCCGCATGAATCGATATATTTGTGCAATCTCAAGCCATCCATGTGACATGAAAAGACATTTAATTGATTTTTTGTGTAAACAAATTTCATTGACGTGTGTGAAAACAAGTTACTGTTGAACTGATTTAACAACTACGAACAATTTCTGAATATACTTCCAGAAAGTTCTTTATTGGAGCATCATCTAAATTAATCGGTTGGCATCTTTTCACATTTGACATTAATAAAATGATGTCGATATTGTTTGCATTGCTTGCATTTACTCAATTTGCTAATGGAAATATTGGCACAGATCACCATCATCCAAATGTTATCATCATGCATATTAATAATTTGGTAATTGAGATTGACTTTGTTTCGTCAATATCATCAATCAGAATTTCTCCTAAGCTAATAAAGATTGTTCATTTCAGTATTGGAATGACTTGGGAATCCATGTGAACCGAAAAGATCACGAGAACGCCACGCCAAATATTGATTATCTCGCATATTCGGGAATTATATTGAATCGATTCTACGCAAATGGTGGTATTGAGTCACTTCTTTCAGGCTGCTATAAAACTTCAGAATACGGCAATACAAACTTATTGGCCAATTACTTTCAACGAAACGGTTATCAAGTAAATTTCGTGTCTCGACAGAACTTTGATAAGATTGATGCATTTGAGGCTGAAGTACTCAATGCAATCTCGAATGATCAAACCCCGTTCCTGCTTGTCACTGATTTCGGACACGTTGGAGTTGACAGTGAGTGATAGAATTACAATCTATGAAGTTTCTTTTTACTCATTTGTTTTCTTCTTTCTCTCTTCTTTGTTTCCGCCATCAGTTAACATCCCATTTGTCGATGAAATCGTAGCTTCAATTATGACGAAAGCACACGATATTGACGCGATGAATAACACAATATTTTTGTTTCTCTCCCTTCCTGATAACAATGAATCACCATTAGAAATCAACATTAGACGAACAGCTTTCATTTATAGTCCGCTGTTAAGTTTACAGCAAAGAGTTTCAAATCAAATTATTCACGTAATTGATTTGTTACCGACACTCGTCAATGCCTCTAGCCTTAAATGGAAAACTAAAGACGTTATTTATGTTGATGGAATTAATCAATGGTCGGCACTTAACACTAATGACGAAGAACGATTAGATGTTTTCGGCACTAATTTTTATATCAGCAGTTTATGGAAGCTGACGTATGATGGAAACGATGATGACGGTTTTTATGGATCAATACGGAATGAAAATATGGAAAGCGATATGGACCTGACAGACTTCGATTTTCTGTCTTATGTTCAGACAATATTCTCGTCTGAAATTCAACGCATTTTTGACAAGCTTTCGTCAGAAAAAATTATGTATACACGAATGCGAGCGAAAGTTCATTGTAACTTGAAAGATATCGATAGTTCCGCTGTCGAAAATATAAGATGCAGTCACGCCTCTCCATGTCTCTTTAATTTGATGGAAGATCCATGCGAATATGATAACAAATTTGAAAAGGAATTTGATCATCGACGGGAGCAAATGAAAAATATTCATGAACGCTTTTTGAATGGCGAAGATATTGAAAGTCCTTCGATCAAAGATGTGGAAGGTTTTCTAGAGGATGGAGCGATGGTTGGGATTATTCTTGGTGGTACAGTCGTTGGTTGTATTTGTATTTTCATTGTTGTTGTTTGTGTAAAGGAACAATGCAATAAGAAGAGAAGCGTCTATCACAGTAGATCAGGGACGACAATTACTCAACAACCATCAAATGAATCAAGAGTTGAAAACGGTTATCTCAAAGAAATGTCAAATGGAGACCCTTTTCCGATATCCACTGTCAGTCGCAACGTCAAATTTGATGAAAGAGTTTCATCTGCTTAAGAAATAAATTTATTTAAACTAACTTACTAAAAAAAGTTTTCAATTTCATTGATGAAAATGTACATAAATAAATATTGAAGAACTGTTTTCCTTTTTGCAGTAATGTAAAGATTGGTAATGCATTATGATAATTCCAATGTCGAAAGCCTCTTACAAAGAGATGCAGATAAATTTAAATTATTCAGATACATATGATATGAAGGAAAGCATAAATGTCTTACAAGGTAATGTACTTTCACGATTAATTCGTTGAAAATCCTTGTATGAATATATCTGACATTTGATGAGATTGTAATTAAATGTTGTAGATTATTGAAGTAAAAGTTTTTCCATCCTTTGAAGAAGTCAAATAAGTTAAAATCAAAATGTGATTTAATAAAAGATAAAATATAGAAAGATTTAATTACAACATAAGTATGCTTGTTATGGAATGTTGTTAATACATATCTTTAAAATGCCTTCAATTTACGACACAATGAATCAATTATCGTAATTATTATTGTTCTCTTCCCATTTCTCAACTAAATGAAAAGCAATGAAAACAGCAAGAGCAACAAACGAATCAATAAGAAAAAGGTTAGATTATTAATAGTATTACATATTGGCAATGATGGCGGAAGCATAAAATAAGAAAACACAATAGGAAAGAGAAACTTATGTAGGAAAACAAAAAAAAATATCATGAATAAATCGGAAAACAAAAGCTTTCAAGAGATTTTCCTCTGGGTGAAAATAAATTTGTACATACTGGCAGTCGATATGATTTTATTATATAATATGAAAACATTATCGATCAGCTTTGTAGCTTATAAGTAAATTCACAACATTAAGCTTTCATTATACAAAGTTAATGAAATGTTAAGATTGAACTCAAGGCTTTCAATTTAAATGTAAATTTTAGGAAGTGAAGCGGCTGAATGAGAAAAGCATAGAAAGGGCTTTTAAACTAGTAGCAAATTGTTTCTTAAGCAAATCGAAAATATATCGATGAAAAGAAGAAGCAGAAAAAAAATATAAAATGAAAGAGGCTTGAAAGATTTGAATTTCTTAGCAACTAAACCTTCAAGACGAGTAGCGGTCTCACTTTGTATTTCTCTTTTGCTTCTGATCCTCCTATTCAACCCGTGAAAACATAAATCCTTAACGAAGCCCGATACATATAGTCAAATTATCATAAGTTATTTCGCACATAAATCTTCTTCTCTCTTAACAACATTCAATTCCCTTTAGAATGCCAATAATGTAGTTCAACGCGGTTAACTTGTTATTTCTCTTATGAGCGTCTTATTGCATATCAATGAAATAATTTGCGATATTTAAGCTTGATGTTGAAACTTATCTTATCGTTATTACACAAACTTTTCATGTTAATTTTATCTAATTGAATCACATTTCCTTATAATATTTGACTTTCATTTCCTATAACATGTCATGTTATTTAATCTATTCTGAAATATAAATAGTTTACGAAACTTTTTGCCACGTGACTTAAATATCATCTTTTAATCTCTCTCAATTAAGTGACGCAACTAATGAATCAGAAATAAAAGAAGGAAATTTGCATTCTCATGCTTACGATGTTGAAGTAAATTTATTTATGAGTCACCCTGTTCATCATGATGAAAGATACGAAACCTGATAAGCGTTTTGAGATTTTTCCCGTGAGAGGTAAAGCATTGAAGAAATTTAAATCCATTCCATCATTTTCCACTACGCTCTTGCTCTCATTTCTTGCCAAGTATGATGTTTTTATCAGTTGAAACTTTTTTTTTCTTCTTTACTACTTTCATGAGATTGAATTTCATGCTTTTCAAATGCCTTTAAGCGCATGCGTTGATAAAAAGAAAAGCTTTCCAACGCTCTAGTCTTACAGCATCTCTCTTGCTTTGGAAGTTTCCCTTGTTTATCCAGTTAAGCTCAATTCATTGTGATATCGTTGGAACGCTTTTTCACAGCAGTTCTTCGCGAGATTCGGTCAAAGATGTTGATTATAAAGTAAACATTTGTCTTCTCCTGATATAAAATCATATTAACTTCTTTGATCCATTGCTTGATATTTCCGCTTTAAGAATTAATAAAATTCTTTCAAAAATTATAAAACAAAGTTGTAAGTGCTGTTGAAATTCACACGGAAACCATGCGGAAAAAGGTTCAATTGCATTTAGATGAGTAAAAGTATGTTGTGAAACTTAAAAGAAAATTATCGGAAGGAAAAAAAGAATTGGAAAAATGGGCCATAAAAGAAAAGTTATGTGTGTGTAAAAAGCGGAGAACAAAAGAAAACGAAGAAAAAAACAAGAAAAGTTTATTAATGCATTATTGAAGTTATAACGTCATAAATGGTTAATGATGACGAGAGTAAAATGAACGTTGATTTCTGAAATGTTGTGAAAGAAATAAAATTATAATTGTTTGTAATTTAAGTGTCCACTTACTTATCAACACCACAAGACCTAAATTAATGTAGAACAAGCAAGTGTAACCACCCGCACTGTAAGAAAAATCCTTCTCTGCTCAAGAAGATCTTTAACGATTGTTTTATTCAAATTTTATCGTCTTTCAACGATTATCTAATTAAATATTAGCGGGGAGATTTATAATATGAATTGAAGGGAAATGTTGCGGAGTGAGCTTTAAGCTTTAACTACAACATTTAATGATGAATTTTGTATGTGTTTCCATCGTCGTGATACTTGATGTAGTCCTAAATTTTGATGTGCAAGCACAAAAATAAATGAAGCTTGGGCAGTAATTCAGATAATTAAAGAGCACTGAGAATACTTTTCATCAGTATTAATTAAATGTACATTTCTCATTCGTCTCTCGTAAAAGTTGAAGAGAGAAGTTAGCGAAGCTGATTAATTTGTTTTCATCATCCCACAATCTCCTTCTTCTTTCTTTTATACATATAAAAAAAAACTTGTAGGCTCAACATAAAATTGTAAAACAGAAAGGATTCAAAAACAGATCCAACTGAGCACAAAAAGAAGAAACGGATTATAAAGAATGTGTGTGTGCTTGTGAACAAAACTGTCTCCATGATGTTTCCGCTTCTTTTTTTCGCAGACTCAATATTTCTATGCTCAGTCGATGTGAATGCAAAGGATTATGTGATGAGTAGAATTTAAATGTCAAAATAAATGAAAAAGTTATGAGAACCGGATATAAAAGGAAGAAAAGCCATTGTTAGAAAAAAAAATAAGTGGAAAATAAAAAGGAAATTTGTTTTGACGGAAATCGCTGTGACATAATTAGAAAATTTAATTACAATAGAATAAAACAACATTAATCATTCGGCATATGATGTTTTACATCATTTATGAATCAATGTCTTGATGTTTAACAATTATTTGATGTTTAACTATGCGTTAGACAGCTTTAATTTATTGAAAAGAAAGAAAAATATTCTGAAAAGTTTCAAAGACATTGTGCAATTGTGTAATAGAATAAAAGAAAAACAACTTAAGCGTTCTTGATTCTGTGCTTTCGTCTTCAAGGAAAGTGTGAAAGAAAATGAAAAAAGCATATGATACATAAGATTATTATGTAAATCCATAAAGCAGCAGCTAAAAGAGAGCGAAAAAAAAATAATATTTCGGGTTTCAAAAGCGTGATATATTACGGGAAGCAAGCTTGTTCTTTGCCTTTTCAACAGTCAGAGTTTGGCTGAGAAGAATATAACACACACAAACTCACGCAGTTTCATGCACGAGAGTCTAAAAGCACTGCCATAAAGATAAAGTTAGAACGAATAAATTATGTGGAAAAGTGTCTGATAACAAGAAAAAAGTGAAATCATTTATTCAATTTTTTGCTCTCGTCGAGTTTTCTTTTTATCACTTTCCATCATTTGTGAAGAGTGGAGGGAATGTTATCATATATTTAATTTTATCATAAGATTGATTAAATTCCATACCCTAAGGAAGTGCTTAGAAAGATCTAATGGATGTTGTTATTGTTGGTTCTTTTACAGTTTTTTCCTTGCACGTTAGAAAATGAAATAATCTCATTGTATGTGAAAGTGTGAAGAAGTGAAAGTTAAAAAAAATTACATTAATAAGCATAGAGAAAAAAAAAATCTTAAACCAGTAAAGTTACTAAGGATTTCACCAGATTTTTATTTTCCTTTGTTTCGGAAGATTAATGGAATTTCGCAACACTTCTTACAAATGTAAGTGGAATTTTTTTTAAACCATTAGCACAATTTAGCACAAAACCTTAACTTGAGGAATTTCAACAAAAATTAAACTCATTTAATCTGATGGTTGAAGCACAAAACTTCAAAAGCTTCAATAAATTTTTGTTTTCAACTTTAAGATAAAACGACGGAATTATTTCCAACTCAAAAAGATGTTTTGCTTAAGAATAAAAAGTAATTTGCATTAATATTCAGATGTTCATTTTAAAGCTAAACAAAATTTCCTCCCCTGCTATTTTCGCTTCTCAAATTTGATACAAAAACTTTTCTTTTCGTCTTTGAGATCTTCACAAATATCTCCAATTGAAATTGATTTTGTTTGAAAAATACAGACGAATAGCAGAAAGTTTTGTCATTAGACGAACTTTGAAATCGTTTGATAATTATTTCTTCCAGATAAATAAAAAAGAAATCAATCACATTTTAAACTCTTTCCGTCTCTAAGGAAGCAACAACTTCAATTAAAACATTGTAAATACGCCCGCATTTTCTGCTTAACAGCGTTAAAATGATTGTTTTTGCTAAAGCTCGAATTTTGTGGAACCATAGGAGCATGAAAATGGTATCCAAGCATAAGGAATTAGGATAAGCTAAGATATTCAACACAGAAAAGTAAAATTGTTTTATGTTGTATATAAACAAATTTTATGATCAAATCAGTTTCATAAAATTTACAAGATTTTTTTCATAAAATCTCTCTCTCGGTTTAAATTATTTTTTTCTTATGAGACTCTTAAATTAGTCGTTCAGAGCTGACAGCTTTTCATTTTCATATTGAATTAGAGAAACTTTATAAAATAGATAATTAATTATGTTTAAACTTTTAAGATCCAAATTATTAGTTTGTCGTTTGCCTTGGAGCGCTATATAAATTCTTCATAAGACTTGCAATTTTCATTTTAATAGTTCCAGTGTGAAAATTAATTAAAATCTGAGAAAATTTTTCGTTTACTGGAATTCCCTTTAGGGCTTTTCTCATAAAAAAAATTACTAAAATGTTTCAGTCACACGAGAAAGTGTTGCAGAACTTAAAAACTTTGCCATACGATAATTCCCTTTCTTCTGATTCTAAATGGTTACTTAAGCTTTGTTCTTATTGTGTCTAAGAAATTCCTAGGAGCTTATTCGCCTTACATTTCTATTCATGAGAAAACATTTCCCATCTTTTTAAATATTCTTGAAATCATTATCGTCTCGTATTGCTTTCCTCTATTCATTTTGATATCATGATCTGAACCCCTAGATGTTTCATCCCATTGAGGTGTTAACGAGTATAATATTATCAGATATATCAATGACCTTGACAAACTTTCTTTTTTCCATCTGAAAACTTACTTTTGCTCTTTAGTAGAGAAAAATCCCAAAAGGCAAGATATCAAGTATTAAATGCGATCAAGAACTTTCTTCTGTCGAGAATATTTTGATCATGAAATTTCTGCCTGTTTGATGGAATCAGCAAATTCATTGAATCAAATGAGTAAGCAATTAAAAGTTATGCTTGCTTATTACAACATTACACAACATGAGCAAGTGAAAGAACACTATGTTCAATCGGTTTATCATTATTCAATTCATCTGACAATTTCTGTCAATATCTCAATTACTTCTGACAATTTATTAACCATAAATGATATGATCGGAAAACAAAGATAATTGCAGACAATCTTTAATAAATTTAAGCTCGATAAAACTGTTATGACGTTTTGTATTTTCGAATGGAAAATTGAAAACGTTTCAGAAAATCTTTATTCGTAATCATGCTTTCGATTTTTATTAATCCTCTTAATGTCTGCTGTCTGACTAGACAGAGACTGAGGATTGTTATAAAAACATTATTTTTAGCACAAAGTATCGACACTTAGATGACTTGTTAGTTGATCTATAATCTTGGCGCTATTTTCTATTGAATTGAGGAAGAGAATTATAACGTTTTCCATGTAAATAACTAAATATGTATTTATTCTTGTTGAATAAATACAACGTGACATACGGGAAACATCCTAAAACAGACACGGTACGGCATCCATTTAGCACTTGCGGTATTTGTTAGCAATGTTATGAGGGGAAGTTTTCTTCTTTTTTTAATTTAACAACAAGAAATGAAACTACGTTAAGTGAAAAAGCTTTCAGAAGGCGACAGAATCTCATGTAATAAAAGCAATGTTATACATCATTCATCATCTCAGCTATTTCCTATCTCTTTCCCACTCAATCAAACTCATTTTATCCGCTATTCTTGTCTTTGTCTGCTGTCATACCGAAAAAAAATTCCCTTTTTTAACTAAAGACAGACGAAAGGCAGCAAGAAGAAAAGAGAATCAAAGAGATTTGCGAAAAAATTTATGAATATGATAACATGCTGGGAAGTGGGAGGATGGAAATATGAAATTGAAAGAAAAACTAGTTAATGACTCGTCGAATTTTATCGTCACAGGATCTGATTGCGCAGAAACATGAAATTACAATATTGAATGGTGTAAACTTTTTCAATTACAAAATTGTTAATATTTTCAATAAATTCCCCTTTCTGTTTTGTTTCCTTTGAGTGAAGCTGAGTGTGCAAAACACTTACATCGTTGCATTGACAAAAAAAGGATGGAAAATATTTGAAAAAATGCATGCAATATTCCACCCACACATTAATTAAACATCACACTGATTTTTGCCTACAAATATGCTTCGCTCTCCTCAATTTGCATCAGTCGTTTTTTAAATTTCGCCATGAAGAGTTCAGAAGAGTTTTTTGAATTTAACATGAAAATTTGAAGAGTTTCTTGAAAGCAGTTTATAAATAAATATCCTAGAAACTTGAGAAAAAACTTCTTCGGCTTGCAAATAAATCTTGTTTGTGTTAAAAAGTTCCACTGTTTCTCAAATCACAAATAAATTTGTAAAGTTCTTGTGTGCTTGAAGCAAAAGATATAAATTTGAAAAGATGAAAGAATTAGAAGCAAAACTGTTTTTTCAAGCATTGGAAACCGAAGTTTAACTACAGATATGTAAGTAGATATGTAATATGTTCGTAACAAGAACCAACAAAAATTTCTCCCGCCACATGAAAAGAAAGAAAAAAATGAGAAAATGAAATAAAATAAAATCGAAAACTTTCTATTTGGTTCTTAAGTTTTTAGTTCTCGTTTTTCATGCTTTTTGCTTCATTGGATCTTGCCTTCGAGAAAAGAGTGAGAAAAAACGAATACTTTGGCAGTCTTTACTTATTCTGCTACATTTCACTCTTGTTTAACCTTTTTTCCTTTATTCTTGCCACACCACTAGAATTTTTTTTCTTTATTTTTGCTAGCGTTGATTTTTCTTCTACATTGCTTCTGTGGAAACTCTCATAAAAATTATTTTCTATCCTTTTGCAACAAGCTCACTCAATAAGAGGTTATTTGAAGGGATCTGAACAATACTAGTTCATCGTGGAACAAAAAGAAAATGTTTTTCAAGCACTTTTTCCTTATTCTCCTTCGTCTTCTTTCTCTTTTCATTCCTTCAGAGTTTGGATGATGAGATTGAGTTGTAATTAAACCTCCGTTCCCTTTTTCTACTTGTTCTTTATATTAAGCTTTTGAATAAGCGTCAAATGATTTAAAATATCGCTGAGACGACACAAAATATTGTTGGGTAATTTTTTTTTGCTTTTTATTCTTGAAAACAATCTGAAGTGGTCCGATATGAGTTGCGATGTTTTTTAAAGCTACAGAAACACTTGTTAGGATCATTTTCTAACCTTTCATAGAGAAAATCTGTTAGTAATCTTGGCATCTTTCCGTCAAGTCGTTAAAGAAGCGAAGCTTGTTCTATTGAAAAGAAAAAAAAATTAATGTGAGACTTATCTTGGATATAGAATCTATTAAAGTCAAATTTATAACTTAAGTATCAACTAACATAAATACAATAAGTATAGAAGTAGAGATTGGAAGATCGGAGATAAACTTAAACTTTTTTAAAACAAAACTTTTTCTGCATTGTGTAGAATCGAAAACTTTAAACATCCTCGAAAAATTTAAATAGGAAATGGAAAAGAATTCACAATCCAATTTTCTTTTTTGGAATTCAAGTAGATAGGAAACAAGAAAATTTATTATTGCAAAGTTTTATCTAGATCAGTCTAGGACAAATAAGACTAAGTTTAAAAAAACTCTTGTATAAATGTTGTGGTCATTCTTTACAAACGATACAAAAGAGTCAACAAAATAACTACTCGTAAAACATTCAGATAGAAGACAACTTTTTGTGGAAAAATACGAGAATTAATTTTCTGTTTTTGACGTAGGAGAAAGTTAAGAAAACATTTGTTTGCTTAATACTCTCACCTAAATTTTCTTGCCAACTGCCTGTCGGTACCACTTTCCTTTGATTAAAAAATATTCTAAATTGGAATGTTAGTTTTCAAAGGAAAATAGTAACAATAAAAATATTCTATAAAATGGGCGTAAAAGAAGCAAATTATTGATTTCCATTCAACTATAAAAATCTTTAGAAAAATGCCGCAACTATGAGTTCGAAGGCCAGCTAACATTTGACCTAGATGCATAGTAATCCCATTTAAGCATCTAGAAGCCAAAAAATCGACAAAGAGATACATGGTTTGGAGCAGTTTTCACATTATTTATATGTGTTCAGTGTTCAACTAGGAAATGGTTTATTTTCAAGTTAGTTCACGAGACCAGAAACATTGTTTAAGCTTCAGGAAAGAGAAGCGAAACGATGATGAGAGTGAAATAAAAATAGAACCAAAAGAAGATATGAGGAACTTATAATATAAACGTGAATGTGAATTGAGCGAATAAGCTTCTTAACAGACAAAAGCAGGAAAAGTTAATTGAAATATCTTCGGACAATGAATTTTCATCAACATCGACCATACTAACGGTGTCAGTCTTCAAGCACTTTTCAATCTTCTAACGTTTTCATTCCACAACAAAGAAAATGAGTGAGTTATATCTTGTGCTGATATGATTGTTGAGTTTGTGAAAGCTTTTACCTAAATTCATGTGATAAAAGGCCCGAAAAGTCAAGAAAAGCTTTTCGATTTTATCCGCTCTGTTTTGTCCTTCTGTTTACCTTTTTTCCCTACGTTATGGTCAACCTTTGGATTTTTTTATAAAAATTGAATAAAGGAAAATTGCTTTACAGTCGTTTTTCCGTGAAAAAAGAAGCTTTTTCCAATGCTCAAATAATAAGGAGATGGGAATTAAGTTAAGCTGCTTTGAGCACAAGACAACTAAAGAGTAAAGTTCAATTCAACAAGTCTAAATGGAGAAGAAATGTCGGAGAAAATATAAATAATTTTGTTTTTCCATAAAATAATTTCTTGAAAATGATTTGTGAATCGTAAATAAATATTATAGAAAGTTAAGACTAAAAGATCTTTTAAGACATTATTTGGAAGGCATTGAAGCGAATTATTATTCGAGAAAGATTTATCTTGTTTCTGGAAATTCTCAAAAAAGATTCTTGTAACAATAAATCCTTCAATAAACAATCCCAATGTGATCAGAGAAAGATAAGAATCATGTCACTTAAAGCTTTATTTTCTTCCGATTTCCTGTTGATTTTCTTTATCCTTCGTTAGTTATGACATGCCCGAGTAGCACAAACCGCATTCAGCTCAAACATACATATGACATAAGCCTGAAAAAACATTGAAAATTGCCCAAAGGCAAACCTAAAACGTCCTCAATCGGACCGTCGGTGCTACTCGTGATGGCGGAAAAAGAAAATTCTCAATATTTAGCTTGTTAATGTTTTATTCATTATTCAACACAAGAATTTATCTGTCGATTCCCAACAAAAACCCACTCACATCCTAACCGAACACTTAATTACTCTTTAAATATTTAATGAACAAATATTATGCTTCTCCATATCTTGATACTCTGGAAGATTTGAATATTAAGGTATTTATGTATATTCAACATACTTTCATAAAATCGAGCTGTTAATAAAACAATCAAACTTAAAATATTGAGTATCTAACTCATTTCACTCAAACATCAACCATAATTATATTGATTTTACACAAATCTTTCTCATAATGATATTTCTCAGTTTTTGTTGCCTCGTTTTAGAGATTTTGAATGATACTTTCAAGGGTTGTGATTTAGAATTAAGATTTAGGGACGGAAAGAGTGAATAAGAGAGATAAAGGGGGAGAGAGAGTGAGAGATAAGTAATTTAGTGATAAGATGGAGCTTTAAAAAGGAAATCATCAGGGAAGGGATCGGTAAAATTCATGGGGTGATTATTTTATTACGCTTAAAGCAAGCTTTTTGTTGTCCCAACTTTTCTCGTTTTTCATCCAAAAGGATTAACATTAAACTTACTTCTTTTTCTTTTTTTTTAAATAAATGACTTTGGAGTAAAATATATAAGTAATAATAAAAAAAAAGAAGGAATTAACTCATTTCAATCTCATTTATCTTTCAGGACATTAATCGGACACAACATAACATTACTGAGTTTACAATCATCTCGAGGATATAAATGCAAATTAGAACTCAATTAAACGATAACCATTTCCGTGAAAATGTGGTGCAAAAAGTATTGGAGACATCTAACAATCGTAAAAATGAAAGTCGCCATCAACAACGATGCGTCATCGACGTCAGTAATTCATTTATGTATATTCAAGTGTCCTCGTATCGTAGAGATGTGCATAGAAAGCACTTTAAATGGTCGATGTGTTCAATAGATAAACTCAAATCAAATTGCTCGTTTCTCATCAAATATTTATTAGCAAATTCGTTGTTGAGCTTTAAAAGGAGTTTCAATTTCATACTATCGATGTGCTGTGACCGAGAAATACTTGAGAGAGAACCAACAAGTACACTTTACTACGGTGTTTTACCGCTCGTTGGCGATAGTAACCAACATTGGATGGAACCACCGCATAAAAGTTTAATGATCGATAAAAGTTTCCTTATATTCATCTTCATGCTGCACTCCACGACGCACCAGCATTCCAAAACGACGAATTTTTATATAAAGTTGTATAAAATTTTATTGAATTTATTTTACGACTATTTTAATAACAAAATGAATTGTCACCAACCCTGCTGGTATCAACATCAACATCAACGGCAACAACATACAAGGATTTATTTGAATCCTCAAAGAGGCATTAATACATTGAGTACAAATCATAAAAGTTGCGTGAGTGGAAATGTTTTATTTGTTATCAATGGAATGTTTTCTGATGAACAACAAAATCAGTATCATCGATTCACAATATCTCGATCATCATCGCTTCTTATTAAATTGAGAGTGCTCAACTTTTTGTTAAGAATTTTACTTATTCATCGTCATGTGATGTGCTACAATAGTTACGAGTTTAATATTAATCAAAATGTAAATGGAGATGTAAATCATTACATTTTCCTTCATTTATTTTTACATAATCAAATGATACTTTGTATTGCAACGTCATGGCATTGTAATCGAATGAAATTTCAAATGTTGAACGATAAAAATTGTCATGAGATTGAGAATGGAATTTCGACATTAGCAACGACAAGTAATCATAAGCTGAAAGCGACTACATCAAATGATAATGATAATCATGAGAATGAAAAATTTTCGAGCAGCTACCATCAGTTCTATCGGACATTCCGCTCTAATGACAGTGTTAAATGTCATTTGAATGCAATATTATTCCTCATTATACTCTGCATTCCATTGCTGACGGCGGCGTCAAATGTCCATAATCTAAAATATAGCACAAACGTAGTAAAGACAAAGTATGGAGCTTTGCGTGGCATCGTACTAAGAACGAACCCAACCGTCGAAGCTTACTTAGGAGTTCCATACGGTAAGTTTTCCCTTTTCTTCTTGTTTTTAATCTTCTATGAAATTTTCTATTTACTATCATCACTGTTGTTTCTGTCACATGTTCGACGACAACATCATGATAATCAAGAAACTGAGTAGAAAGTTTTTTTTTGTCCTTTTTTTGTCTCCGAATTTTTTTCTTTGCTGTCTTAAGCAGCAACACATGTGGAGCAATGCGTTGATAAATGACTAACATAATTCTCTCCTCAAATCTTGTATCTCTTTTCACAGCCACTCCACCGTTAGGCAGCCTCAGGTTAGTAATACATAAATTTACATCATAATTACTCATCCAGATAACGGACGTAAAATTAATGATCTTACACATGTGATGGTATAACATGAAAGCTTTTGTATATATATATACATATAAAGATATAAGCAACTATTTTTACCTGTTGTTTTATTTGATGATCTAAACACATGTGATTGTAATGCGTATTTAAGAAGTTAAAGAAGCTTTTTAAAGCTTAACCAATAACAAAACTTTCATCTACAGTAAAACCGCGTTAATGTGAATCTCAGCAAGCAAGTCATAATTTTTCAGTTTTATGTAGCTTAAAAAAATTGTTTTCAAAGATAAAGCTTATAGTTTCTATCCCTACAATAAATGGTTGGTCATAATAAAAACACATTCCAGGTTTTTATAGAGAATCTTGATAAGAGCACTGTTGCTACAAACTATTTGTTATTCTTTTATCGTAAAAATAATCAATTCTTCATCTCTTGTCATTTGTTAATAGATATATGCCTCCTGTGACACCGTCAACATGGAAAAACACTCGTTTAGCTGATCATTTTGCACCAGTGTGTCCACAAAGTGTACCTGTTTCGGACACAGGAATGGAAGCTCTATTAGAAATGCCAAGAGGACGATTAGCACAACTTCGTAGGATGAAATCCATGTTGACCAATCATTCAGAAGACTGTTTGTATTTGAATATGTACGTTCCACGTGAAGGTGAGTGAAAATTTATGAATATTTCTTTACATAAAAGAATGAAAATAATCAAAAGTTGCGCAAGGGAAAAGAAAAATAATTTTGTAAGAAAGAACAACAAAATCGTGAACATTAATTCAAGGAAAATTCATATAATGAAACAACCACCATAAAGCCTTAAATCAGAAAGAAAAAGATATGAAAGCTTGTGAAATGCTACGCTTTTCTTCCTCATACATACGTATCGATTACAAAAAGAGAAGCGAGCGAGATGGAAGAAAAAGTTTGTCGTCGCTCCTTTGAGACGTTTTTCCTTGGTTAAAAATTTCATCCAGTAATCTTATATGAGGGAAGTCAGGTTAAGCACACAAACTTTGTTACATAATTATATGGATGATATGACGTGATGGAAATTTTTGTTTACATTTTCAATCACATAAGCTAAAAAAACAAGCCTCAAAGGGGTTCAAAATTATTTCGATTTTCAAAGACATGCGACAAGAAGAAGTAACTTTGTGATCATGATTGATGACATTCGTTGCTCAACATCAGCCATCGTTAATCTATCATGAGCTCGACACATGTTTAATTGCAATTTAAAAAATCAGTCGAGAATGAAAAAATCCCTTTTCACCCTTTACTTATTTTTATTTTCTACCTCCTTTCTCAGCCTGACATTTTGTTTGTTTTCGCAGAGTTACAAACTTCGAAGTTGTTGTTTTTCTTCTTGTTTGAGTGTGACGACAAAAAGTTTTCCCCTTTTTTTAAGAAAAATAAAAAAAGGAATATTTATGTCTCGTTATTGATCACAACTTGTCAAAGCTGTTACAAGGACCGCATTACTAGCTAAATGAAGCGCAGAATTTTAGAAAAGGCTTTAAAAGAGATTATGAGTAGAAAAATCCTTTAAAGTTGTTTTCTTTGATATAATTTGATGCCAAATATCACATAAACATGTTTGCGAAGTAATTTCTTTTATAGCATTTGAAAAAGGTGCTTAAATGCTTGAATAACTTCTACGTAAAGCATCCATAGCAGGGTTAACAAATTAATTTAATATTCTCCTGGGTGTCACTGTGCTAGCAATCTACAAAATGTCCCCAGATGAGACGTATGACAATTATTAAACTTTTCCCTCCTTCCCACCCTTTTTGCCAGCTTATTCCAATCTCCTGATTTCAGTAAAACGACGCGAGATCATTTTATGAACATTTAAAATCTTTTAGCATTTTAAAAATAGGTTAACAAGGTAAACTGGGATTTATTTCGACCTACCAAGAAGGAATCTGGCTGCAATTGACAGCAAAAGTTTTTCCTTCATAATTTTGCGTTCCGTTTATGTTCAATCCAAAAGAGATATGAAATTTGCTGCCATATTGTGACAGTTCGCAGCTTCCATTGTAGGTAGATAGAGGAAATGGCTTGCCAGTTGGCCATTTCCAAAGACAAATATTTGAATAAATTTCTTTTATAAATAAACGAAGGAAAAAAACAAACAGCTAGCCACCCACTTGATATCCCCGATGTCAACATAATAAAAAGGGCCACGTTTCATGAAGAATTTAAAAGCTCTCATTAGCTTCTTGCTTCCTCTTGCCTACCTTTCTTAAATTTCTTTTTTTCGGAATAAAATTCGAGCGACAACCTTTAAATAAAATTAAAAAAGAAAATAAGAAGGAAATAATAACAAGGAATGAAGGTAAAATTAAACGGGATGAAATTTCTGAGGGGTTCTAAATTCTTATTCACTCACTCATTACTTTCAGAACTTTTCGTTAAGTTGAGGTGCGAATCGTCAATTTTTAATATTATTTCCCCATCCACATTAGCACAGAATATTTTATAACATTTCAATTTTGAATGGGAAGCTCACCAAGCTGTCGCTTTAAAAGTTACATCTGATTTCATTACAGCCGCTGAATCTTTATTCTCTGTTCAAGTGGTTTTCCTCACTCGAAAAGAAGCTTTATGAACGTTTTCATGAGAGATTTCATGGAAATTATGACTTCAACTTGTTAAACTTTGGAGTCGCCTTTCAAGAGCTTATCATCGGCTGACAAGAATTTAATCTCAAGGCATTCGCTATTCTTCATAAAATTCGGAATATAAAGAAAACGTTTTTCATTTTCCAAACAAAATGTAATCTAATTACAGTGCGAGGAAATCTCTTTACTAAAGAGACCAACAAAAATGGAAAAAGGAACGTGATTTACTTCTCTTCTTGTTTTTTCGGATTTTAATAGAAAATTATTTCAACAGGTTTCCTTCCAGAGCTTGGAAATGAAATGAATATTCGTATACAAACCTTTCCATCTTCACAGTTGAAGTTTCTTAATTTATTCCGATCACTGACATTTGCCTCTTCTTAATGCAAAATAAAATGTGTCTTCCTAATCTCTCTTTGTTAGCCAACTCATAAAATAAACGAAAAGTTAAGTTTTTTTTATTTCTTTTTGTTCCGTATGTTTATTTAATGATGATAAAAACTCAGCTTTCCTTGCAATTAGAGAAGAAACCTTAATGGCGGAAATGCGGGAGGCTTTCTTTTTCATAAACGTTCTTCATTCTGTTAAATTTTTCCATGACGGATTAAAATTCCTGTGAAGGAAAAAAGGGATGAGAATGAAAGGACTAAAGAGAAAACATAAAATAAATAGCATAAACGGTTATCATAATTTCGGTCATAACATTTGATTATGTAACCATTGTTAGTTGTTCCAGTGAGAAAATGCGCTAAATTCGCATCCTGTCTTTTATTCGACCTGGAAGGCACTCCGCTATTGTGATGTTAACGAAAATTATTGTTCATGGATATTCCCGAATGGGCGAATTGATTGATGAAAATGAGAATGGCATTAAGCACAAGTGAGATTATAAGCTTTGTGGATTGATGAATGTCAATGCCAATAATTGTAATAATCACAACGAGTGAACAATGTTCTAGAATGTTACTCAAATATATTAATTTCAATTAAATGTGTTACTGAGATTGTTTTATAATCTTTTGAGTCTTAAAGGTAAATTTAGAAAGCTCATTAACGTTTTTAGAAACATTAAACTTGAAAATTAATTAAATCATAACATGAATTGGAACTTTTTTGTTTAAATGAATTTATGGAATTTCGCAGATTTTTTCCGTTTCCAAGGCTTGGTCTTGACAACATTAATAAACAGAGGGAATTAAAACTGAAAAACGCGAAACGTTAGTTATATATTTTAATTCAATTGTTTTTCGAGAGTTTTCATCCACCAATTTTAAATTAATTTTCTATTCATTATGCTTAGACAGAAAAAGGTCTCGTTTTGGCACAAAATAAGACAAAAGAGCAGAGGTTGGATGTTGAACAGATCTTTAAGAAAGACACTGCCTACCCTTTGTCTTGTTGTTCACTACATTAAAGTTCAGTCGATAAAAATAAAATGTGAAGCTGTAAACATTTATTAAATTTTTTATGGAAATTTTCTTTATTCTTCTCAATTTCATCCGTAATATCTGAGAAGTGCTTTGAGGAGTTATTTTGCATAATATCATTTTAGTAACTTTTCGCTCTTTCGTCGAGCAAACTACTTCCTGACAAATGATAAAGCTCCATTCTATTTCCATGACATTGCATATCAAGGCGAGAAATATTCTCCTACTAAAAATGATTTAAGGATTTTACTGGGAAATTCCTTCATAAAAGTATACACAAAATGATAAGTAAATTCACCTCTCAACTATAAAATTTCTTGTTTCATTCTTTAAAAGCTTTTAAAAAAAGGAAGAACTGAATATAATAAAAATCTAAATGTACTCTGTATCTCAAACAATTTTCCCCTTGTTAACGTCGTTGAGTAAAAGAATGATCTTTTTTAAAACCAATTTTACTTTTACAAGAGAGGAAATATATAAAACATAAAAGCAATTAAATGAACATAAAATGTAAAAGTTTCACGAGATTGAAGTTTAAATCTTCATCTTCTGTTTTGTAATATTTTTCATTTAGCGTTTCCTTTGTTAGAAAAGGCTTGAGAAAAGGAAAATTCCATTTTATTTATATACTATGAAAAATATACTTTATTAGTACGTGAGTTTCATACGTTATTTGACTTACCTACAGATCGTCAATGTTTTTTTTTCTTCTTTTTCCGTCAACTTAACGCTTCGAGGAATGAAGGAAGAATAAGAAAGTTTGAAGTCGTGATATTACAGGAGGAAGGAAAAACTTTTCAGCAATGTCATGAGCGACGAGATAGAAATGTCAATAGCAAATGATTATTAAAAACTTTTAGCTGAATTGAAAACACAAGCAATGATAACAACAGTTAGGAATGAAGTTGTTTGGCAGGAAACAGCGATAATTCAAGACTGGAATATTAAACGCATTGAATTCGTTTTACGATGGAAGGAAAAATGTTTAAATGGAACGTAATTTATCTTCAATTCCGTAGTGCATTTGCAGTGTGAAGTATAACGACTGCAAACACGGCGGAAGTGAAGATAAATTGTGAAATTAATCAACAATAAATTCGCCTTCCGGTTATGCAACACACAAATCAATTCTCATCACTTTTGAAACAGCGGAAAATGGAACAATTGTCTTCATGCTAAGCAACATTTACGTAATTGAATCGAAGAAATCGTAACATTACTGTTCTCTTGACAATGTCACTTTGAATTCTATTTTCCTCTGATTTTTCCATCGAAATGTCTTTTTTTGTTCTACATCAAATATTTGATAAAACTTTCTGAATGTGATAAAACAACATCAAAATTTTTAGAAGCACTTTACATCTCATTTTCACATCAAACAATACAAAATTGATTTGAAAAGCATTCAATATTCGTTCATATTATCCGGAAATTTAATGTTATGTTATGACATGAAATGTTGACAAGTGGGAAATTTGTTAATTATTGAACGTTGCATATTTCTCTTTGTCTTTTAAATTGAAACTTAAAGATAATCATGAAAGGAAATATACATTTAATCGTTAAGTGACTGTCTCCTTAAAAATTGAAGAAAAATCCACATAGTAGAAGATTTCGAACCACCTGAGCATCACATTAATGTCATTTCCAAATCTTTGTCGATACATAAAACGTAAAAGAAAATGAGTGAAAAATCGATTAGACGATACTCGCTGATGTTGAAATGCGATACGTTGTTACAGCAGTTAAGGGAAATACGCGATGAGTACAAGAGACGCTTAATATTGAATGTTTTAACGTGTCATGTTTGACTTTCGTCTTCATCACCGAACATTTATGCGATGAAAAATTCAAATGCTTATATCTCCTACATGAAGGGGATGAAGAGAAATCTAAGGATGAGACAGTGAAATCCTTATTCGAGCGCTTTGAACAAAAGCAATCATTGAGCTGGTGTTGTTATTGTATCAAAAGCACCAGGTTGTGAAATCACTTTTTGCCCTTTTTTTTTGTTCATCGTCTTAAAAAGGAAAAGAAAACATTAAAACGTTATCAAACCTTGTAGCTTGTTTTTGAAACGTATTAGAATTTTTCACCTGGTTTTAATGGACCGAAAGTAAAGAAAAACATTTTTTTCGATTTTAAATGTCGAAGTCTTTTTTTTCCTTTGCGCTGATTGAAATAAAATCTCGCAGCTAAAAGAATCGACGGGAATATTTTTGTTTGTTATTTCATTACGGAACACTCTACAGAATTCCCCATTTTTATTGTTTTCTTTCATTCACAGATGAAACTGGTGCTTCGATTGAAAACCCCATGGCAACGCTCGTCTATATACACGGAGAATCGTATGAATGGAACTCGGGAAATTTGTACGATGGAACTGTTCTAGCTGCTCATAGTAATATCATTGTTGTGACGATAAATTTTAGATTAGGTGTACTAGGTGAGTTATTTATTTATTCTTACATTCCAAATATCAACAAAATTTAATTTTTTAAAACGAAAAGAGAGCCTGTGGCATAATATAAGAAATATTTTATGAGACACAAATTATACGAACAATTCTGAGTGCCATTTAACACAGAAACTTCTTTTTTGTTATTTCAAAATTGCTGTGAATAAAATTTTATGGCATTTTTGAGTAAAACCCTACAAACAATTAAGTAACACGGGATAAATGAAATGAGTGTGCTTTAGATATTTGAAATAAATGTGAACATTTATGATATTTATCAAAAACATGTACATAGCATGAATTTTGAATTATAAAAAGGAATTCTGATAATTCATAAGGTATTCTTATCTTAAGAAACAATTTTTTAAGGTTGAGGTAGAATAAAAAGGAGGAAAAAAATCTTTTTAATTAAGAATATTTATCACCTTAAGCCTACCCTTTTAGGAGAGTTATTTTTCAAGATTCTCTCCTGTTCTTAAAATCTGCTAAGTAAAGTTATTATCACAAATCAGTTTGTTGATTTTTCTAAGCTTTCTCCCGAAATCATCGCAGAATGAAATATTCTCTAATTAAGGAAGTTCATCACCTCAAATAACCGTCTTCAGATTTTCGCACTTGATTCAAGTTGATGTCATCAATATTCCTTTTCTCTTATCGTTTCCGTCAACAACAAATTGAATCCTTTCACACGTGAAAGCAATGTTAGACGCTGTGAAGAAAATGGAAAATTTCTTCTTTCAGCTCATTTACTTCATTCTCATTTCTTAATCAAATTTGTGGCTGTCGTCTTCACAATGATGATGTTGGTTTGGATAAAGTTTCTTCATATCTCCATAATAAGAAAATTCTTCTATTCAAACCGACATTAAACCTTCAAAAGAAATTTGTCGACATAATAATGAACACATTCTTATTTTTACTTAAGTTATGTGTTGATGTATTAAATTAAAGCGAAAAAGCAAATTCTTGATTCTTATGTTTTGATCATCACTCAGGCATATATGCGCATAAATTAAATTTATTATTCACATATTCGAGATGAGTGAAAGATCAGAGATTTGCTTTTGTATTTAACTTATTCTTGACAAATATCATATTACTATCTTTGACTCATGAAATTTCAGGATTTTTAAAAACTGGAACAAAAGGAAGCGCTCAGGGAAACTTCGGATTAATGGATCTGGTTGCTGGATTGCACTGGCTTAGAGAGAATCTACCAGCATTCAATGGCAATGCGAATATGGTGACGTTAATGGGACATGGACATGGTGCTGCTTTAGCAAATATTTTAATTGTTTCTCCAGTAGCTAGTGGTTCGTATTCATTTATTTACATTCACATATGTTTCTAGATATGATTTTTTAACGCTTTTGTTATTCAACAACTGTGCAATACGCTACAGATAAACTACCTCGGAAACAAAACAAAAATGCAATTTTTTTTCCTGTTTTCCATGATCTTTTACATATAAAAAGAAGAGAGTAGCGAAGTAGCGGGCAATAATAATAAAGAAAAGGACTTGGTAATCATTTCAAGTTTTGTTGTGTTGATATTTACATGACTACAAAAAAAAGTTAACAAAAGTATAGCAATTCGAAAACATTGTGAGTCTCCAATGTAAAATTTACAATTGCAAACGACACAGTAAAATTTTATTCATCTTATGGAAATTTTGTGAAGAGTTTCAAGTTTTATGCAGACTTGGCATATGAGTGAAGTCAAAACTTTTAAATCTTTTGTTCGTAGTTATCGAGACAGATTTAAATTAAAAGTATCGACATCGAGGCTTGTTCTCCATCATGACCTCACATGTAGAGACAGTTCATGTTGTGACTTGTTAGTCATGTTTTCATGCACTGTCGTGCTAAAGCAATTTGTTTCCCGACTCAAACCACAAACTAATGTTTCTCTTAAAGTTTAAAAGCAGAAAATTAGAGAAAAAAACGGAAGAAAATAAATTAAAGAATTATTTTTGTTCGTCTCTGATATAGATTTGATTCATCGTGCAATCTTGATAAGCGGCTCGGCGCTGTCACCATGGGCAATACAACGAGACCCGTTATCAGTGAAGAAAAAGGTAGCAGCCGACACGGGATGCCATGGTGACTTATTAGAAGATGACTTGGCGCCTTGCTTAAGAAAGAAAAGCATATCGGAATTGCTGGCAATCAAATTGGACCCACCCAGGTACTGTTGTGATAAGAAAAGAAGAACATTAACTTCTGACACTTCAACAAAATAATCTTGTTAGTGCCTTGGCATTTATCAGCAGGATATCGCTGTAAAAGCAATTAAATGTTGGTTTTCCTTTTCCATTTCAAGCCCATGAATTCAATTAAACAATTAATTTTGTGACTCTCTTGGAATATTAAAATATATCAAAAGCGGAATAGTATTTAAGTGAGTGAGCGGAAAATTTGATGGAAAATTTTTCCACAAGTGAAGAGAAAAAAAAGGTCAAAATGAGAAAAGCAAACATTCGCTTCTCGTGTAATTAAGTTTAACGCATTTACGTGATCTGTTAAACAACATCTATGTTGTGGAAACGTAAATTCACTTTCGTCCACTTAGTTTTTAAAATGGACGATACGAGTGCTTTTAATTAAATTACATTTTGAAAATTCTGGGAAATGTGTATTTTGGATTATCAGAGATACAATTACACTAAAATTCAACGAGAAAAGAAAAGCAAACGCTTTAATTTATTGAATTACATCACTTCTGCAACATGATGAATTTCCTCGACCATTATTTTAACAAAGCGGCAGATGCTAATAGAAGAAATCTCTTGCTAAATGAAAATGCCAGAACAGATTTTCCAGAATTAAATTTATGCGATAAAAAAGCTTTTCTTTCATCATCAAAAGCTTTTGCTGTTCTTTCTTCTTTTGCGTTTATTCGTCCCTTGTTTTTTTTGTTCTTTCTCTAAAGTTAACTTCAAAGTCCAAGGGCATCTTTTTTGAGTGAATTAGAGTAGAATATCTACTAGTTTATTTGTTCAATTACTTCTTCTTTTTCATTTTCCTTCTCATGCTACAACCTCTTACATTGTGAGTGGGTGAATGACTAATGGAGTTCAGTTCATTGAATCTTCCGCTCGAAAATTTCTTATAATTCCTCAAATAAGATCTTAAATTTCTCTCCATTCGGAATGAACTAATATATTCTATTTGGAAAGAACTGAGACAAACAATAATGATAATAAAAAAATATTCTAAAACTTTCGCAATCAATTTTCTCTGTGGATGGAGAGAAAATAAATAAAAAAAAACCGGATTCAATGGTGAAGAACGTTTTCATTCTGGTTTTAACTTATTTTTGTTCATGCTCTTCCTGTTTCCTAATAGATTTCTACCGGGATTTGCCCCATTTGTGGATGGTACTGTAATCGTTAACCCAGTAATTACACCTTTTACACCGATATCAATACCAGCAGGTTCAGCAATAGCTGGGTGAGATAAAAACAAACCAAATATTATCACCTTTGTCTATGAAAATTCTCGTTAAATATTAATAGCTCTGCTGGAATTGAATTGGCTGATTTTCCTACGCGAGAACTTCTTTTTGGCGTCACATCTATCGAATCATATCTCGACTTCAGTGCACAAGACTTAGAATTTGGTTTCAACGAAACGAGACGGGATCGTATATTACGAACGTACGTTAGGAATGTTTACCATTTTCATTTGAATGAAATATTTTCGGCCTTAAAAGTAAGTTGTTGTATGTTTCATGCTTCACATGAAGGATGGAGAATTGCTGGAAATTTTTTCTCGTATTGTTTAGTCACTTTTATTGGTTAGAAAATGAGAATTTTCCATATGCGTCTTCGTTTTTCGATAATAAACGCAGAGCAAAAAAAATACCTGAAATATTTTCACAATCATTCTATTCGTTTATGTAGAACGAGTACACAGACTGGGAACGTCCACCTAGAAATCAATTGGGATCGAGAGATGCTTCTTTAGAATTACTGAGTGATGGTCATACGGTAGCTCCGCTTATCAGATTGGGTTACTTGCACAGTTTACGAGGTGGAAAGTCTTATTTCATGCATTATAAGCATCGAACAGGTGAACGTGACTTTCCACAGGTGAGTAACATAAATATTTATTAATGGAAATTCATTCGAAAATGCAAGAAATTGCTCACAATTTAATTTCATTTGTGAAATTCTGAGATTATCTGGGAGTTTCCCTGAAAGCAAATTTCATCATTTCAACCTTTTTCCCGTAAGGAATGAAAAGGCAAGAAAAACAAAAATTTATATTTTCCTTCTGAGGGCAACCAGCAACAAACGAAATCAAATGAAAAAAGATTCAAAGGCATAAAATAAATGAAAAGGAAAGAAATAAGTTTTGATGCCAATGTAGGGTTTTCTAAAATTCATATTATCAAAATTCTGAAATGTCAGATTCTCAACATTTCAAAGTGCAGCAACAATTCGCATGTTTTCCTTAAAGACGACCTTGGGGATGTTTTTCCCTAAAGAAAAAAATACAAATCAGGAAAATATTCGACGATGGAAAACCCTAGAAACAAGAATGAATGTGAAATTTCTTTACGAGAAGCAGCGATATAGCTTCAATAAAGAAATTGTTACCTCAATTCTTTCAACACTCCCTCGCGTTACATTCAATCGGTTTTATATTCATTTCACTTCTTTTATGTTGCCCAGCTTTGTGTATCGAAATTGTTGAGTTCTTGGAAAAAAAGGAGAAAAACTCTTATCAAAAAGCTTTCAATCGACACAAATTGTATTCGCTGTTCATTCCAAATATTTTATTCTGATTTTCTTCTTCTCTTTTTTCTCGGTTATTTTCGTTCATGGCTTCATTGCAAATTGAACACCATCAGAGATACGGAACTGTTCGTGGCGAGGACGTGCCTTTCTGTTTTGGACTTCCATTGACACCACTGTTTCCATACAATTACACACAGCAAGACATTCAAACTAGTAGAATATTAATTCATTATTTGGCAAATTTCATACAAACAGGGTACGTGAGATTTAACAAATGTTTTCTGTTTTATCTTTAACATGAAGCTTATTACATATCAACATGCTTATTCCCATCAAAAACAAAAAATTAATTTAGGAATCCTAACGGAGATGCTACACCAACATCGAAAAGTTCAATCGATGTGGAATCATTGAAACGATTGGGTAGCAGTAGCATTAGCCATTATACAGAATCATTGCCTGAACCTTCTTTGTTGTCATCATCTGATGCTGCAGCTGCTTCCATTTTATTGAAGCCTTCTAACCAACAGCACACGTCCGAGCATCGAATGAGCTTAAATGATGTAAACGATCACAAGGCTAGCAACAATAATGACAATGCTATTGTTGAAGATTCAACAACGGCGGAGGGCGGACATATTGTTGATGTTGAACCAATCCCAATGCAACCATCTTCAACACAATCGCAATTCATACATCATGCCTTATCATTATCATCATCTACCGCGTTTAACAGCATTCGACATCGAAGAACAGCAAACAACAACTTAAATGTGCGTCTCATCAACAAACGGTACATTGTCAAAAGAAATTTCCCAAACAATCAGCTATCAAAAGCCTCCGTTGAGATTGATACGGATGATAGCAATGAAACGGAAATTGATGAAGAAAATGATGATTATGTTGAACGAGAAGGGGCGGACGATGATGGAACGAAGCAAGACAAGCAGGAAAATATTTTAAATGGTCATGATCGTTTGGTCGATAATGATAATGAAAGTGATTTAGAGAAATCGATGAAACTTTTGGTTCCATATTGGGATGCCTACGATACTGTGAATCAATTATTCTTAGAAATCAGTAAGTATGCTTTAAAATTCTTTTTATTACAATTTCAAAGAGACAACTTGGATCTTTATTTTCTCAAATTTTGAGTGGAATCAAGAGATTGATTTCTTTTTTCTTTATCTGCCTTTGCATGAAATCTCTCAGACCGCTAATAAAATATTCTTTGTTTGAACTCATAAAGCTTATCTTCAGTTCTTCTTTCACTCACATTTCTCATTTCCCATTTCCAAAGCAAAAGTTTCAACCACAAAATCATTTCAATCACGCACTGTGAAGAAAATTAATCGCAAACAATAAGCTTGATGAGCGCTGACTGTGTTATGCTCTGTTATGTTGTTCTCTTATCATATCACATCTAAATGCGTCATAATTTACCGACATCATGCAATCAGAATTGTAATGCTTCAGAATGTTTAATTAAAATCACTGCGTAATGTGAACAAACTCAGTTCAACATTCATTCAAAGCACTTTAAAGTATTTTAAATGAAATCTCAATGCATAAACATGAATCTAATAATAACCCTATCTGCAATGCAATTTACATGCAACATATTGAAACGAAAAGCCATTAAGCATCACCTTCACTGAACAAACAAAGCTTTGAGGGTGGGTGGGAAGTATTTTCATGAATGATAGACAGAGAAAGCACAAAAAACTAAGCAAATTCAAAAACCGTAATAATTTCGACGAAAAATTATGAATTCCATTATGATGGAATGTAAAATCATGCTAATGAGAGAAAATAATTCGCAGTTGATTCTAAGGGTGAAAGAGAAGCTTTTTGGAAATGGAAAAATCATCAAAGCTCATGATTATGCAAAATAATTCAATTTAATGAGGCTTGTGCCCTGAAATATTTAATGTCAGCGGTAGGTTTGAAGCACATAACTTTATAAAAACATCCTTTTTTTCTATCTAAAAATTGATGGAAACTCTTTCAATTAAAAGTCAATCAACATTTGAAGCAAGTTTTGCTTCTGGCAGATTTTCGATTTTTCCGCGATGCTTCAACGATTAAAATACAATCAAGGTTCATACGAACAAACAATCCCCAGGGTGGCGGTTACCACATCCCAACAGAATTAAAAACCTTCTCTCGGCTTCACCTACACTGATTTTAAACAAATTTACTCTTGACGTTCATGATTTTCGTCGTGTTCTCACGGATGTTTAACTTTTGACCCAAGCATTTATATTAAAAACTAATTAAACTTAATCAGAGCACTTAGAAAAATATATATTGCCAATCGAGCTTATCAGATTCACACTCTTGCTTCGACTTCACCAAAAAAGCATTTACAGATTACATTAAACAGACATTGGGATTGGGAAACATTTCAAATATAATTAAATTAATGCTGAACTTTTTAAACCCGGGGATGAACATTCATTGGGTGCTTGTTCGGGAGTTTGATAAAAGGAAAGAGCTTTTAAATGTTTTGCCATGCGGTTTTTTATCTTCATGACAAATTTTCCTCTCGAGATTTGATGATTTTAACGCTCATGTCATAAAAGTCTGTAAATTCAGCCCCTGCTGATAATATCAAATCACACAAGTCGCCTTTTAAGAGTGCTTTCTGTTTACTTATCCATTGAATTTGCTGATTCTTTTTTTCTTCTGGATCTTTGACTTACTCTTCATCTCCCCTGATCATTGTCGAAGCAATGTTTCTTAAATGGTCATTAATTTTCAATGTCCCATGATATCAAATTGTTTATATACAAAAGCTTTGATATCAAATTTTCAGTGACTTCACTTTTGCCACACAATAATTTTCCCTGACTTGTGTTTTGTTGATGAAAATCCATTGGAACATTTATTACAATTGCTTTTTCGCCCTTTTTTCCCTTTCTAACCGAAATTTATTAGGTTGTATGCTAACACCCCACCCAAGAATCTTCCTTAAGTACCACCAACAAATTCGTAATTCGAAGCAATGTTCATCTCACTACACATCTAGGAAATTTCGGACGAATTCGAACAGTTTCTATCCATAACACAAAACATTCTTATGTACAAGAAAATTCTTTTATCTTTTAATTGAGATATTTGTATGCGATGCATAACTTTAGAGATTTTACGCTTTCCTAACACTCAAAGACAGCAACTATGTTGACTTGAAGTTTGAATTCTTTTTGACGCATGCATGAATGTGGCTTTAACATAATGGAAATAATTTATATGCTTACGCTTTTATAAATGCTTGCGTTAAACCACTTATGGATCTACTGTTATCATTGCTTGTTTAATTCAACGGAAGATTATCAGTCTATGCCACTAAATTTCTTCTTCTTTTAAAGTGTCTTCGTTGAAACTTATACATAAGGAAGAGTTTTCACATCATTATAGTTTGAGGAAGTTCAAACCATGATGAAAGTTTCCCAACTAAATAAAATGATACGACTAAATCTTATGTGACGTTCAACAAGAAGATTTTCACTTAAATAAAATCGAGGAAATAATTGAGAATGAAATTTCCGATGAACACAAAATCATTTTAAATTTATTAAAGTTTTTCTTCAATTTTATTTAAGAAAAGAATAAAGAACGAAATGATGTCTCTGTCTTAATGCCTTTTCGAGTACATTCCGGAGCCATAATCGTGTAGAAAATGATCACATAACGCTGAGTTAAGTTCGTGAAAAAGTCATAAAACTTAATCACGTGTAAATTATTTTCTTTTACGGATATCTTTCATTTTTACCTGTGTCAGAATTCAAAGTCAAAAAAATATTTCTAGCAGTGAATGTAGAAAGTCTGGCGCAATAAAATTTTGTGTGTTCGTTCAATTCTCATTGGAACATGAAGCTTAATTGCCACGCACACGTTTGTGGAATTATTATTTCATGTCTCGCCATTTTTCACAATTTCACATTCCGCAACAACATCAACAGTAGCAGCAGTGACAGCCATTTCGTTTTTCATGCAGTCACCGCAGTCACCGTTTGCTTTGCTTACTCCACAAAACTCTTTCAACTGGATAAAAGAAGATGAAGAAGCTTTTTTGTTGTTACGGTTATTTATGCATTGAATATGACTTTTTCTTCCAACATCATACATCAAGATGTGAATCGCTTTATTTGGAAGCTGTGAGAAAATGAAAGAAGGAAAAATGTTTAACATGAAAGCAGTGGATATGCTGACAAAAATATGAATGAAAATTATATTCAATTATATGCTGACGCAATTTGTATTCGAATCGCATTCACGACATTACTTTCTATGAAATTCAAGACTCGTATTTACTTAGGCTCCACTGATATGAACGAACGAATGAATGAAGCGACTTCGCTCAACAGCGTTGTGACATCAAAATAAGGAAGCGACGTTAAGGAAGAAAATCTCGTCAATTAAATAAGCGTGGAAAATGATTTTCAATTTTCTTATTGTTTCCATAATTCGCTTCTCATGAAAAGTTAATCAAATTTAATATCATTGAAGCGGGCGCTCACTGAGGAAATATTTCAAAACTTAAGAGATATTTTAATTTCTCTTTCTCGTCTCGAAAAATTGTTAAAGTTTTTCGTTGTAAAAAGAAGAAACTGACAAGAATAGGATTCTCCCATTTTCCCTTGTTCAGCTTGGTTGAAATTCTTTTGATTTAAAATAAACTCAAACTTCAAGTTCCATAAAACTTTACAAACCTGTTATGATCGTGATTGGTGAGAACCCTAAAGAAAAGCCATTCTGTGAATAGCTCAGTTCATTTTTATTTGAGATAGTCGGCCTCGTTTTAGGACCTTTAATTATTAAATGTCTTCCGTTCTTCCACCCTCATTTCTATTCTTCCGTCTCCGTTCGCTCTGTTTCGCTTCAGTGATGATATTTTCCTTGTCGTTGTGGCTTTTTCATTAATTTAGTTCCTTCCATCACATCCCTCGCATAATTTTTCTTCGGTCGTCTGAAGTTTTACGAATTGTCGTCTATAATCTCTTCTATTTTGTCATGTTCACAGATACAAAGCCAGAAATTAAAAATCATTATCGCGGCCATAAATTATCAATGTGGCTCAGCTTGATACCGCAAATTCATTCACCTGGCGAGTCGCCGGATCTATCAATGCGCCATCACCATTTCATCGAGGACAATCCACAATTTTATGACGGTAGGGAAAAAAGTTTTTATTTAAAGAAATTTAACTTTGTTAAAGCAAACAAATTTCTATGTTTTTCTTCTTCTTCTTTATCTTTCCGGAAACAGGAAAAATTCGTTTGCAGAGCTTAGTACGTCCAACTGTCATCAAAATCAGTGCACCATTAACCACCGCCTCTCCCAAACATAAGACTGAGAAAACACCATCACCCCTAATGCCATCATTGACAACTGGTGAGTGGTCTTTATGACGTTATCTTGAAAGAAAACCTTTTTCCATCCGTTCACATTCACTTCAAATCACTTTACGAAGTTATCTACCTACTTTATTTTCGCTTTTTTTTATTAATTTTCTTGTTAGTTGAGTATCGTTGTCTTGATCGGTTCTTCTTATTTCTTTTATCCTTCTTATGATCTTATAGAATGTCCAACAAATACAACCATCGTACCGACAATAGCAGCAACACGTCCCCAACAGAATCAAGATAATAGTGTCAATAATAATAGTTTATTGAGACGTCTGACGAGTACCCATTATCAAAGTTATGCAACAGCTTTAACGGTTACAATCGCTGTTGGATGTTTTTTACTGCTACTCAATGTTTTCATTTTCGCTGCGATTTATTATCAACGAGAAAAGCGTGCGACGTACACAAAGAAGAAAGAAGAGTTGACAGAAGCGGAAAATTTCAATTCGTCATCATCGCCTAGCATTGAACGATATCAGCAGAAGGAAAGTCGCAAATCAAGTTTGCAGAGTGTTTCAGGAACGGGGTTTGGCGAGTATAGTTGCTATGATGAAAAGGTTCGATGTAAAGAGAAGCGAGCTTTGGTTGATTTGTGTACAGTGGAGTTACCAATGCATGATTTCAAATATTCACCACCATGTGGTAGTACGACCGGTAGTATTCGTCGATCAATCACTCCTGAGAGTTATGCCAAACATTCAATGATGGATCATCGTTCATCACAAGATGGGTTTACTATGTTGCCACCGACTTATGCGCCACAAATTAATGGTAGTAATAATTTAGTTACCTATCGCTCGATTGCCATTCCTAAGACTGAACTCTGTAATCAATCGACGCAAGCCGATTCCCCACCGAGCCAGGTACACGACGCTAGCACAACTGTTGAAGAAAATGACCAAGATTTAGATTCGGACATTCCCGAACCACCACCACCACCCAGATCATCTTTCCAGTCAGGCATTTTGAGGCAAGCAAGTGCACCAACAACGCCAGGCACATCAAAGAAGCGAGTTCAAATTAAAGAAATTTCTGTTTAAATTTAATTTTAAAGCAAATGAATGAAATCATAGAATAATGTTTCAAAACTATGTTCACGTTGAATATTTTATGCCTTTTGATTAGTCACAGCTGGTAAATTGTGAATAAGCTCGGTTTGTTTTTAAAGCTTTTAAAATTTATTTTGAATTGTTAATGTTTGAAAATTTATTTTATTTACCGATGAGAGGAAAAGAATAAAAAAATAATTTAAGTTTGAATGATAAAATTATATGAAATATGCTTTAAACAATAAATTCCGAAAATAATTTATGTAATTAAAAGTATGTATAAATTGAATTTATCAGTGGGTGAACGTGGAAGTGACAAGATGAAGATATACAAAGAACCTTGCAAAGAAGAAACTTTTTAATGTCGGAAATTCCTACCAACTCCCCAAGCGTTGTGCTGTGTCTGTCCTAAATAAGAAGAAACACGACAAGAGCATACCCAGAGCCAGCATGCTTTCTTTTTCGTCTACTTTCTCGACAAGAATATTTTTATAAGCTTCCTTCGGTTGATGTGATTATTTTTCTTCCACTTTCTTCGAAGACATTTAAAAGGAAAATATTCAAGGAAAAACGAAAATCAGAGAACATAAGTCGATTATATTTATTTATATTCTGTTTTATTTGTATATCATTTCAAATGTATTTTAAATATATAATATCATTGCTTGTAAAACGAAATTATTTGATCAGAACCGCTCATCTTTTTTCAAATAACTTTTAGAATAGATAAAGGAGTCGAGGAAATCTTGCAATCAAAAAATTTTGTTTATTCCAAGTAATCTGTCTCGTTGTTGTTTCCTTGTAAGTGTAATTCATCCATTAACCATACTATGAGTAATAAAAATCGCAAATGTTACTTTTAAAATCAATATATGGGATTAAATAGATAATAAATGATGATTTTTTATAGATATTTCAACAAACAACCATCTCATAGAAAAGAAAGAAAATCCGAATAATTGAGTTGTAAAAAGAAATGAAAAAAGAATGAAGTCAATAATGGAAATTAGGAATTGTAAATGGAATTAAAATAAATAATTAATAAAAGAATTAAATTTAAATCAGTTTTGAATCGATAGTTTTTCATTTGCATACACTTTTGGTAACATAAATTGAATTTTCAGTCACTTATATCGATTTGTTTTCATTATTTTAACAACGTGAGTAAATTTTAAATATTCATATGATCGTACATTTTAATTAACAGATAAATTTCCTTTGAGCAATAATTTAATCACGCAATATTTATTCATTTAAATGTACAAAAATATTGCAAGCAGACCATGTTCAAAATGATTAAACTTGTTCCAGATCTCGGATAAACAATTTTCTTCATATATCTACATCAAACTGTTGAAATCCTTTCTAACTTTTGAGCTATGTACAAATTTTTCAACATAAAACATCATAACATAGGACAAGACATACACACAAACAAAAAAAAAGGTTTCAAAAGTGACCTTTGCACATTCGTTGACACATTCAACATGAAAAGGATTACTTTTTTCTCATTTCTCTTTTGTTAGAGAAGCTTTCATCACAATGTCTAGTTAATGATGATGTGAAGGATAATCTTCCCTTGAGAATCTTCATGAAAATGAAGCAAGGAAATGTTTTTTCGTTACTCAGCTAGCTCTCTTCACTCAACAAACATATGAAAAGTGAAGAAACACTAGAAAAAAAATAATTATTCATCGGTTCGTATTTTATATCTTCCCACCTAACCACCCACACCTTTCTTCTTCTCTTTTTACATAAACATTTTTCCTTCGTTTGAATATTATGAAAAATTGTTCAGAATTTTTGTTTGTTGTGCGAGTTTCTTTGATAATTTATGTCTTCGTTTCTCCATATCAACATCTCCGTGTGTTTGATCAGAAATTCTTCTTTTGTTGCTTCAACAAACGTTTAGATAAATCCCAAGCATGTTTTTTAATGAAAATTCTTTCACTACTCTATCACATTCATCAAAGATATTATGCTGCTATTAAAAATCATAAAAGAAAATCTTTTTGAAAGAAAAGAATTTAAAAAGTTCTGAATTAATAAAGATTGAGTCATAAATATTAATTGCATGTATGCATGATTCTGCATACACAATTTCTTTCATACGTAGATCGAAAAGTTTTCCTTCCTTAGAACATAGACGACATTAATCATTACTATCTACCATAATTAAACTCCAAGCTTCCATAAATTCATTTTTTTTATGGTGATGACATATTTAATATCGTGCACAAGTTTTTTTTATAGTTCTGAATGAGATCATTAAAGATTTCTGCATTCAATAAAGACATTTTTTTTCAATGAAATGATAAAACTTTTCAGCTGCTTCTCATTATGGAATGCAAACCTTCTATGATTAATGTTGATGCACATTATAATTTGAATGCAACTCTCAACTTAAGGATTTTCAATTTTTAAGAGAAAATTACGCAGAATATTTGTTGTAAATTTCAAAACCGAGTGTCATTAAACTTCTTGTCATCATCATCGTCGTCTTTCCACTTAGTTGAAAGAAATTTGCTTGACTGCAATTTTTATACATTCCTTTTAACATGTTGTTCTTTACATTGTACGAAATATTAAGGGCTGTTTATGATGCTCACTCATAAATATGAAAATGAATTCTGAATGAGAAAAAATAAAATGAGTTTGCATAGTCACACACTCATTACTTCGCTCTTTAAACAACTTTGTTGTTTGATTGTTGTCATGAAGGAGTTGAATGAATAAAATTATTTCTTCTTTCTAAAGCAAACATTCATTAAGTTCTGAAGGGATGGAGAAATGATTTTATACTAAAATATTTATTGAAAACTCATTTTATAGTAATGCACTTTCAACAGGTTTGTAATGAACTCATTTACCTCTATGGTATACATAAACAAATTTATTTGTGTAAACATCGTTTTCAGACGAATAAATAGAGTTGTATGACATGTTTTTCTGCAGCTTGCGCGAGTAAACATAATAAATAATGCAAGATTAAAGATGCATCATCTTAATGGATTCCCTTGGCGCTCTCTTCAGCTTCAAGGAGAAAAATCTTCACGTGAGATTCTCGCTAAGTGAATTTTCTTCATCGAATTTAGATATCAATCGAATAAATATAAAATAGAAGAAGTTCAAAAATATTTCCAAGTTCACATAATAAAATATCAAAAACGATGAGAAATTTCTTGTATGTGTGTGAAACATTTACAGCTTTCATTCAGTAACAACGCAAGCCGTGTAGCAAGCAAACGAGGGAATGTGAGGAAACAAATAAATTTGCATAAACCAAATCAGAAGCCACTATGTGAAGTAAACATTCATTTGACATCAAAAGTTCTGAAGGGAAGGAAAAAAAAAAAAATGAATGTCAAATGAAGATTCAAATTCACATATTTTGGCTCAGTTACTTTCGATTGTGTTTGGGATATGTGACGTAACATAGAAACTTCAAAAGAAATTTAAGCTGGAAGACGGAGAGAAAAGAAAGGAAATTTAATCGAGTTTATGTTTACACAATGAACGTGATTGAATTTACAAAGTGAAACATGGTCGAAAAAAGAAATGATCTGCGAGCAAATTCAAGCCTGCTGCTGGGAAACTTTGAGCGTGTTGTGAAGAAAGAAGCATCGAGTTGAAAAAGGTTTCTTTTCTGATTATGCACGAACGCGTCTCGAAAGAGTTTCTTTTAATACTACATAAGATAAAGAAACTGACCAAGCAAAAATCTCAATTACGATAGCAATAGACTATGCTTTATTGAACGAGATTATCTTGAATTAAGAAAATTGATCTCAAAAAGGATATTCCGACCGCACTTCCTTCTTCATCTAATCATAAATTCATTTGAAATGAAATGTTTATCATTCCTACTTTTGATTTATTCATCATTAACCATTCATGTGGCACTCGAATAGTAGCAACTCAACCGGCAAAGATTGAGACAAAATCTAGAAGCGGAAATGAATTTTTCTTCCCTCTTCACTCTCTCCTCGAGAGCAAAAAGTTTAAACTGTTTTTATGAGTTCCGGAAATTACACTTTTTTTCTTTTTTTTTCGTTCAACAATTTCAATAAATCTTTCGTCTCCCTTTTTCATATTTGGATGATATCAGAAAATGCGACAGCAAAGACGCTGTTTTCAACTTTCTCAAGAAGACATAAATTTTAATCGTAGCGAGGGAATATTTTTGCATGCGTGTGTGTATGTGTTTGTATATATTGTATGTAATATTATTATCTAATCTTCCTTTTTCAAATGCCACACGAACCATAAGCTGAAGATTAAATTGATTTCAAATTCATAAATAATCGCTATAACAGTTGACTCAACCCTCTTCCATCTCATTCACCTTCTCTAAATTATGGTATAATTTGTTTTCGTCTTTTCAACTTTACAGAAATGCGCTGCTTTTAAGGTAAACACTGTATCAAATGTTTTGGATACGAAAATTCTTTCCAAGATATGAAAGCAAAGATATAAATATACGTAATGAAAGTTCTACCTCTTATTAAGATTCATCCATTCGGAATAATTTGACTTTAGCTTTACGCTTGAGATCATTCTTTCAGTCATTAAAGATATTAAGAAATTTTTGCGAAAGAAAATATGTATCATTCGATGTCTTAAATATATAAGCACACACATATTTATTATCATATTATATCCTTCTTATGAGAACAAAGTCAGTTGACTTTCTCATAATCTTTTGTCAATGGAAAATGTCTGCTCGTTAAACTTTACAGCAACTTTTTTTCTTACGTTTATGAGTATCCTTAAAAAACATTTTTTGTCTTTTATTTCTTTTGAAATTTTTTCTATATTTTATCTTTGTGATCTTTCTTTCACATTTTTTTTTTCATTCTATCTCTAAACATTGATTGGGGGACAGAGAGGAAATCCGAAAGAAAAACCTCAAATCCAAGCAATTCATATTTTGACGTGGATACAATGATAGGTTTCCGAAAATACATTTGATTGTTTAGCTTAGTTGACATAAACCCTCTTGTCGACCTTTGGGCAAGCTAGTGTTGTAATCATCGGATGTTTTCAGATTAATTTTCTCTGTTTCTTCTTTAAATGAAAGTGGAGTGAAAGAATATGAAGACATTACCTCCATCCGGTCTTAAATAGGCAATTTCAGCTTTTGTATCCAAGCCCGACAATCAATTTCACTTAGGATTTCATATTGCTGTGAAGTCAAAAGAAAAAAGAAAAAAAATGATCATAAAAATTAGTGAGTTTCGTTATGGTTTTTACAACTTTGACCGTTCTTATTATGACTCCACTCAACTCAACTCGCCTGCTATCCAATAACATTGGTAAATCAAATTTAATGGAGGCATTATTATGCTTCAAGCGATAAGAAAACTCTTATAAGAAAAGGAAATGCATTGGATTTCTGCTCTCAATTTTTAACGGTAAACTTTTTCAATAAAAGGAAATGACAAAAGTAAATCGTAAGAAAGAAAGTTGCAATAATAAAAGTGACACGGAAAAAGTTTTTAATTTCGATTTCCATGAAGGTGTTCGAACTAAACGTGATTTGAACTTTCTTTAATATATTTAATTTCAGTAAATATTAAACTTTCTGTAATTCCAAAATAAATATTAAGAAATAGTTGTGAAAAAAAGATTTCTCGCAGAATTCGTCTTTGATAAAGATTGAAATAGTTTCACATGAATTTGATAATCTTTGCAAGATAAATTTAACTTTTAGATTAAAGGGGAAGAGATAATGTCTTTGAAAAGTTTTTCTTTCGTTTTTTATTTCTTGTTATTGTCGTAAAGCATTGGACGATGGTGAATAAATCGATCGATATTCTTTAAGTTTGCCTAAAAGCATTATCACAATACAAATAGTTCAACTCCATCATTGTCGACGATGGATATTGAGCATGAATATCCTTTTTGTCTTGCTTCCACTTCTTAGATATCTTTCAAGAGTATCGACTTTGAAAGTTTTTACAAGATGTATGCAGAAGCTTACAATACTTCGTCTGAACCATCTTTTTAATCACGATAAGTAAATATCTAACATACAATGCAGACAGCGATATTAAAATATCTCTCGGAAATGAAACTTGGAAGATCAATACACTTAACTTTTCATATCTATTCTCAAACAGAGAAAATTTCTATAAGGGCCTTTGTAAAAGTCACGATTTCTCAAGGCAATGTAATGATACAAAATGAAGTTTAAAAAACAATAAGCAATGAATTTCTTTTCCTTCATTTTTCCAATTTGTTTTTTGAGAAGCAAAATAAGGTCGCACAAAGAAAATAAAATTTTCAGATATCACTTTTACAATTTTCCTTTTTTAAATGAAATCATCAAAGCCTTTTCTCAGAAGATTAATTCAAAATTGACATTTCTTTTATTGAAAAGTTAAATTTTCTTCATGCTTACTATCGCAGTGCTCATTTCTTTAACCTTTATAGGGGTTCAAATGTAAATTTACCCTTCGCTTTTAATTGAACCTTTAATTAAGTTAGAGCTGAAAAGATAAAATTAAATTAATTGATTTCAATGTTGTAGGTATTTGGAGTGTTGAACAAGTTTCCTTTTAAAAAGGCTTAAGATTTCCACAACACCGCTGTCTTGTGGTCTTATTAATTAAGACTTTTCTGAATCCATTTCAAAGCATCAATAAAACTGATTAACAAAAAATATATATTTGAGGACTCATCATTATCATCAGTCATCAGTATAGGGTAGAACGTACACAACTAACTTGCCAGTGATAAGTTTTTATTAGGGTTTTCACCATGACGCCATGCATGTCGTCATGCATGTCGTCATGGCGTGACGTGACAACCCTAGTTTTTATTTTCTCCTGAGCATTCCCATGAATATGGAAACTTCAGTTAACCTGCGATAATTCAAAATGTCTCGTGATTACTTGTAATACTATCACGAAATTATCAACTTTATCAACTAATTTCGTTCATTTGAGATAATAAAGTAATAAACTAAGAGATTAACAAACAAAGTAATAAATTACGCCATAAATAATATCAAATATTTCAGTTTTACACTTGAAAATTACGCTAATTATTAATCAGATATATAAGAGTTGGTCTGTCAAAGAAACGCTTCAAATCTTAACAAATTCTTTTTATTTGAAGTCTCAGTTCACTTGATTTAATATTTGTCTACTTCCTACACTTGTCTGTTAACTTGAAGAAAAAAAACTCCAGTAGTTTTATGAGTCGTCAAGTGTAATAAAAGATATAAAATTTAATAGTTTGTTTCATGTTATTGCAAAGCAAAACCAAAGATTTGCAAAGAAACTATAAAAGCTTTTATCATCAAATTATGAAGGTTTCCTTATTTTTTTGCCTTAGACTTTATTATATTTCATGCACAACCTTCAATGATATGGTGGCAACAAAAAGTCAGCATCATTTTTATAGCTGAGAAATGTTCTCGAGTGGAAAATTTCTTACAGCAAATGTGTAACGTAGCGGCCATGGTTAAATTACCTCTCTTTACATAAATTTAAGTACATACATCTTTACATAAGATTGTCAAACAACACAGTTTTATGACTTCTAGAAATTTGCATTATCATGACGTATCAAATGAGACATGAGCTTCCAAGTCGAGCTATTTATATCTAAGAAGCAAACAAATTACTTAAATTGCCTTTTAAGAGTTATAAAAGCACTTCTTATTCCAACTCTTCTAGAAATGTGAACTCTTATCTGCTTTAATGTCAATGGCAAACGAAATTTCACAAAAAAGAAAGAAAAAATTCCTCGCACATTTGAAAGCAACAGTAGGAAAACTTCTTGACAGTATAAATTTTGAAACAATTTTTGTGCAAGAACGTTTGCAAAGTATGTAGAAATCTGAGAAATTTGCATTCTTTCATGACTCGACTAATCACACTTTTATTGTAATGAATTATTTCCTCGCTCGATGCGATCTGAAAGTCACTTAAAAATAGTTTTCGTATTTAAAGATTTTTATGTAGATATTCTGATTTTTTATAAAAGAATTATTCAGTTTAGTAAGTTCATCAACTGCGACAAGTATGAAACTTTCTTTCTTTGATCATCAAATAATGTTTAGTTAGTTAATTGTAAGACAAAATCTGAACATAAGTTTGCAAATAAATTGAAAAAGTTTTTAAAACATCGACGAAAACTTCTTAAACAGAGCAGAATTGAAAATGGTTTAAAAAAGTTTTTGTTTTTTAAATTTAAGTGTGGAAAACATAAACTTGAAATGTTTTGGAAACAAGAAATAAAAATCTGAAAATAAGATTCTCAGCTGTCAAGTTAATGATTGATGATTTATGATTGAGAAATGATGTGTTGAAAAGTGGAAAACTATAATTAATTTATTAGTTATGCTTTGTCATTATTCACGCTTGTGTGTTTTATTAGCTATCAAGTTGATCATAGATTGCTAACAGATTCATTAACTTCTTCAAAATAATATGAACAAACAATATTTCTAGCGACAACAAGATAAAAAATTGTCAAATTATCAATTTGATAATTTACTGTGATCACAGCTTGATGTCTTCCCATATGATATTCAAAATTTATTCATACGCGAAAGCATTCAATAGGAAACTAATTTGATTTATTCTGAAGAACAATTTCAAAAAGCTTTTCTTTTCGCTGAAATGAACTCATTTTTTACTGCACAAATGGAATGTTTTTCATTCGTTAAGAATTCATCCAAAAACCAAAATTTATAAAAATATTTTTCCATAATGAATTTAAATCATTTCATTTCTTATTTTGCTGAGAAAATCTTACTTTTGAAGTATTTCATGTCCCAAACTTTCATTTCTCTGACACAAATTAATTTCCGAAGTAAAAATATTGCAATCAATGCCAATGATTAAAGATTAAACGTGATGCAAGGATGAAAGTCTGGAAAAGTTATTTATCGTTTTGATTCAATGAAATTTATATGAAAATGAAAATCGTAAAAAACTTTATTTGCATTTACGCTTAATGATATTTTTTCCAAATTTTTTTCTGATAAAATCTGTTCAACAACCAAATGCAATTTGCAACCGAGAAGCGAGCTTGTAAACAGAAATTTTTGCGTGGGTGATTGACAATTTTAAATTTTCGATTCAACATTGAATTTTTGACGTCTTTAAAGACCTTCGATTACCTTGCAATTATGGAAAAATTCAAGATAATTTTTATTTATTGAAGAGAAGTCTAATCTAATCATCTATTGGATTTCAAGGTCTAGTGGATTGGAAACAGAATTAAGATTAACGAATATATAAAATGGCAATGAAATTTCAACCTGTTCCCTTGCTAAATTCAATAAATGACGAAAGGGAAATTTTTAATAACCTTGCAATAGACACAGAGAAAGCTCGATAAACTGTCTACTCAATGAACAGATAAGCTCGATAAACTGAAGTGTTTTAGAACACACCGGTTCAATTTTTATATATTTTTGTCCCCAAGAACAATCAAGTCATCCAGGTTTCACTGTAATTCAATTATTTTATCAAGTATCACGAGATGGCCGTTTTTTTCCATTCAATGAAACTTCCTTATCAGTCCTTAACTGTAATGTAGAGCAGCAAAATATATTTACTGTCGATTATTCTTTATCTTAAACTCATAATGATTAAATTAAGCAATTAACGAGCATTAGTAACAATTTCAATTGAATGTTTCTTGAATGACAGAAATTCTAAATGATAAAATATCAAAGAAAAATGATAACTTTATCAACTCTGTTTATTGAAGAAAAAGCACGTGACTTAGCATAGCCCACATCTGCTGTTTTCTTATTTACAAACATCATGTTTCTGGTTGTATGAAGAAGTTCTTTGATTAAGATCAATATGAAGATTATTGCTTTCGTGTGATTCTTTCAATTAAAAAACGTCACATGCTGCTTTATAAAATGTCTTCATCAAGTGTTCGATACATTAATATATAAAATATGTGTTTGATGAGCGATATGAGCAATTAAGCTCAATACTGGTAAAGTAAATAAATAAACAAACAAACGACGACGACTAAGCCGGGCGACATCAGCCGTCTATTAACAAGTTCTCAAAGACTCTCAGCATTTCTACATGACGAATGGACTTTAAGATTGTATTTGTTTGCAAAGTATTTTCATCGCTTATTTAGTCGCGAGAGCTTCATATAAGAAATTAACACAGAAAAGTGCTTTTGATTTTCTTTTTCGTATTTTTTTTTCATTCAGTGACGAAAAGTAAAAAGAGTTTATTCAACGTATAGCGTACAATTTAAGTCAAAGCTTCTATATAAGTCCCATCAGTATTCAACGTTTGATTTCAGTTTACAATATCGGATGTTAAAGTCAACAAGTGTCTGCTTCGGGTGTTAAGCGGTTTCATATGAAATGCAATTAAATCATTTGGAATATGTACGAATTTTAAATAATTGAAAGTGTTAATGTCATTGTTTCAATATAACAAAATAGCAAAAAAAAAATTGAATAAATAAATCCTGGATGTTAAAAGTTTCGAAACGAATAGCTAGCAAAAAACCAAGTGTCAATTGCAATTTTATTTTTTTTCTACAAAAAAAAATATAAAAAAAAGAAACAAGAGAAATATTTGTGAAAAAAATTCAGCGAGAAATAATTTGAAGAGTTTTAATGTGAGTGAATCTGGTTGAAATCAAATAGAATATGGAAAAAAGTATCATTTGGTATTGGCAGATAAATGAAGGAAAGCGTGATATTTATGGGAAATAATATCTTGTTCAGAAGGGAATTAAAATAAATAACTTTCAATTGTCAATTAATATTCACATGCTATGTATGTACATGCAATCACGAGGAAAATCTTAAATCAATACAGCAGAATCAGAGCTTCAAACTACTCTTAAGGCATCATTGTTAATTTTTCAAATGTTGTAATTGATTCACTCGATATAAGCATAATGTGTAGAAAAAAATGCAACAAGACCTGCTAATTTTTCAAGCAAATAATCTCGTGATCATTAGTGATAATTTTCTTTATAAAAATTCACACGACTTTGACAAGAGAAGCAACAGTTTTTTAACCCGCTTACTTTTAATTATTTTAGTTACACAAGTTAAGTTTTTCTTTCATCTTTACCGTGAAATTTTTTGACGCTTTAACTAATTTATTTATAAGTTGGAAATAAAATAGAAGAAATAAAAGTGCTTGGCTGATCTTACCTAGATGCTTAGCTCTCGAGAGTTTCTATTCATTGCAAGCGATGTAATGGATTTCAATCTTAAAAAGAAAGCTTTTCTCTTCTTCAAAACTTATGAACACAATGAAAGTCCAACTGAGACCGATAACGAAGCTTCACCGATGCGGAAAATGTAAAGCAAGGGAAAGAAAAAACATGAAAAATTTAATGACACAGCACCTGTTGTATTTTAAGAATTCTCAACCCATTAAAAGCGACGAGATGGAAAAGGAAACAAACCTTCGACATTTATTCAAGCACTGAAAAATTATTTCTATCATGTTCGCTGCTATTTCATATAATGCGAGACTCAATTATTTTCATTAAACAATTTAAGTTTGCATTTTTTTTCTCGAAAAATCACAGACGATTTTAAAAGCTTTCTGATGACTTTTCATTGCACTTAAACGCTGAATTTGTTCCAGTTTAATGTACTTTAGCGATATCTTCAGGAAAGCGCAAAATCAACTCTCAAGTATCGCAATTTTACATAATTAAACTACAAATACTTTGTGCTGACATTCGTCTTGGGGAAAACAATTTTGAAGCTGTGCGAGTTGTGAAAAGTTAAAATAAAATCTCATAGTTACGAACAGAAATTAATTTTCATGTTTTACCACAACTTATCCAAAACTTTTTCCATCAAACAAAGTTTTTCAGCATCAACGATGAACAAATTTTGTTGGTTCCATAATTAATATAATTAAAAAAAGACCTTCTAACATGCTTTTAAGGTTTATCAGTTTCAAAACAAACTTAAGATCGTCATTGACACTTGAAGTGGTGGAAGTATCTCGAAGGTTGAGAAATAAAAGTTTTTACGTCAATTGAATTATCGGAGATAAAATTTGGAAACTTCAGTGAGGTTGATAATACTTCGATTAATTAAACTTTCCTCAAATTTATATCCACTTCTAAGAATCGGAAATGACTAGGAAAATAAACAGACAAATTAATTTTATTCTGCTTAAACAAGTTTACAATAATCGAGGTTGAAATATTTTAATGATTCCATTTAAAAACGTTAGACGATGGCAAATGTTTATTATTTATTTAAAGTTGATTTAGATGGAAGAATAAATCATTAAATACTCAAAGGTGAACATCAAATTAGAATTAGTCATGTGATCGATAAATTTATCAGATAGCTAAAGAAATTATTATGCCAAAGCATGAATTCTTTTAATTCGAGTTAATGCCCAGGCAATTTCTATGAAATTTAGTACTGCTTGACTCGTTTACTCTAAATAAATAATTAAGATTTACTGAGAATCCTTTTTTTGTGTGCTGTTAAGCCTTCAAGGAAAGATACAAAAATTATCTGACACTCGGTTGAATAAACCAATGAAGGAAAAAAATACAATCCAACAGAAAAAGGAATTTTATCTATCTAAGAAATGTCAACACAATGCCAATCATCGTCAGAGAATATTTACATTTAATTTACTCGATTCACGATAGTTCCATTATCATGTGCTTGATTATTATTTTCCCTCATTTTCTCGGTTCACAAAAGGGTTAAATGACAAAGGAATTAAAGCAAGAAATGTGAAATTGTCAGCTTAAGCTTTCGGATGTAATTAAAACTTTGTAATAATAACTAAAATGTGTTTGCTGAAGGGATTAAATGTCAAAGTAAATCGATTTTGAAAAAGTACTAAGCATTGTTCATTATCTTAGGATTAGAAGCTTTCAACTCTGGTATTTCCAATTATTCTGTTCATTATCAACAAATTCACATAAAAGTAGAAAACAAATTGTATGTTCGACATGACAAAAACAATTAGATATTTGAATGTTTTGGGAATTTTACAAATCTAATGACGATTGTCGAACAAAGTATTTTGTACTGTGCCACATGCTTCAAAATATCACTTCAAGTTTCCGATGTCCTCGAGACTATCGGAAAACTACTTCAATTTGAAAATTTTTTGATAAAAAAACAATGTGACGGAGACAGAGAGAGAGAGAGAGATAGAGAGAAATCAATGATCACGATTTTTAAAGACGATAATGTCAATGATAATCAGTACAAGGTTAACAAGTTCCAAACAGGAAAAAAATTGAGAAGAATTTTCAAGATCAATGACATATAACGCAGCAATAAAATCTATGTAATAAAAACTACACAATTGTTTAAGTGTGGTTCAACTTCAGTTTAGCGGTTAATTTAATAGTTAAACGTTTATCACCATATTTTCAAGTATTATTGATTAGGAATGTCGTCTCATAAATCACACTCATTTATTGTTCAGATCTGGTTTCTTTAAACATCACAATTGTTCTACATCATTATTTTTGAGATATAATTTGATTGAATGACAAGTAAATAAGTTAATGTGACTTATCTATTATGGTTAAAGAAAAAATATCAAAACTTTTTTATTATCATTGACATTGTGTGTAGAAAGCTTTCTGAATTGTTTCTTTTCTTAACATTACTCAATAATTGTCTGTAGATTGTAAAACAAAACAACGAAATAATGAAAGACAGTCACGATGTTTTCAGTTTACCACGTGCTTAATTTCATTTTGTAAACGTAAATAAAAATAAAACATTTTTAGTAATCGATGTTTTCTTTTTAAACTTTAAACGCTTTTTGAATAAGTAAAGATCGCTGTTGAACCGCACAACTTGCTTTGCACATAAGCATTTAAATATCATTTTCAAAACATTGCAAAACAAGGTCAACAAAAATTCTTGTCGCTCTCATGCACAGACTCAAGACAATCGTTACTGAATATCGCATATTTATAAGGTTATTGACCTCAACGCTCATAAATGAATTGAGTTTTTTTTACAATTTATGCGACATTGCATAAATTGATAAATCTATGAGAATTTCTGAGATTTGATTAAAAGGAAAACTTGCTGAATTTTTTCTTGCTACATAAATTTCCGAATATTCTTGTAAATGACGGAGAGCTGAAATGATTTAATCTAATCTTGCTTCATTTTGTGTGAATGAAAATAAATTCTTATGAAGTTAGTTAGGAATGAGCCACAGTCGTGTTCTGTTGAAGATGTGAATGGAAATTACCAGAATTCCATTTATAAAAAGAACTGACACTGCTTCATGACATGATAAAGTCACTTTCATATTTTATTACATGAAAAGAGCTCAAATTTCAAAAACAGACATGACATCTTTAAGAAGAATAAAGGAAGAAAAAAAAGAAATTCAATAAATATAATCTCGCGAAATTTTCTATAATATCGTCTTTAAGTGAATAACTCATAAAGCAATTTACGTGATTCGTTGAATCGAAGTTCAATTTTGATATTTGATTTGATGAGAACTTTAAACATTTCATATCAATAGCATTTTGGTTTGTCGCTTTTAAATTCGATTTGAAATTGCAATATCAGCATCAATAACAGAAACAGAAGCAGAAATATTACTGTCAACAATATATTTTCGTACTTTATTGAGTAGATAAAAATCTTTGAATATTTTGTTATGTTGGCATTCAAAATTATTACAATGTCTCGAAGTAAAATTTTCTCAGACGAGAAGATTTATTCTGCACGTGCTTTTATGCATAAGCAATTATAGAAATATTTTCAAGCTTTAGGTTTTGTTATCTTCCTGCTTTAAATAGAATTTAAAAGAATTCATTCACTTCATATAAATTATAAACGTCTTGCGAATGCAGTTATGAATACTCGAGAAAAATGTTGTTGGCAGAAGAAATTATTCTAATTTAATTACAATTATTTGAAGCTACTTGTAATGAATATTAAAGATAAATTGACTATGAAATATCCCAATTATGAAATTAATAATTTGTCATGGAGAAAACTGATCGTTTTAATTAACACAATTTGTGATTATCTAATTATGAAACTCGCTAATTAAATAAACCCTGTTGATTTTGCATATCACGATTATTGCTATAATTCTTTTTAATGTCTCAACTTTTATTTCTCCTGTCAAATTTAAAATAATTTATTAATATATAAAAGCTTTTATTCTAGTGGACAATAACAATAGCGACATTATTTGTGTGTGCATTTAAAATTAATATCGACACTTCCACAACATTTGTTTTCCATCTGTATTTATTTTGTATTTAATTAATGAATGATATCAACACTATCGAATCAAAATGCCGTTCTAAATTGTATTTGTTTATCAAATTTACAAATTCGAATTTGATTGATTTATTTTGTTAACTGACCTCATCGCATATTGATTATGGTATTTGTACACATGTGTTGTGATTCCTAATTAAGTTACTTTAATTGACTTTCCAATGACTCAATAAATTTGTTTATGCTACAACTCTGAAATTTGTCACATATTTGTCGTCATATTCAAGTGATCAGAAATTGTTTTCGTATTTATTTTAATTTAATAGACGAGTAAAATTGTAATAAATATTCATCTGAGCGATTTCATTTCAAGTCTTTTCCCTTCTTTGATTAATTGATCTAAGTTAAAGATTTTTTATTTCAACGAAGAGAAAATGGAAAAACATCGTCATGTCATTTCTTTTTATCTCATCGTTTTCATTATCTAATTAAATGCTGAGTGCAAAATGTTACACGATTAGTGTGTCAGCCTCTAGGGAGTTGCCACTTGTTCGTTCTTCTCTTTCTGTCACTTACTCGCAAAAGGTTTTATATCATTATTTAATATTAGAAAGATGAAGAAAATGAAATCAAAAATATTCAAGAAATGTTTTCTTAAGTAATTTGAGGAGTTAAAAATAAAAATGTCTTATCAGTCTTGATTCTTCGGCTTGTTTATTTCTTGATATAAAGCGGCGTTTCGATGTTACTTCTCATCTTCAGGCTACTGTTAAGTTTATCAAATATCTACTAAATTACATGAACCTACAAATAAAAACAATTTGCTTACAAAACAGCAACAATGAGTCGTAAAAATTAATTTTTGTTAGAAACTTTTCACAAGTTTTCTTAATTTAAATCAGATACGAAAGAAATCAGTCTCAATGAACAACGAGATAACCTCTGACGACACTTACAAAAAATGTTGACAAATGAACATATCAATTTCAATAAATGTCGTTGTTGACATAAGTTTTTTTTTCTTTGATAAATTTATATCAAAATTGAAAAACTTTGTTGATTGAAATTATGTCGAAAATTTTTATTTTTCTTTTCGGAATATTCGTGACGCAAACAAATCAAAACTTAAATGAGAACTTTCACACTTATTCTGACGTCCATCATTCTTTTCTTGGAAGAATTACTTTGTTCGAAAACAGTTGTATTAATTTATATTTTTGTTTACAACTCGATGAGTTTTGATTGATCACTCAAATTCATTAAAACTTTCCGCTTAAATCTTGGATAAGTGTTTACATTGACTCTAATAAGTCACAATCAGGAATGACGATGAACTTATTATTTTGCTGTTATCAAAGCTCGCATATGAATTGTAAATAATGACAATTGAGTGAACAATTGTTGATATAAAATAACATAGACGTCTATTAATCGATAAGTTATCGCAAAATCTTTCGATCTGTCATAATCACATTGCGTTTTCCTGACATTTGATTTACACAGAAATACTTTTTCATTTCAAAGTAAAATAAACGATATTATTCCCACAGTTTTAAGATGACTTCAAACGAACAAACTTCACCACCAATTAGTGATGACCAATCTGAATCTGTTCGAAAAACCTCCACCATCCTACCACCTACAGATGTAAAGAGAAAAGTTTCAATTCTAACTGATCAGCATTCACCAGAGAAAGGCGGCAGCTACTATGACAATTTAGCATTTGAGGGTAGAAAGATTTCCCAGGTGACAATTTATCTTGAAATTTTTTTTAATTATATTTATGGAGATTATTTTGAAATGTTCAATTTAGCAATCTGATCATTCGGAAGACGGGACAAGGAAGAAAAGTATATTGCACAATCCGCTTACACCTGAACAACAACGGCTAGCACTTCAGCAAGTAGTTCCATCGGATACTATTGTCACCCAACCCACACATGCAACACTTCCTAACTTGAACGCTGTTAACGGTATGGTTGATTTTTTACATACTCTTTCGACAACCAAAATCCAATTAACTTCTATCAATTTTAATTGGAAATTCTCCCCTCTCTCTCTCTCTCTTTCTGTTTTTGAAATGACTTCCAGATAAATTAAATGGCGGTGACACTCACCATCGTGGTAAGAGACATTCGACTACTTCATCCCTTTACTCCAGACACTCCCGTAAATCTAGCAGAGATGAAAAGCTAAAGCCGAGTATGGAAGGGTCTTGGATTTATTCGTTATGTCTGCGGTGCCGAGCGCAATGTAAGCTATTTTTTTGGCAGACAATGACTTCTCATTTGAATAATTGCTTCATACATATCCCTGCTGTTTCTCGTTTAGATAATACAAAATCCTGGCAACCGAAATATTGGGAAAAAGTGTGTCCATATCCACTTTGTCCATCGTACCGCCAATTTGCTCGGCTGCTCAGCATTATTCTCATTGGTAAGTGGTTATGTGGGTATACGGTTAGCTAACTTAAATGGGAAAACAACCTACAAAGAACTCATAATTAGAGATTTGTTATAATGATGAAGGATTTGTTTATGAATGTGGGATGTGAGCGATATAAGAGCAAGAAAGATGAAGAAAATCGGCTGAATGCACTCATCCGACACATGGCAGTAACAAATCTTTCTTCTTCACTCAATTCAGTCCTTTTCCGTCAACTTTTTGATCCATTTTCATCCATATCATTTGCCATAAGCACAAGCTCAAGAACCAATTTATTATTTTTGTTCAAAATTCCGTGGTAAATGTCTACAGTAGACATTGTATAAAGTTTCAATTCGGATTCCGTTTCTTCAAAGTGAACAGGGAAAATGAATTCAATTCATCAACAAATTAAACCTTTCGGCGATTGTCAGCCTTTATTCAGCCTAACAATGTGCAAAAATATTGATATGTAGTCGTTAACAGTGAAACAATATTCAATGAGTGGAACTTTCAATTCATAGCCAGTTTCCTGATTCTTTTATTTAATTTTCTCTCTGGGATTAATTCCGTAAAATATACAATGTTCACTTGTTTTCTTTCCATCGTCTTCCACCTCAACTTAATTATATTAGATTCATTAATTTGGCTTCTGTCTCACGGCATGATGTTATATAAAGAAGAAGAATGAAAAAAATCACTCAATGAACATTCTACCATATCAAAAGTTGTAGCAGAAAAAAAATAAAATAAAAAAGACCTGCAGTCATGGAATCAGTATGAAAGCTAATAAAAATCAAACAACATGACTGTTTCGCCGTGTTGAAAAAAATGTTATTATGTGCTATAAATGGTTTTTCTTCTTTTACTTGGCTTCTTTGTTTATAAGAAAGTCGGGGTAAATTATTGTGTATCGATAGACTTCCAGTGAAAGCTCAATAATCAAATAAAAATCCAGTTCTGTCGTCATTCACATTTTTTCCATCTTTATTTTTAAAATGAAATTGGATTTTCTTAGAAGGTTCTAATATCTATATGTCACGTGTACGCCTACGCAATATTTATTGAGAGATGTTAGGGCGATTTCCATTTGTACTTCGATAAATAATAAAATCGACATAATTCGTTCGGGACATTTACTTGTGAAATTCTCAGGAAAAAAAAGAAGAAAAAAAAATCATGAATTGAACAATCTTGCCGAAGTCTCAAGTCTAGAAAATTATTTATTGCCTACTCCCTTTAACTATAGAGAAACTCTTGTGGGAGTCTAAGAAAAACAATAAAAAGTTTTCGTTTGATAAAATGAAAGAGAGATCAGGAAATAAAATCGTTAACGATTCTTAAAAGGCAATTTAATGAATTTTCACATACTTTTCCGTTCACTCAACCATCAAGCACAAGTCCACCAATCATTTTTACGACTTTTTGCCTTTGAATTAATTTTTCATGGCCTTTTCTAAGGCTCTTATCTTTTGTTTTTTATTTATTTTTACTTTATAAGCAGCATCCGTATACTTATATGGTTGACACATATCTTTTCACACTTCTTTCGATATATCCTCTTAAAAAGAAACGCTTGTAATGAAAACAAAAAAACTCGGAGACAAGAGAAAACAACATGACAGAGACGACAAAGTTAAAATGTTTATGGAACTACAGACAGAATACATTCTATGTATGTACAACATAACATGTCGAGAAGCATGTTGAAATGGGGCGAGAATTGGGGGTTTAGTGAATCTGACAGTTTGCTTACGTTATAAAAAGCTTTGTGATGTGAATGCGACCTTTAGCACGGTAAACCACCACACCAAATATTAAACATCAAGTGCGACAAAAAATTATCGCGACCTAAAAACGAAGATAAATACTTAAATACGTATTTGGCTACAAAATCTCTTCATCCCCTCTTCACAAGCTTTTTGTGTTTTGCTGTTTTTGTTGGAGATTCGTTTATTTGTATATATTTGTGATATTACTTACGAATGGAAGTACAGTGGAACTTCGATAAACAGATAAACCTTGATAAACAGATATTTTTTTGTCCCCTTGAATCGAATTTGTATGAAAAATTGCCTCGATTAACTGATGCACCTTCAGCCATCTGTTTAACGAAGTTCCACTGTACAATGGGCACTAAGGAGAATTAATACAAAATAAATAAACACAACCAAACGGAGAGTAAAATTCTGTCATCATGTTAAAAATTATAACAATGGTGGTCAGAGTGATGGCTTCGCACAAAAACAATTGCTTGCAACAGTGTCATTAGATGGTTAGGGTAATGGAGTGAGAAGACTATGACAGAAAAAAGAATTTTGTTCACTCAATAATTCACTTAACCACATGAAAAGGCGATGAATATGACGATTGCAAATCAAACGTGTGCACGCACACCAACATAATGTATCACCTTATACATCATTAATTTTATCGTACATAGATTGAAGATAATGATAAATTTTCATGAATGATTTCTTTCTCTATGTCGTTTCCTTTTTGCTTGAATTTTTTATTTATTGTTTATGTAGCTTAAGATATATGTTTTTATTATTAAGTCTGTCTCTCTTTTTTTGCTTCAATAGCATTATTTATGCTTAGAAGTTGTGTTCTTTTTGCTGCTTTTTGTCTAATAGCGTGGGTGGGTTAATCAACGTGTAATGTGTGAAAAGCATATTGATGTCATGTAAACTACTTTCCTTACACTTTCATGCTACTAACATTCATGTCTTTGTGTCTATCTGTATCAGCTTCAATGCGATGTGAAGACGTGTATCAGATAGAAATTCCGAATTCTTCCATTTACCGCTTATACAACTTAACGTGATTGAGCGTGAAGCAAGTGTAGAGCAAGCGATAGAAATAATTAATCATCGAACTGAGAACAAAAACATCAAACTTCAATTAAAGTATTTATTCTGATAATAAATAGTTGGAAATTGGTAAATATGCCTCTAAGGCGAGCATTCTTCAAAGCAAAGTGTATCGTTTTGTCAATTCATCATTTTGAATGTGTTTTCTATTTTCCTTCTGGAAAATTTCCCATTTTGTGGAAATGACATAGTTGCTACAAAATTTATTATTTCAAAGTTAACGAAAGCTTTGAATGTTGTTTTATTGCTTTATAGTACTTACGAACGAATTTAAGGTTCGTTTGATTCTCTTCATTTTACAATTTCTACTATAAATCAATTCATTACGGGAAAATTTCATGCTTTTAGCAATAATGAACAACTCATTGAAAATGATTGAAGGAATGTTTCCATTAGAAACTTTTATCATCTTTTCGAAGATTCGGCAACTTTTCATGATGAACTTTAAGTCTCGAATACTTGAAAAGAGAAACAACTTCACAACACTTTCATGTATTTTCGATTCCTTTCTATTCAAGCCTTACTTTGTCACATTTCCATTTGTAAGCAATATATGTACATATCTATTCAAATTTGTTCATATCTGATCTCGTGTGTTTGCCATGTTTCTTTTTATGACTGTTGACATGGGAATTAGAATATTCACAACAGCTTAAGTTTTGAAAGAAACCTTAAAAGAAATAAGCATAAAGAATCAAATATTTGAGCTTATGTGCGACTAAAGAATGGAACTCTGGAAGTCTTTCTGTGTCATAACACCAAGCTGGCCTTTTTTCTTTTTTTTTTTTCGGCGTCATGACCCTAAACCAAAATCACTGCCGGAAAAAATTATCGTTCTGATGATAAAAGAATATGAACTTTCAAACTTTCCCAGGGTATTTATTTTCGAAGTCAAAAACTACCATTGGCCAGTTTCAAGTTATCCTTTTAAGATTCTATTTTAATTAAACAGTGTCATGAAAATAAGATAACAAAGACCTTTCCACTTGAACGTGTCAATTTGCAACCCAAACATGTCGTTGAACATCACCACAATGTGTGTTTGTTTTAAGTCGTAGCAAAGGATACATTGAAGAATTTTCCACAAATAAAAAAGTTTTTTTTTGCCTTCCAAAGTTTAAAAGTCCCTTAACTGGCATAAAAAAACATTTGAAGTTTAACGTTGAGAATGTTTTCACAGACAGATATTTAGTTTAGCTTAAAAGTTAAAAATCACATGAATTCATTATAAAAATTTTCTTAATTTTCCTAAAAAAAACAAGAATAAAAAACTGAAAAAAAACAGTGAAAAGTAACTTAAACTGCCTCTGTCGAGAGAAGGAAATTTATTCCCTTCCGTGTTCAAAGCTTGAATGGCTTGGAACAACATATTCAAAGTGTTCAAAACAAGCTTTCCCTTGTCTCAAAAATGAATTCATTTTCATTCTTCATTACATCAAATTCAAAGTTCGTAATGAAATTGTTTGAAACATTTTTTTTTCACCCACTCACTGAAACTTTTATGAAGGTACAACATGTAGATATCCGCATTAAACTTTAAATCCTTAATTTCTCTGATCAATGAATTGGAATAAAATTTTATATTCTTCAGAGCATTAAAATGATTGAAAAAAATAAAATAAACATGTGTAGAACAGAAATAAACATAAAAGTAGAACAGTCAGCATATTTTTATATATCTTGTCCCGTCGTTCCGGTCTTTTAACTGTTTCGCAAGCAAGAAAATTTATTTACGAAGCTTTTCTTTCATTTTTTGTTTAAGCTTAATGTAAATATTCATATTTTTCGTATGAGAAGAGAATTTAAAATTCATGAAATTCATTTACTTACTTTAGGGATGTGAGATAAGAAGTCGCTGGGACACTCGATGAATGAGAGACATTAATCTCGGTAGCTATCTCAAGATGAATAAAAAGAGAATTTCCCAGAACGGCGATGCTTTCACTAGTTATTGTCTGAAAAATGAGTCGGTTGAAAAATTATGAAAAGAAAATTTGCTTGAATTTTTTTCTTTTTCCGTCATGATGACTCATCTCCATGATGATGGAGATAAAAAAGAATTGTTTATTAATCATGTCCCCATGAAAGCACTTCTCCTTAAAAACTTCGTCATTCTTGTAGGATTCAAAAGGAAGACGAATGTGGAATGTTTATATCTTCTCCATAAATATTTTGCTTATCATTATTTCTATGAAATTTCATTTCATGTTGAGATTGAGTACAAAATCATGAATAAATGCTGCATTTTAAGTTGCATAAGTTTGCAGTTTTTATGGGAACATTTATAGTTGAATAAATATTCATAAATGTTTAGAGAAATTCAGAATTTGTGACTTTTCTTCGAACAAAAAATGTTTTCACTGAGCAAACATTGAGAAAATTGTTTTGGAAATATTTTATAACTTAAATTTAACGCAACAATGCATTTATTTGAAAAAATAAAACTTACAATTGCAGGAGTTTTGATCTGGGCAACGACATATGCAATTCTTGGAGATATGGCAGCGCCCGGTGGAGAATTGTTCAGTTTAGTGACATTAACAGTTGCTGCCAACTTCGGTGGATGGTTAGTTGGATTAACGACTTTACCAAGACTGATTGGAATGCTTTTTACTGGAATTCTAATGCAAAATATTGGAGCTGTTAACATTGAAGGTGAACAGATTGAACATGTCACTGATCATCTTCGTGAATTCGCTTTGACAATCATTCTTACTCGTGCTGGATTGGAAATGGATCCTGAAGCATTCAAGAAGATTTGGTTCACTATAATTAAACTTGCTCTTGTTCCATGGGTAGCTGAAGCTGGCATCATCACAGTTCTCTCACATTATCTGTTAGATTTACCATGGATGTGGGGTTTACTTTTAGGATCAATTATTGCTGCAGTGTCACCTGCTGTCGTTGTGCCTTGTCTATTTAGACTTCGAACAAAAGGTTACGGTGTTGCAAAAGGCATTCCAACATTAATCATTTCAATTGCTGGCATTGACGATGCAGCGTCCGTCGCTATATTTGGAATTGTAAGCAGTTTGATGTTTTCAACTGACGCAAGTTTAGCATTCCAAATATCTCAAGGTATTCGATACGCAATTAAAATTTAATGAGAAATCTGATATTTTCATCGCTTCATTCCACAGCTCCTGTTTGTATATTTGGTGGTCTTGCTTTTGGTGTCTTCTGGGGATACCTTTCGAGAATTGTCCCCGAGCGTGGTGATGCTTACGTTGTCCCACTCAGAGTTTTATTACTTTTTACTGGTGGCTTGCTAGCAATTTATGGCTCAGAATTAATACATTACAAAGGCGCTGGTCCGCTTGCTGTTGTTTTCGCGGCATTTGTCAGTAATTATTTCTGGTGTAAGCAAGGATGGGACCTCGAAGACAATCCCGTTGCTACAGCTTTTGAAATCTTTTGGATGATATTTGAGCCTATTTTGTTCGGCATCACTGGAGCTGCTGTTAAGGTGAGTTAAGATTAATTATATAAAAATTTCCAGGTGATTCAATTAGACGATAATCATGTTCCATGACTATTACTCAATTAAATTTAGTTCAATGAATTGGATTCAAATGTTGTAATCTATGGACTTGCATCCCTTCTTGCCAGCGGTCTTCTAAGAGCTCTTTTAACCATTGGAATTGCAATTGGGGACAAACTCAACATGAAAGAGAAGGTTAAACCGATAAATTTGTTTGTCTATTGAGAGTAGTTTATTTAAATATAAATATAAAAAATATTTCAGGTGTTTGTTTCAATAGCAGTAAGTGCAAAGGCAACTGTACAAGCAGCTCTTGGTCCAATAGCTTTGACGATGTTGGCAGTTGATTCTCCCGACCGACATTATGCGGAAATTGTATTGATGGTGTGCATATTAAGTATTGTATTAACTGCCCCATTGGGAGCCATCCTCATTTCACTTACGGGCACAAAGCTACTCTCGAAGACAACGCAACCACAAAATGTCGAAGGTAAGTCGTGAATTTATTGAGCTATAATTAAATTTTATCTGTTAGGGACTGATTTTATACCCTCGACAATTTAACTTTCAAATGAAAGCTAGACGGAAGATTAATTTGTAATGCTTTCTTTTTTCTTTATTTAATTTCAGGTTGGCGTCGCTCACATCGCCCATCAATTCGTGATATTTCCATTATTGATGAAGATGAAGAGAAAGACTTGGAAGCTGATCCTGAATTAAGTCCCGATAAGAACACTCGCAACAATACAATGCAAAATGCTCACTCTTCAAATAATATGCAGCAGTTACCTGCTTTTACAATAACTAAGTAAATTATTTTGCAATGTTGTGAACTAAATTTTCTCTGATGAAAATATTTACTACTTAGTCTAATTAACAAGCGTCTGTGGGCCAAGTCCCTGTCGCAATTAATTGCTATTTTTCTTTCCTTACACAAACTTTACATTTCAACCATTTTATTGATTAAAATCTTTTTCTTCTTTTCTTCTTCCATTTTTTTTTTCTTCATAAAAGGTTCTGATTTTTCTCTAGGGAGAAATCTTAGAAAAGCACATAGAAATGTAAGAAAGAAAAAAGAAAGCACGTTGACAGTCAACAAGCGATTCTATATGTCATAACCATACACCTAAGCACTCATCAGAATGTTCAACAGTCACCAGATAAAAGCTTGAATTTTGTTTTTTGTTTTATTTTGTTTTTGCTTTAACGCCTTTTATGATATTTATGAGCTTTTAAACAACAGTCATCATCGGTACAAATGACTTTGAAATGGGACGAGAGAAAAAAAAAAGATTTGTGACGTGAAGCATTTATTTATTGGAAAAATATAACGTGAAACGCATCACAACGAAAGATCGTAAAAATTTATGTTTTATTGCCTGTAACAACAATATTCCGACATGTTGATTGTTCTTCGCTAACGCCAGACTTTAACCCCCGTTAACATCTGGGAAGAAATATTTTTTTGTTGATATGTATAAGGAAGTATTAAATTGAAATTAATGTGTTGATTTGAGCGGGTGGTTGAAGGCTAAATTAGATTTTTGAAGCTGTAAAATACCACAATAATCCTTAATTCATCTGCTGTTTATGGCTGTTTACTCTTCTTAAATTCAGCTCTTTAAGAAGATTAACGTCGTGAAGTTTAAATTTATTAGATTGTACATGGAAGGCTTCACATTCTTAAACAGCCGTCATAAAGTCACATATTTTGAAGCAGTTAACAATTTTATGCATATCAACTTTGTTATAAATACGCAACGTTAACATCTAATAAAGACCACAAGCAATATTTTCTTTAAGACTTTATAATTAAATCAAATATGAATAAAATTCCGGAACACATTATATAAGGAAATTTTCTCGAGGATGGAAAAGCATTTTTTTAAAGAGAAAATTAATGTTTTCTGCTTTAGAAAACGTAAACATAATTGTGTACAATTTTAAAGAAATATCATAATGAGATGTTGTTAAAATGAAAATTAATGATAATAATGAAGCTATATTCAAATTTAGCACTAAGTTTCCTTTCCTCCCTTTCCATCCACAATTCTCATGTTCGCTTAGAAACAAAATTTTGTTGCCACACGATGAACAATGACTTTAAGAATCATTTTCTAAAGCAACAATTCTTAATTTCTTTTTTTATGTTTTTGTTGTTGTCTGCGGTATGCTGAAGCATCGTGTGTAATTAAAATGTGTAATTATATGGTTTAAACATGAAACTGTGGTATGTATGTGAATTCAAGTCAAAGTGTAGCAACAACACTGAGGATATTTTTTGTTATTAAAGTTACGTCTCATTCCTTTTTTGACGCTACATAATAGCATCCACACCATGTACAGTGACTATCGTCGTCGACATAATGAATAACCTTAATTTAAGTCTGAAAATAACCAAGAAAAGCTTTTTATTCCTCCAGTATTATAATAAAATTGCCATGAATCGTAAGAAACATAATGAAAGAAGAAAGAAAACAAAAATCATTAAAAGAATATAAGAATTTAATTTAAAATTAATTTTTAATGTTTAAGGATGCCTCAGTTAAATATTTGAGCTTCAGCAATGGCCGCCAATATTGGTCAGTACAGAAAAAATTAAAGGAACGAAAGTTTTAAGAATGATCATTAATGCTGTTAAAATGGCTCTTTTATAAGTATCCGCTTTTCAATTTTTAAGAGAAATTGTTTCAGATTGCCGGGAGCCATTAACATAATCATATTGTCTTCCGTTGTAAACTTTCCACCCTCGCAATGATTTCTACTTTTTCGTTTAATGAATTTCCTTTTTTTTCGCTTCCGTAACGTACAAAGATCCAGTGCAAAGGCGAGAGTGTGAGATAAGTCGCGAAACATAATTTTTGCATATAGTAAGTGAACTACACTGCTTAACGTCCATTCAAAAAAATATTTGTAAGAGAACGAAAACGAGAATTGTTTGAAATAAAAATTATACTTATAAAACCAAACTGAGAGTTAAATGTTCGCAGCTACCTAGGTAGCAGCAGTTTTATTGTTTAATTTGCAGTATTATATTATGCCACTTGAATTGCAAAATTTTCCTTCTTAGATGAAGGAAGCAAGAATTTTCAGTGTGCTGTGAAAAAGTAAAAAAAAAACTTTTTCTATAGCATTAAAGCGTCAAGAGTATAAACTTTAAAGTTTCCGACACAAAAAAAAGAAGGAAAGCAAAGAAAAATGGATATTCATGTATATAAAGGAAAACATTTGAGTTATAGTTGTGCAGTATTGCAGTGAAGTTAGAAAAAATATATTTATAGCAAACAGGAAGTTCGACGAAGAATTTCATTCACGTTTCCACGAAAGATGTTAAAATTAAACTCGTTTGAGTTGTAGCGATCGTAGATGAAACGAGGAAGTCGATTGGAAAGCACCCACAATGTTGATTCATTGTCAATCTGAAATATCCAATAATGTTATTATTCTCTTCTTGTTTCTAAAACTTCCATAAATAAAAGTTCAACTCACGAAAACATCAGAAGGATAAATCATTGTCGAATTATTTTGCGCAACAAGATGAATATTTGCTGGTTTCAGTGGTTTCTTTACGTTCCAACAACTTATTGCATTTTTCTGCATTTCAGCAAAGAAAATCACATTTGAATTCAAATCATAGAAATGAGTTCCCGATTGTGTTCCATAACCACGGGTGCCGAGATGTTTAAAGTCATTCCCATGAACACGACGACTTGCCAATGTTTCATTCCGTAAAATTTCAGTAGTGACAGTAAATTCAGCAGTTGACGATAACGGGTGAAAGAAAGCTGTGCGGTAACCGTTTGGTTTTGTGGTCGACAGAGCGACAGAGAAAAGTCCATCACTCCATTGAAACTGAATTCCTATTAAAAAAGAAGAAAAAAATTAAAAAAGTTTCGTTAGACAGAATGAACAGAAAATGAAAATTTTCACACAACCATCAATCGAAAAGTCTCCTTCAAATGGATTGAAATGGAAGTAATTGTTATTAAAACGCCAAGCTCTATTCTGTTGTGCAGAATAGACAATCAAGGCACGATTGAACCAATCTGTGACATAAGCGAATGTATTTGCGCAGTCATCATCGTCCAATGTTATGCTTGCTAAACCTTTTCCATCAGGCACGACACTACTTGGGATCTCAAATCGTCCAATTAAATTGTTGGTTTTCAAATCAACCGTCCAAATTGATGGTCGTTGAACATTTATTTGATTATCTGTTATTTTTATCAACGATAAGAAAACATTTTTAAATATATTGTGAAAGATTTTTCCATTTCATTTCATTTCATTTCATTCTCTTACTTGTATATTCCAGCACGCCAGTGTCTTTAAATGGAAAAATAAAAGCCATCAAAATTCATTTTACTTCATGTGTAAAGAGATTAAAAACAAGCATACCAACCAACAAACCATAACCTATCGCAACGATCCACTCTAGGTCTGTGAAATGAAACATAATTAATATCCGAACTTGTGATCAGTGAATTTGATGTAAACAGATTAACGTAACTGGAATGTCTCACCTGTAAACGGAAACAATTTTCGACGAATCTGCTCTGTTTAATGGCTGAAAATAAAATCAATTCACTGGTTTCATTAAGTATCTTCATAAACATTTCTGTCATTCATCCATAAAATGATGAAACAACTTCCTCTAAACTGAATTTTCTCCTTTCTTCGTCATGTATGAAACAGAGCTTATCAATGAACTTATCAAATATTCATTAACTTGTTTGGACATTTGTTCATACTCACGTCTAAAGCATTGGTTTGGAAGTTTGGATAGCTTATCAACATCGGATTAATGTATGGAGGGTTTCCGACCAACTCAACAACGTTCAAACTCGACGGAATTCCAGGATTTCTTCGTGGAATGGTGACAAATAATTTGTCGCGATATCGAGTCATTCCAAATGGGACATTCACATAAGCATCGTAGACATTTGTATCCCATGAGACTATGTGCGTATGTAATCAAAAAGGATAAGCAAACATCAATAAATGTTCATTAAATGTTAATCGATTGGAATTGGGAAACATAAAGCAATGAAAGATTAAAAAGCATGTAAACATTCATCATGACATAAAAACAATCACGGGAATAAGTCAAATGGAAACTTTTGCTTTTAAATATTTAATGGGTCTGATAACAACTTCGATTTTGTTTCTTGTTTGTCGTAGTGTCTGATCTTTGTAGTTAAAACTTCAAAGTATTTTTAAACAAATTAAAAATTAACACTTTACAAGAAATTCATGGAAATATTTCTTCTTCTACTCACTTGGAATATTTTTATATCTTATGCTATTCCACTGTATAAATTCAATTAAATTTCCTTGCACTTGATGGCATTCGAAAAGCGTCAAAAAAACACAAATCAAATAAATTTGAACTCGAGATATCATGATTTCTTCTCAGATATCAAAAAGTTTCATCGATGAAGATTCACAAGCAAGTCGGATAGCAAAACTTTTTCAATTTCTTTTTAAAGTTTTATTAGTCGAGCCTTACGCGCGTCTTTCTTTGAAGAAATTTAGACTCACTCTATGTATATGGATTCGATTAACGTGACAGCAGCACTCAAACTGGAAGAAAAAGTTTGTTCTTGTGAGTTCTTACTTTCTTAGTTTTACTCATTCCACAACGCTCTCGATTGAAAATAAAAACTCATCGTGATCACATCTTCCATCTTCGTCGGTTTTTAAGATGACGACGAATTTTAATCTTGAAAAAAAATTTGTGCTCTTAAAATTTCTTTTCTTAGCTCTTTCAATTTCTAGACATTGAAAGAAATTTCATGAAAAGGTTGACATCAGTGACTCAAAACGACTCAAAAGGAGCAAATAAAATAAAAAAGATTCTCGTTTTACAACATCAAACCGGTTGATTAAAAATCTTTCAACGTATATTGAGAGAAACCTGAAGAAAACTTGGCTCGGTGAACATCTTAATTTAGCTTAAAACCGAACAGAATTTCGCACTTAGGGAATTTTTAAAAGTTTTGTATCAGAAAACAACAAACACATTTTACTCACGATTGAATGACACAAAATTCAGAAATTCATCACCCAAAACTAATCTTGTTTTACATTGTTGTAGATAATAAAAAAAAGTTCTTTTCTTTGCTAATTTCGTTACATTATTTATGAAAATCTCGACCCAAAGCGATAACGAACACGATGTCAGATGAAGTTGAAAAGAAAGAAAGTTTTCCAAGGAATATTTTTATACTTTTTATAATCCCTCAATTTCTTTTCATAAACTTTATTCACTCTCTTTGGCTGCCGTGGCTGGGGCTTGAAAGGAAAACTCATTTGGAATGTAAATTGTTGATTATTTTTTTCTAATCTCATTACATCTGGTAAAGTTGTAAATTTTTTTTTCTCCTTTACTCTGTTGAAGAGTTCACTGATGAATCAGGTATGACGTGAAGGGTGTCAGTAGATGAATATAATTTAAACAAAAGCTTGTCTCATGAGGATTTTAATCCTTTTATTCAACGAAGCGTAGCTTCCACTGTTAAATGATAAATTGCTTTTTCATTTTTCCTTAAGAAAACCAAATTTCCTCTCATCTGATTGAATCTTTAAAAGGCTTTATAAATAACTTGTTTATTCGCTCTCTGTGAAGCTTTTCAGACACTTCATTTTAAAATCAATGTCACATCACGACACTTTTTAGCTTTTGTACTTTATAAATTTATCATTCGTAAGACAAATGAGTTGTGAGAAGTAATTTGACAACTTCAAATTGTTGATGGCATACTAAATTTACCGATAAAAATTTCAATTCGTTATTCAAGCTTAGACACAGCAGCTTCAAAATATATTTTATGTTGACATTATTTAGAATGACGTTAAGATTTTTCACCTCCAACTTTGCTTACAAGATGTTCGTACTCACTTCATAAGCTGATAAACGAAAGATTAAAATCAAAACAATGTTTTTCATTTTTCGTTCGAATTTTCTGAGACAGAGTGATGGACGTTTTCAAGCAGATGTGATTGTTATTCCCATTTCAAGTGTTCTTGGACTTTCAGTTCCTTGTGCCGAACTGCAACATCACTGGCGATATATTTCTGTTAGAAATTTTAATACGAAAGCTTTTGTAAACCTCAAAAGTCGAGAAGATTTACACAGCAACGAGTAAAAATAAAAGAAGCAGAGTATTCAACTTCAAATATTGTATTTACTGTAGAAATCCCCTATAAGCCGTGCTTATTATAAGAATTTGACAACAATGAATGTTTAGTGATAGTGAATGTGCTATCGCGAGGTTTAATCCGAAATGAATATGCAAATTTTATTGACAGAATTTTCATACAAAATCGATTTAGTTTAAAGTATTTGATAGAGAACTTTCACTGTATATTGACCGATTCACACAATGAAAGCATATCCTCTGAGCCAATCTGTGAAGAAATAAAAAAAAGGTGTCGAGACACGTTTCAAGGATCATTAAAAGTCAACAAAACTAATCCTTTTTCATTGCCAACAAGATTACAGAAGTTTCATAACGTTACGCAGCTGTGAAACATCGGCAATTGCTAGATTTATGAGCATTGTCGCTGGTCGTTGTACAACAATCCGATTATTGAACAATTTCAAAAGACTGGTGTCAAAGAACCTTTAAAGAATTTTATTTCAGTCTGAAGTTCAAATACCGCTGCATTTATTGGATTTAAAAGTTATTCTGACATTATATGACGTCGACAGGGTTTAAATTTGTCGTCTGATAATAAATTAAATTCTAAACTATGCAGCGTGTTTCTTTTTTTTCCTTTTGTGAAATAAATAATCATTACGTGCATAGAATTAATTTGGTAGCTTAAAAAATTCATTTTTGTGTTACATTAAAGTTCGTAAGCTGTCTTGATGTTTGCTTAACTTATCAGTAGTTTGCAGAAGTTAATGTTGGCATTTAAGTGTAGCTATGATTGGAATGTTACTGAACGTCATACATTGCGGAAAGATTTATTCCATTTCGACAACAAATTTATTAAATACAGAAATGCAAGTGAAATGTTTCGAGATGCCTTGAGGTCATTTAATTAGATTCATACTTATTCTGAAAAGTAAACAAATTCTAGTTGTAAACCGCAAAACAAGTTTCATCTTCATGAATTATCGATTTATGTATTTAAATATCAAACTCAACAGATATTTGATTAAAGTTTTTGATATTGAAATGAATTTGTTCAAATGTGCTTTTCCTTGGTCATCTTCAAAGTTGGAAAATTACAAATTAAATTTCTCAGAAAGCATCAAGTGCATTTATCAGATTGCTTTGCTAATATGATTTCCTTGAATTGAAACAAGTTTTATATGATAGAATGGAAATTTCCGTAACATTTATTTATTTGTTTGTTTATGTTCAACAAGAGAAATTAATCATTTTGAAATCAAAACTTGAATTGATGTTTAATACTTTTGATGTTGTGTGTGGAAATAGGTTCCATAGGGAAATTTGAGGTTTTATTTCCATAAATGTCTATAAATATTTATAGAGTTTCAACAAGCCTAATGTCAGGTATTATGACGCTTTCAAAACAAAGCTGCAATAATGGTTGATGAAAATACTTGTTGAATGTTTGCGGTTTTCAGACGAAAGCAAAGCTTTTACTTTGATATTATAATAATGGCTGAGTAAATTTAAAAGAAGCTTAAATTCTCCTTCGTCTAACTTCTCGCAGCTTTGATGTTTGTTTGCATTTTGTATCTGCTATTGCATCTTTCACTGATGTTCGGAATATTCTAAAATTAAATCCTCCGTCTGTGTCAAGTTTTGAATATATGTGACGAATCATTCGATTTGACAACACCCACAAATCATCTTCAACCACCTGGTTGATCAAAGATATACACGAAAACATAATAAGAGAGATAAGATCAGTGAATCTTCAATCTTTGAATCGAAAACTGTCAAAAACTTACTTTCAAATCACTCGGATAAATCAAAGTAAGATTATCTTTTGCGACCGTTCCAAGTCTTGATGGTTTCAATGATCTCTTGCTATTCCAACATGTTACAGCATTTTGGTTTATTTCCGCAAAAAATAACGTGCCAGATTTCTCATGAAATTCGTGCATTGTGCTTTGAGAATTCTTCCCGCGATTTCCAACTAACTGTTCATGATATAAAAATAAAAGAAAAGTCTTACAGAGGTTTTTGGTTCGCCTTTCTTACCTTAAAGTCATCACCATGATAAGATCTTGTCGCAAGCGTTTCATTTTGAAGCACCTCCGTTGATACAGCAAATTCTGAGAAGCTTGTTTTAAGAAAAAAAAGGAAAGAAAAAGAAAAGTTTTCATCTTATGCATCAATCTTTTGGGGTTTTGAAAATGTTTGTCAGTTTTGTGTTTCAACAAGAAAAAGGGAAAAGAAAAATGTCAAAACTTGTGAAGAGAAGAATAAAAGAAAATCGAATTAAACCTGCTCATTGGATGAAAGTAAGCGAGACGATAAGAAGAGTTCTTGTCACGTTCAGCAAGAGCAATGGAAAAGATTCCGTCATCCCAAGTGAATCTCAGACCATCAACATTATAATCTCCTTCGAATGGATGCATATGAAAGTAGTTGTGTTGAACAGTATACGATTGATTCTTTTCAAGATTGTAGACAATGATCTGAGACGTGATGAGGTTGGGAAGATAAGCAAATGAGTTTCCATCACAGCTGATGACATCAACTGCAAGATTGGCGAGTCCTAATCCGTTGATTGCATCTGATGGCGGAATCTCATATCTGTTTATGACGCTATCATTTTTTAAGTCAATTACCCATATTGACGGTTGTTGGATTATGTTTGCGATTCCTTGTTAAGCAGAATAACAATGAAAATAAAAAACCATTGAAATTTCTTTCAGAGTTGTTGTGCATGTTTTCAGTGTTTCATTATAATAAAAAAAATTGAGAATAATTGTACGACATTATTCATTTCAAATTCTGTCGATCAAATATGTCAATTAAATTATGGAAATTCTGAAGAAAAATATTACTTACCACTTGTATTACTGACGCCAATGTCGACGAACCAAAGTCGTTCGCATTCGTCGACTCGCGGTCGATAAACTGAAACAATTCTATGGGAACTTGGCTTGTTTGAAGGCTAAATGTAAAGTTAAAAAAAGATTAAATAGAAACGGACAATCTTATTTCTTATTTCCTTCATCAAAAAAGAAGAAATATGAAAACTGATATCAAGGGTGTGATATTCAGTTAACATGATACCCTGAAATTTAACTCACATCCAACTCATTCATCTCGTAATTGGGATAACTGTGGAGCTTTGGATTGACATACAAATCTCGGCCTTCCTCAAGTTTCACATAATTTAGTGTCGATGGGACGCCCTGACTCCTGCGGGGTACAGCTACAAAAACTTTCGGTGATCTTTTCGATGTGTACGGAGCAAATCCTTGAGGGACATTGTTGTATGGGTCGAATTGAAAATTACCAGTAGCTTTAAATATATAAAACCGTTTTGTACAAAACATTAAATATCATCCTGTGGCCAATTCTAATCACAAGCTTCTACCTGGCAACTCTTCGTATTCTATTCTCTCAAACTTAATAAACTCTTTCAATGATGCTTCAACATGATGTAGCGTTAGGAGCGATACGATTAAGATAGAAGAAAAGTGAAAGAACATTTTATATAGCAACGAAATTGCCACTTTAAAATAACTTATTTTTTAGGAATGTTAAGCACCTCTTTACTCTACTTAATGTTCACGAGTAATGAAAACTTAGTTAGTTACTCTGTAGAGATATCATAAAAACAGTTTAAAATTTAAAGCATGGAATGTTTCCCTTCCTTCCAATGCTAAGTAACAGTTCTTGCGGTATATGAACCAAACCAGAAATAAACAAGTCTAAAATGATTTTATTATTACATGTAAACAAATCACTTATGGTTGCCTTGTAAATATTTTTTCAATGTCTAATTGATATAATTAGTTAGCATATTATGCAGTTAAACTCGTTTCATAAACCGTTAATTAATTTTTCCACATCTTAATATCAAGTTTCAATAATTAGTGAATTTAACGATTTATTTTTATTTAAATGTTTTTCATGAAAATGATTTTACAACCCCTTGCCAACTTTATAACAGTTTTATAAACAACGTGAGGAAATGTGACAAATAGGGATACTAAAAACTATCAAAATAAAACGATAAAAAATGTTTGTTTCTGACGTTGGTGATGTAAAAATTTTCAATTTAAGTGCAGGAAAGTCACTGCCGGATGTAAGTTATTCACATGTTATTCAATTCCATTGTTAATTAATATTTTTCATTCTCGTGGAAATGAATTAAAATCTAGTGGCTTACAGATCGAAAGAAGAGATCTGCTCTCAACAAAAATGTTGATTTACGGAGAAGAATAGTTCTTATTCAGGATTTTGAAATGCCGGGAGTTTCAACATCGATTCGTATGTCACCGGACAATCAATTTATTCTTGCAACCGGAACATACAAACCAAGAGTTAAATGCTATGATGTTAATCATTTATCAGTTAAATTTGAGAGATGTTTTGATTCAGAAGTCGAAACATTTGAGATTTTAAGTGAAGATTACAGCAAAATGGTTTTCCTTCATACTGACCGATATTTGGAGTTTCATGTTGGTCATGGCAGACATTACAAATTAAGAGTACCGAAAATTGGCCGTTCACTAAGTTATCATACACCTTCATGTGATTTACTAATTGTTGGATCATCACCGGATATCTACAGGCTTAATCTTGAGCGTGGTCAATTTCTGCAACCATTCGAGACACAATGTAGCGGATTTAACACTAGCGACATAAATCCTGAACATCAATTGCTATGTGTTGGATCAGCCGAAGGAACCGTTGAAGCTTGGGATCCAAGAGACAAGAAAAAATGTTCTTCACTTGATGTTGCTATGAAAATTAAAAACAATCGTGAATTTCCTTCAATTACTTCAATAAAATTCAAAAATGGTCTTCAAATGGGCGTTGGAACGGCAACTGGTCATGTTCTAATTTATGACATTCGATCAAACGAACCGTTAATTATTAAAGATCATCTCAATAGACTTCCTGTAAAGAAGATTGCATTTAATCAAAGCCATAATGTTGTTTGTTCAATGGATAGTGCAATGTTGAAGATTTGGGATGAGACTTCAGGTAAACAAACAGCGTATATCGAATCACAATCAAATTTCAATGACTTTTGTACGATTCCAAACACGGGAATGTTTTTCTTTGCTCAAGAAGACGTTAAAATGCAAACATTTTACATTCCATCGCTTGGACCAGCACCTAAATGGTGCTCATTTCTTGATAATCTTACGGAAGAAATTGAATCGGAAGTTGCACAAAATATTTACGATGATTATAAATTTGTGACGAAACAAGAGCTTGTAGATTTGGGACTTGATCATCTTGAAGGAACAAATCTACTCAAAGCTTATATGCATGGTTACTTCGTTGATATGAGATTGTATCAGAAAGCAGTGTCAACAGTCAATCCATTTACATTCGAGAAATACAGGAAGGAAAAAGTAGCAAAGAAGATTGAAGAAACTCGACCGCAACGTTTGCAAGTTAAATCTGATGTTCCGAAAGTTAATAAAGAAGTTGCTTTGAAATTTATGGATATTGAAGAAACAGGAAAGAAAACAAAGAATCCAAATCTCTTGCGAGATGACCGTTTCAAAGCGATGTTTGAAAATCCAGATTTCGAAGTTGATAAGGAAACTGAAGAGTACCGTCTTTTGAAGCCGCTTTTAGTTCAACTTGACAAGAGTAAACTGAAGAAATTGGAGAAGAAATACAAAGAGCAAGATAAAAATATTGATGAAAATGAGCAAAGCACTGACGATGACCTGTTTTCGGAGAAAGATGAAAGTTCTGATGATGATATTCAATGGACAAAAGAAGTGAAGAAAGAATATAAAAAGATTCGAAAGGAAAAGAAGCGACAAGAAAATGAATCATCGCCAGAACCTGAAAATGATCACCAGAAATCTGTTGAAATGCACGATATTGATGATTTTAATTTGAAGGAAGTTTCAAGAAAAGTAAGTAAAACTTCACTTGGTGCTCGTGTTGAAAAAGAAGCAAAGAAACCTAAAGTGGAGATGATCGCAGGATTGGGAAATCGTCAAATGGTTTTCAGTACGGAAAAGAAAATGAGTCAAGCTAAGCTTAAACGAATTGAAGAAATGAAGAAACATCGGGAAGAGAGAAAGAAAATTATACGGCCAATTACTAATCTTAAAAAACAGCGATGAAAAATTATTAAATAAATAAAAAAAAGAAAAGAAATAAAAGTTGAAATAAATTTAACCGCCATTAGTTTTTCAAATTTAAGCTGTTATAATTTTGACACGATTTTGTCACAAGGCAATTGTTTATGTTTAAAACTGATTCCAAGTGAAAGACACAATTTTAAATGAAAAATAGTCTTGTAACTTAAATACCATGGAAATTGTCAAAAAAAGTACGTAAAACGTGACATATGTAAGTTTTGATATTTTGTAATGAAAAGCCTCTTTTTTCAGATTTCATTGATTTTTTACCGGAAGTCATCAAAGATATTGAAGAATGTGCTTTCATATCATTCGATGGAGAATTCACTGGATTAGCGAGTGAAAGAAACATAATGCCTTTCGATACAAGCCAAGAGTATTATGAAAAGCAAATGAAAACATCTTCTGGTTTCATTCTCATCCAACTTGGTTTAACTTTTTTCAAAATAAAACCAGAATCGGAGAAAGTTTCCTTAAAATCTTACAACATTTTTGTTTATCCGCAATCTAAGAATGCTACATTTCAATGTCAGGGACAAAGCTTATCATTCTTGGCAGAAAATGGATTTGACTTCAACAAGCTTTTTAAAAATGGAATTTCATTTTGTAATGCAATGGAAGAAGAAAAATTGCGACAAGAAATGCAAGAAAAACAAGATTTGAGACTTGAACAGTTGAAGGAAAATTCCAATGATGAAGAGCAAGATACAACAGCACGAAATTATATCCCAATTCCAGAAAACGAAAAAGAAATCATAGCAAATGCTCAATTAAAAATTCAGTCGATCATCGATGGAAAAGAGAAAAACGCAACATTTGATAAGTTGAATAATTTTCAACGCAAACTAATTTACGAACTTATAGAACGAGAATTTCACAACAAAGTCTCAACGTCTACAAAAAATCTGGAAAATAACAGAAAAGTTCTTATTGTGGAAGTAAAGCGAACAGCAGAAGAGGAACTTGGTCTTGAGAGACATCGTCAAAAGGAAGAAGAATTAAAGCTAGCAGAAAGTGTTGGTCTTCGTTTGCTTCTCAAAGCAATTTCTGCATCAAAGAAACTTATCGTTGGACATAATTGTCTTCTCGATTTAATGTATCTTATGACACAATGCTTTGAGAATTTACCAACAGATTACAATGAATTTAAATCGCTCACTCATCGAATCTTTCCAAACATCATTGACACGAAATTCATCGCATCAAGTGAAAAGTTCAAAGATATCTTTTCATCGACTGTATTGACTCATCTTTACGATCGATTAAAACAACAACCATTTGAAGAAATGAAATATGAATTCGAGGATCCTTATCGAAGTTATTCGTTAGACAATCCTAAAGAACATGAAGCTGGCTATGATTCATTTCTTACTGGTTATTGTTTACTTGTGTTGCTTAAGTATTTAAAAGTCTCATTGAATCAACATTTCGAGCCAACAAAATGCAAGGAACTCATCCCCTACCTAAACCGTATCGCACTTCAAAGAATTCAAACTCCTTATATTTATATAACAGGAAACGAGCCATCTTTTTCACGATCTCATGTCTTTTTTGTGAAATTTCCATCAACATGGCGAACAAATGATCTGCAAGACCAGTTTAAAAATTATGGACCAGTTCAAATTACATGGGTTAATGGAACCTCAGCATTCATTTCACTTTATAATCGAGAGAATTCGAGTTGTGTGTTGAAAACAATATCACGATCACCAGGATTTGAAATTCAATCCTTTGATGAATTTCGATCACTTGAAAATCTTCGAAAAATTGATTTAAATCGTAAACGAAAAATTGAAGTGACAGCAGATGAAAAAATGGATTCCGCATCAACAGTAATTGGAGGAAAAAAGAAACGCGAAGGGAAAAAAGCTTTTCCTGAAAATGATGTGTGGTGAGATTTCCTATGTACAATAAATTTGTATGAAAAAAAAATTAAAATTTATTTCATTTTATTGAAATTCAATTTCGAGAGTTTTAGTCGGTAGTGATGAACTTGATAATGAAACAGAACGTTATGAAAATGGAGCAAAACTGGTTTAATTTTCCTTTCGTTTCATCTCATTTTCTGAACCGGCTCAACCTAAGCGAATTCAAAATTTAAGTAATTTCAATTTATTTCATTTTCTTCTGCTGAATCAAATGTTTTCTTAAAGCCATTTGTTTATCCCGGAATGATTTCTTGACCTTTCCTCTTGCTTTGTGACGAATCATTTGGAAGTTCTTGGTCTTCTCTTTCTCACGATTTGTCTTCGAACAATGAATGCTGTGTCGTCCATCTTTGTATCCAAACTTCTCTCGACCTTCACGTCCTTTCTGAACTGTTTCGAGACGTGATTGTTTATCTGTTCGACGCTTTTTGTAAATCATTTCAATGTCGTTGAGTCTTACAAAATCTGATTTTTCCGGTGTTGTTGCTGTTTCAGTTGCTTTACGTTTTCTTGAGTTTGTGACTTTTCTTTTAAGGTTCTCAGCTTCAATTCTTTTGAAATCGGCATCGGTGAAAATCTTTGTCAAAGCTAATTCCTTTGCTGCTTCCTTCTCATCACTCTTTGATGGTTGCTCACCTTCATCAATTTCAGAATCTTCATCGATTTTTTCATCATTTTCAGAATGACTTACATCAACCCATGAACCTGATTCACTTCCAGAATCATCTGAATCTTCTTCGTCTTCACTTGCACTTTCATCATTTCCGTCTTTAACTAAAGCTTCAGCGCCTTGAATAAAATCAACAGCTTTGACTTCACCATATTTTTTCGGTTCAAACTCTGCGCTAGCCTCTGTTGGACGTCCACGATCTTTCTTATGTAAAAGTGATGGGAATTGCTCACGATAAAGTGAAATAAGTGAACGAGAAGACATCATAACCGACTTATCTTTATAATTCTTATACATCACTAAGTCCCGAAGTAAATCTTCTTCCATTGACAATGGACAACGTTGACAAACTTCACGAATTGCATTCAATCCAATCGCCATCACATCACTCGAGTTTCTCTCAGTGACAAAATTATTTGCAATGGTTTTGTTTATTGGTTGAATGACTTCAGGTGGAACAAGTTCATGTGCTGCTTGCGCTGCAAATTGAAGAATTCTCGTGACTTGTCTTTGATGTGGTTGCAAGAATCTTGTTACGTAAGGATAGAAACTGAAGATGAAAAGCTCATGAATTCCAATAAGTCTTGAGATGACATCAAGATGAAGTAGTTTCACTTCAAATCGTTCATTTCCATCCTGAAGTTGCTTGAACAGATCTTCAGCCATGCCTTGTGGGTTGTTAATTAAATGAATTGCTGAAAAATTGAATGTTGGCGCTTTCTTCTTCTTGTTTTGAAACTTTTTGTGCAATTTCTTAACATTTTCGAGTTGTTTGTTTCGTTTCTTTGTTTTCTTTGCAACACGATTCGCCATAACTGCAGCTTTCAAATCAGGCTCATTGTCTGATTCACTATCAGAATCTTCGTCATCTTCGTCAGTTCCTAAGAAGAATTTTAAAGCAGCCACTAAAACTTTAGTGACTTTAGAGAAACATCCAACGGTTCCAATAACGTTGACAGTCTTCGCATCATTCCAAATGTTCTTCTTATACAACTCAATCATAATATCGAGTGACATTTTCGCAGCTTTTGGATTTGAATCTTTCACCATTGAAAACATGAAATTCTGTAATGTTGCATTAAGTTTCATATCTTTGCTCTTTGCATTCATGTTTTTAATGTCCGTGATGATGTGATTCTCAAGAAACTTTCGAAGATTTTTGTCAGGACATCGAAGTAGTTGAAAGAACAGCTCAAGAAGATCCAAAGGAGAAATTAGATTTTTGTTACGAAGAAGAATCAAAGCACGACAGAAAGAATTTCTCATTTCTTTGCACAATGTCGTTGAATGAGTTTTGAGAAGATCCACAAGTTGCTGGGGAAATAATTTAAGTTCTTCTGGATAACATTGTGCGACCTATAATTAATAATAAAACAGTTATTGAAGAATAAGATTGTTAGATATATCATCCTACCTGCGCTAAGAACATAACAAGTTCATCAAGACTTTTGCTTTCCTTGTCTGGTGATAATTTAAAAATTTCCAAAGTATTCAGAAAAAATTTATATTGCTGCAAAAAATCTTCCTTGTAGCTTTCAGGATCACGTTTCACAAGGTTTTGCAGTTGCGGTAAATTATCTGGCAACTGATTATTGTGGCGAACCATTTTAATATTGTTTTTAAAATATTATTTCTATTCACACGTTGTTTTCTATCAATTCCTTGTAGAAAATTCCACGCATACCTTAAAAAAGTATACTTTTATAACAGTCTTATAACAGTTGAAGTTTATTTTACCGGCAAGTGAAAGATTTTTGTTTTCAAGAAGAAATTCATGCTGTTCTAATGGGAGAGAAGTTAAACTTTGATTTACAAGCAATCAAAGATGATTTGATTGTTGGTATAAGTGAATGTAATAAACGGGGGCTCATTCATTCAGGTTTGAATTATTGAAAATAATTTTGTTTACATTTTCCAATATTTTTATATTTTTAATTCGATCAGGAAAATGGCTTGCTGAGTTAAATCGAGGTTTAAAAATTCCCAACTATAAACTTGCAGTACCTCCAATTGATACTGGAATATCAGAAGTTGAATTTGATGATTATTGTCTTGCAAAATCTTATTTTGACTGTAAAGAATATGATCGAGCTGCTTACTTCACTCGATTGTGTACATCACCAGTTCCAAAATTTCTTAATCTTTATTCCATGTACATGGCAAAAGAAAAAAAACGTTTGGATAATTCACCAGACAATACAACACTTTCGGGTAATGCTCATTTAAAAGATCTCAGTGATTTGATGAAGTTGTTGAATGAAGAATACGACAGAAAGAAACTCGACGGTTACGGAATGTATCTTTATGGAGTAGTTCTTAAGAAATTAGATCTATCACAACTGGCAGTCACAGTGTTTCTAGAAAGTGTTCATCTCGTCCCATTTCTGTGGAGTGCGTGGATCGAACTTGCTCCATTAATTCAAGATGTTGATCAACTCCGAGGACTTTCACTTCCAAAGCATTGGATCAAACCTTTCTTCATTGGTCATGCTCTCATTGAAATATTCGTTAATGAATCTGGAATCAGTCTTTTTGAAGAAATTCAAGAAGCTGGTTTCAGTAAATGTCTTTACACGACATCACAAATTGCCATCGCTTATCACAATAAACGCGACGTTGATAAAGCCATTGAAATATTTCAACAAATTCTTCTTGTCGATCCATATCGTCTCGAATATCTCGATATGTACTCAAATCTTCTTTTTGTAAAGGAACAAAAGACAGAAATGGCACATCTTGCACATAAAGCTGTTGAGATCAACAAATATCGTCCAGAAACTTGTTGTGTGATTGGAAATTATTACAGCATTCGTGGTGAACATCAAAAAGCGATTTTATACTTTCAAAGAGCTTTAAAACTAAACCCAAAATATCTCTCAGCATGGACTTTGATGGGACATGAATTTATGGAACTGAAGAATACAAATGCAGCAATTCAAAGCTATCGACAAGCAGTTGAAGTGAATAGAAGAGATTTCCGAGCTTGGTATGGATTAGGTCAAGCTTATGAGATCATCAAAATGCCATTTTATGGGCTTTACTACTACAAAACAGCAACACAACTTCGTCCATATGATTCAAGAATGCTTGTGGCCCTTGGAGAAACTTACGAGAAAGTTGGAAACAATTCAAATGCTGTCAAATGTTATCAGAAAGCTTGTAACGTTGGTGACATTGAAGGAAATGCAATGTTGAAGCTTGGAAATCTTTATGAGAAGATAAAAGATCGTGAAAACGCTGTTTTAGCGTATAAGAATTTTGTACTAGACGAACGAAGTAAATTAGAAAGATCGGCACTGATTAACGCTTATCTTTATCTCGCGAATTATTATTTGGATATGAAGAATTATGAAGATGCAACTTTTTACGCTCATAAAATTCTTGAATTAGATGAAACAAAACCAGAAGCGAAATCAATTTTGAAAGAGATTGCCGATGGACGAGGTAAACAGTTGGCGGTGACTCCTGTAGATACTGTAAATGAAGTTAATATGAATATAGCCAATATGGAGTGTAACATGGAATTGGAGACCGATGGTGGAGCTTTAGATGAAACTTCAGTAATTCCAGATGATTTGGATATGTCACTATGTTAAATAAGTTAATAAAGCGCTGTCATTCTTTTTCGTCTTTAAACATTTATTTTAATTCAAACATGTTATGCAAATGCAAAAAAATTGTCGGTTGTGAAAAAAGTTAATTTTTTTTTATGACAACAATATTGACATTGATTAACAAGGCGCATAGACAGAGTGAGCGATGCCGCACATGTTTTTTCCACGTACCATTCTCATGTATCCCTATGGGTTTATGAAGAGATTAATTATTGTTTATGAATCTTAACTTTCTTACATTTTCACCCCTGAAAATAAAAATTTTAAATCTATAAAAACAAAAATAAATTCGAAATGATATTTCAACTCACCATGAAGTTCCCCAAGAATTTCGGATCAGCCAGTAATCACCATAGCGACTGTCAGTGCCATATCCAACTAAAGTCTTCAATTTTCAAAATAAAAATTAACTATTCAGGCAATTCAAGCGTTAAACTCACAACAGCGTGGTCAACTAATCTTTTATCGCTGCCGCATTTCGGATCATCGTAAATTCCCCTCTTATAAAAATCAAAATCAGTATTTGATGTTCCTAAGCTTAAAAACAGAAATTACAATAAAGATTGCGTTTAAGTGTGAATGTTTACTTATGAGAACAACAACCGGTCCATAGTTAGCCACAACAGATTTCAAAGCATTCTCGTCTCCATTTAAAGTTCCCGTGCAGAATCTTTTAATTTGAAGAATGGAAGGAAATTGAGATTTCCTACATGATTGTCGTTGTTCTGCGTATTTATATCTCCTTCCATCGGATATTCCCGAATGTTTAATATATTCGAAAGCAAAGTATGGATTTCCTCCGTTACATGCTTTGTTTCTCGTGTTGCAATCGACCAAGTCTTGTTCTTATTGATTATTTAATTTAATTTTTTATTAACAAATAAAATTTTAAATTGTTCACCTGAAAATTGCAATCTTTTCCCACGTTTAGCATTCCAATATTCTAAAGCGGAAACAACTGAGAAAGCCCAACATGATCCTACAATGACATGATAAATGAAATTGATGAAAATATTTTGGTCATGGAAACTGACCACATTTTCCTTGATTTCTCACAGCAGGCATAAATCTAAACATTTTTAATTAACTTATTTCAGTATTTCTAATAAAGTTTCTTCACCTTGCATAGTTAATAGTTCTAGGAAGAGAACCTCTAACCATTGGTAGAAAATCTGATCCATGAACAGAATCAGGCTGTGGCTTTGAACCTCTTCTAAGATTTCTTTCCTTATCTGACATGTCAGCAGCATCATTGTCGTCCATTGTGTAAGTGAAATTACGTAACTTGTTGTGCTTTTCAATTGCTATGATATTCTCCTTAAAAATCATTTCGGCATGTTTTTCTTTTCTACCTTTATAAGTTTTATGGTTTTTGAGCTATTTTTTAATTAATAGAATTAAGGGAATATTAAAAGAACTTCAAATTATATTCAAATATCAAGAATTGTTTACCTTCCATTGCCTGAAGTTTGTTATAGCCAAACAGAACCAAGGTAAAGTTATAAAAATTAAAATTACCTTCATAGATTGGCTTTTAGGGAATTTTAACGGCAACTGAATTAGTGAAAGGAATAGAATTGGCCCGACATTGATACATGGCATCCACCGGAAGCTTTTTTGTTGTTAAATTGTTAAACAACTAAACAACTCTTGTTGAACATTTCATAAAAAGTTATTTAAAAATGATTTTAGACGATTCATTCATTTAGTATTCAAATGAAATAGAAACTGAAAGTGTTTAGTTGATAAAAATGATGATCATCACCTGCATAGAAAAATATCTTTTCTATAATAAGTTCAAGGTGAAAATTCTCTTAATCTATGCATATGTACAACGAAGTAATGATTGGCGAGGCTCTCAAAAAAAGTCTTTCAATTCTCTCTTCTTTTTAAAGCGTGTTGTGGTTATTAGCACAAGTTTAGCGACTGAAATGATCAGAGTGAGAGAAAAATTCGAGGATGTCATGATTGGAACAGGTTTGGAAAAGATTTTAAGCGTCACTCTCAGTCACAAGCTGCCATTCGAATATACAAGAAGCTTTTTATTTTATTTAATTACTTAATTACTAAATTGAAATGTCTACAATTGAAGATTCACCTGTGAAAGTTGAAGAGAAACAATCGTTAATAAGAAAGTTCATAAGCAACATAAGTGTTGAACCTCTCATCATCTGTTGGCTTTTGCCCTATCTTTTGTCTTACTCAGCTGTCGAGAATTTAACTTACGAAAAAGCATGTCGAGGATTTGTTGAGCCGCCCGTCACATTTCAAAAAGACATTTGTAAACTTTTCGTAAGAAAAGATTTATTTGACATTAAATGTGATGGTTCAAATGTGACATCGTTTGAAGATTTAAAAGTGAAAGAAATTGAAAAGAAATATCCAGAAATTTACAACAATGTCAAAAGTGACATAAAGTCTGCGATGAACTTTCTGTGCGAGATTGAAGAGAAAGTTCAGGAGAAAATTTCATTGATTAATTCTATTCGGAATCCAATCTCTGGTTACTATTTCATTCATTCATCACTTTAATTACATTTGAACTTCATAATGAATAATTTCAGCAATCGGACCTTTAATCATTGTTTTATTTGCCGGACCATGGAGTGACAAGAAGAATTTGCGTGTTCCTTGTATGATTGTTCCACTGTTAGGAGAAGCGATTGGTTACCTTTGTAAGACAAAAGTTGGAATAAATTTTACTTTAAATCTTCTCATGCATCTTGTTAGCTTTATTCATTTCAGCATATTTCATTAATGGACCAGTTGAATTTCCACTTTACGGTGACAGTTCTTAAAATTGATATTAAATTTTGAGACTCATAAAATTTTCACAGCTTATCTGTTGATACCATCACTCACAGGAGCTGAGACTCTAATGGTAATGGCTATCTTCAGCTATTTAAGTGCCATTTCAACAGAAGAGAATCGAACTTTTCGATTTGGAATGTTTAATATCATCATGACAATCATACCAATTATCGCTCAAAGTCTAAGTCCAAGTGCGAATAATAATTTCGAGTACACTGGTAAAATAAACTAATTAAAGTAATTAAAACATTATTTAAAATATTCTTTTAGGTCTATTTGGGATGATGATACCTGTGCATGTAATTGGACTTTTGTATGGAATATTCTTTCTAAAAGAAGTTAAACAAGATAAAAAAGAACCAACTCAGTCATATGACAATCCTGCATTCGTTGTTGAAGCCAATCAAACAAATAACGAAAATACCTTGGAAATAATTGAGCCACAGAATGATGAAAAAGCAAAAAATGCTTGTGCTGAGTTTTTTGATCCACGATTGGCTGTTCAATGTATTCAAACTTTGATCAAAAAGCGAGATTATGGTGCAAGATCAATTCTCATATTACTTATGGTGATGCACTTTCTTGTTAGTGGAATAACAAATGGAGAAATTCAAAATATTTTCCTTTATCAACGTTTGATATTAGGATGGGATATTGACACAAATACATATCACAATGTATTCACAATTGTCTTAGGATTAATTGGAACTCTCTTGATGGTTGGTGTGTTGAGTAAAATCTTAAAAATTTCTGACATTATTTTAGCATTGATTTCAACCGCTTTGACTGTTTTATCAAGAGTCATTTACAGTATTGTGACATCGACAATAGGATTTTTTACTGGATCAGCTGTTGACTTCACAGCATCTGTTAAACTTTTAGCAGTTCGTTCGATAATTTCAAAACTTGTGCCAGCCGAAGATTTAAGTTCCATGTTTGCAATTATGGGAATCTTTAACGCCTTGGCAGGAATGGTTTTCCCGACTATTTATCCACTTGCGTATAAAGCACTTCTGGAAAATGCAAACCGAAGTGTTTCAGAAATATTTCATTTAAGTGCTGCATTATTTCTGATTGCATTTATAGTTTATTCGTAAGTTACCTATCTTCGCAACTTTGAAAAGGTTTTTAATTGATTTAAAATTTAATTCTCTCGTAGCCTTGTTTTTAAATTGCTTAAAACAAAAGAAGAAGAACAAGCTGAAGAACAAGTTGAGGACAAACCTGATAAACCATGAAGTTATTAATAAAGCAAAAAAAAATTACATTCAGATTTGTGTTTATATTTTATTTTCTAAGCTTCACAGAATAAACGAACCATTGATGAATAAATTATTCACTGAGCTGTTGACTTCTTTGGATCCCAAGCTTCAACTTTAGGACGAGTTGTTGAGTAGGGCATGTAGGAATCTAAATATTGATTTCATAATTCAGAATGAAAAACAAACACAAATTAAGTTTTATTACCAGTGGTTCCTGAAAGATTTTCACTATGGTCCGCCATCCATTTGTAATGTTTGCGATTTCCATCACGATGTGGAGGCAAATCCGTCTGAATAAAAAAAAAAATTAATAAATATCTGTCTGAAAAACATCATTCTTGGATTCCTACCTTGTAGTGCATCCAACCGAACCATTCTGCAGGAATTTGTGATCCATCATACTCTAAATTTCTATGCTCAACATATTCAACCCAGCGATTACGTCCATAAAATTGTGTTGGATCTTCATAATATTTGTTTCCATATTTATCGGTGCCAATCAATGTTCCAGCTTTCCCTTCGTCCATTCTTAAAATTATTCAAATATTATTTTATATACTGGAGGACAGTTTTTGTTGCGTAATTTTTATTGATACTAACCGATACATTTTCCACAAAGTATTACGAATGCCTCCATTCTGTTGAATGTAAGAGAACAATTTTCCTATCTTATCAATACCAAAATATCGTGCCATCTTTAATGACAAACACAACAAAACTAAATTTTCAATCAAAGGAAATTTTGATGTTTACGAAAAGTTACAGTGACCCGCTCAGCAAAGACACAATTTTTTGAAAAGAACACGCAAGTTTACAACCCCTTTATTAACGTTTGTGACTTTCGTACATTATTTTATTTCGTTCAGAGATGATTATTTACATAATAATTTACTGAGGCGGTAATCTTGGTGGTAGCATATGATGAGCTTCTTTTGGCACTGGTCCCATTCCCAACCTTGCCTGAGGTAATCGTGTACCGGGTTTAACTGGGTTCAATTTAAAAATTGATCCAAAAAGAACATGTTGAATAACTGGAAACTTTGATAACATCTCCTTTTGATACATTTTTATCAATCCAGTACATATTTTACTCCATGATGGCACTGCACTGATACTCCATAACTTATTTGAGTGTTCCGCAATGTGACCCGTTTTTACTTGCAAAATATAATCGATGCATCCAATGAACATGAATTCTTTCCGATACTCTTCAATTGTTTCTGGTTCTACAAACTTTACTGGCTCAATCGAAGTTCCAATAAGTTGAGCACTTCCCCAAATAAACGGAATAAATTGGTAATCATCTAAGCTCCAAACTCCATGAGATCCTGCAGGCTCCATGCGATATGTAACTTGGAGCTTACGAACAAAGTTCAAATAAGTGTTAAACACTTTTAAGACTACTGCTAGTTCATCTGATTTTGACAAAGCTCCAATCTTGAAGAATGTCATTAAAAATAATATGAAAGACAATTCATGGCCAGTTCCGTAGTCTATGCGTGTTGGATTGCCAAATGAATCAAGGATGTAAGGAACAATTTCGATTATAGCACATTGTAAATGATCAGGCAAGACATCTTTTAATGCTGGTGTCACTTGATCTTTTAATTTTTGATACCATGTTCTGAAGGCAACGTTTCCAAAACGTTGAGGTTGATCAATTGGCGGTGTTTCAATCGCCAACTTCTCGAAATTTTCAAGCATGTTTATCAACTTTTGTACAACCGGTGAAACATCACATTTCAAGCTCAAACTCTTTCCTTGAATGCACATACAAATGGAATTAATAAAACCGAGTAAATCGTAAAAAGTTTCACTATTTTCCCAACGCGTCATATCCATTGCATTTCTTATTTCTTTTTGCGGTTCTACAAAATTGTATTTCATCATAGGTGACGACATATCTCCTGCTGCGCAAGACATTTTAGTTTTATTTTGATCTAACACTATCTTATAATTTTAACATCAAGTTTTGGCGAAGATTTAGATCATTGTTTTGAAAAAAAAATCTATTTTGATCAGGGTTTTCGATTGAAAAATTTTATGTTCATAAAATGCTACACTTTCCTACCCTTTACGGTTCAAAGAAATTTTTTGAATCCTGCCATGCGCCTTCATTTGTATGTTTACTGTTGGTATACTTTGAATAAAATTATTTAATTATGAGTAGAGAAACAAACAGCATATTATCCTTTAATTAATTTGAAACTTCCTTCGCTTAACAACAATTCAATGATGTTTCCTTTATCACATTTTAACATTTAAATTCCATTCGTCTTTCTTTTCTTCGTTTTATTCACTTCCATCCATTCTCTTATCTTGTAAACTGGAATATTTTTATGTTCTTCTTCCTATTGAGCTCTTTATCATTACGTCAGAATTTTTAGTCAGTTGCTCTCTGTTTACAGAAGACTAAACAACTTTTTTATATTCTTTTTCTTGCTTAAAGAATTTATTTATTTAAAAATGCCGATTGATATCCAAAGAGTCTTAGTTATTGACTCTGTTGACACGTTATGCGTTGATTTATTAAAAACGAATGGGATAATCGTAGATTATAAACTGAAATTGCCAAAGGAAACTCTAATTGAAGAAGTAAAAGTAAGGAAGTTCATTTTGCTGGCATGCATTGTCAATTTACATTCATGCAAAATTCTCATTCGTTGCTTACACACATAAAAATTGGTTTCGTTTCAATAAAATTGAATATTTGTCTCATTTATTAGAATTATGACGCGATCATTATTCGATCAGATACAAAGATTACTGCTGACGTGATTACATCAGGTGCGAGTGGAAAGTTGAAGGTTATTGGACGTTGTGGTGTGGGCGTTGATAACATTGATATTGAAGCTGCTACAAAAAATAATATTGTGGTACTTAAGTGAGTTGGAAGTTCATTTATTATCAATTTTCTTTTTATTCAATGTCTGACTCATCTACGTGATGAATGAAAAATCGAAACTGTTTAATATATAAATAAACAAATTTATTCGAAGCACCCCGGGAGGAAATTCGCTGGCTGCAGCTGAACTCACGTGTTTATTGATTGGATCGCTTGCACGTCCAATATGCCTAGCAGCGCAAAGCATGAAAGAAGGTCGTTGGGATCGTAAGTTATATGCGGGAACAGAACTTTATGGAAAAACATTAGCAATTCTTGGTATGGGACGAATTGGACGAGAAGTCGCAATACGATTGAAAGTTTGGGGAATGAATGTTATTGGCTACGATCCTATTACGACTGATGAAGAGGCTAGAGCTGCTGGAATCACGAAGATGGAGCTTGATGATATTTGGCCACTTGCAGATTATATTACTGTCCATGTTCCTTTGATACCATCAACAAGAAGTAAGCTTGCAAAGATAATACCTATTATTAAATTAAATTAACTGTATTCATGCATTAAAAGATTTGATATCAAAAACGACTCTCAGCAAATGTAAGAAGGGAGTGAAGATTGTAAATGTCGCTCGTGGTGGTGTTATCGATGAGTCTGCAATCCTTGACGCACTCGAATCAGGACAATGTGGTGGTGCAGCTTTTGATGTTTTTGAAGAAGAACCACCGAAATCTGAAGTGACTAAAAAATTGATTCAACATAATAAAGTTATTGCAACACCTCATCTTGGTGCAAGCACAGCAGAAGCTCAAATGAGGGTTGCAGTTGAAGTTTCTGAACAATTTATCGCATTGACTGGAAAATCGGTTCGGTTCACACAATATGCTGGCGTTGTCAATCGTGATGTCTTAAAAAAGTACTTTTAATGTTCAATGTTTTCTTTGAATCTTTTGCAAAGTAGTATCTAGATATAAAGATAAAATATTTTTATGTCATTTATCCAAACTTTTGTTGTTTACTCCAATAAACTTTTTATCCTACTTTAATTTGAAACAAAAATCCTTCATGTTTTTAATTCATTATTCAATGAATAGAAGAAATTAAGCATGTTTTATTCATCTATAAATTGGAGAAGGTAACGAAGAAATCGGAAAATATTTCAGAATGTTTCAACCCTTGAAAAGTTATAAAAGTTTCGAAAAAAATTGACTTTCTTTTCATAATCATTTTGAAAACAGTAATGGAAATAAACATTCTAATAAAGAATCTATTTTAATATTGTCCTTCAGACTCCAAAGCTTTCATTTGAAATTTTGGTAAATGAGAATTATCAAAAGACGACCTAACCAAGCCTTGTTTAGATTTAATTAGTTCAAAGAAGCTTTCAAAGAGAAATTTCAAATTTCACAATTTATATTCAAATTTATGAAATTTGATTATCCAGAGTAAATTCCATTTGAAACAATAGTTAATTAAAAAAAATTTCATAAACATTCATGAAGAAGCCTACGAGTAAAGATATATAGAAATAAAATAAGGGAAATTGAAAAGCTTCTTCTCTTATTGAAAAGCAAATACACGTGGACAATGTGATTTTCTCATTTTTTCAAAGCCGAACATTTGTTTATGTTTCTCTCGTTGAAGCTTCGGAAAAGCGTCCTTTGGTTGCCAATGGTGATGATCTTGAAATATGTGAGACATAGTATAAAAGGACTTGTTTTTGCGAGAGCTTTTCTCAGTTTTATCTTTGAGTTCGCAATAACGAGAAGTCTGAAAAAACATCGAATAACTTTTTATGGTGAATTCTTTGAATCTCAAAATTTATGACAGCAAGAAGCTCAAATCATTGATGATTTATGTCGCTTTCAACATTTTTAAGCAGACAAATTATTATTTTTCGGAAGGAATCTAAAGTTAAATATTTGAATACAAAGAAAAGTTAAGTGACATCAATTTCTTAATCGTCTTGGAATATTCATGAGTCAGTTGGTGAAAAATGTATAATTGAAAAAAGGCAAGAATTTGATGAATAATAGAATCATAATTCTTGTTTGCATTTGTTCTTAAAAGCATATTTTTGAAATTAAAACGAAGATATATTTATCAACATAAAAAAATTTGTGTACAAAGTTAAGATTCCGACATTCGGGAAAGAATTCCTTAGAAGATGAATGGGAAAATTATTATAAGATTTATTGTAAGTGTTATTTCAACATGGAGTTTACTTTCTAATGGAACTTTGGCTGCCGGGTTCAATGACTGCTTTTTTCAACATGAAAAAAATGACAACATAATTCGAATTGGATTTTTATCGAGGTACAAAACATCAAAAGTAAGTAAAAAGACTTTCACAAATATTATTGAATTAATCATCTCTACAGACTCTTCCTTGAACTTCTTTTGCGAAGACATTTTGCTTTCAATATGCTTGAATTTATAGATCAATAAATGGTTAAAGAAAACATCGAATAGATTCCCCTAAGCAATCATATTAAATTATCTCATGAATCTTAATGTTTTCCCATCCCACACGAGTTAAGGAAAATTTTATTCGTTATCTAATAAATTAAATTTTTTCACGGAATTTAAAAGAATGTATTGAATAGTTTATTGAACTTTTCACACTTATGTCGTCAACAATCTCATCCAAAATATTTTGTCTGCGTGGCATAATTACTAAATCGGAAATTTGATGTCACAAGATGTCTTAAGATAGAAATTAACATGAATATCCTTGAGACATGTGAACTACATAGTTCGACAACGACATCACTGAACTTGAAATTAATTGATTATTTTATTTACATTTGTCTTTATGAGGTGATTTTGGGGGCTTTGCCACTGGCAATTGACTACGTAAATAGGAATGATGATCTTTTGCCAGGAAAAACTCTAGAATACTACGCAGTTAACATCGAATCTGATGCTTCTGTTATTTCCTCAAACACCATAAAGTAACTGACACATATTTCTATTATTTTGAAAACATCTAAATTTCTGACTTGAATCATTCATTTGTTTATCACAATGTCAATTAGGAACATGACAGATCTCATGATCAAAAATGGAGTAATAGCTTTTATTGGACCCGATGAAAGTTGTTTACATGAAGCACTTGTTGCTTCTGCATGGAATCTTCCAATGATATCTTATGTAAGTTTACAAATATTGATTTTGAGTTGAGAAACAATGCAAGAAAATTTAAAAAGAATTCTTTTTTGGTGCAAATGTAAAATCAATTTTTTTAATTAATTTCACACCATGAACTTTCAATCTTAATATTGATCACGTTGCGAAATTATAATTAAAAAAAAGTGACCGGAAGCTTATTCCGTTCTAAAAATACCGCGAAAAGCAGAAAATTATGTAACTAGGTAGTCGCATAAACCTAAGACTTATGTTTTTCAAGTAAACATTCTAACAAATTGATTTACGTCCTATGTCTACAATTTGTTTGATCATTTGTCTCAAGTCTTGTGCTGACGTTGTTGTCACCAATAAAACACTTTTTCCAACATTTTCGAGAACGTCGCTAGGGCCTCCTGAAAAAATATCAAAAAGTGTCATTGCATTACTCAAAGCCTATCAATGGAACAAGTTCGTGATAGTCGCCGACACTCGACAATGGACAAAAGAGATAACATTGGCAATAAAGGTGAGATTGTTTATTGATTAATTAATGAAAACTCACTTAAAATTTCAACTAGGAATTAGCAGGAAAAAATAAATTGAATGTAACTGATGTCAAATATTTCACTGATTACATTCGAGCTAAATACGAGCACATGCAAAACATCATCAGTGAAAGCTTTCGAAAAACAAGAAGTAATTAAAAATCAATTAAAATCTTGGAGTTTTGTTTACTTGACTAGCAAAATGGTTTAATTTTATGTTCAGTTTATGTCTTCGTGGGGGGCCCATGGGCTTTGGATGATTTCATGTTGTGTCTACAAGAACGAAAACTTTTAGACGCAGGCGAATACATGGTCGTGTCAGTAAATGATGAGTTTTATAATCCTGATTTAAAGATGGTGCAGGGAGTGAGACAAAGTGAGTATTTATTAACTGATTGAATGCTTGCGTTTTATGACATGAATCGATAAATCAATTCCAATTCTTTATCTCATCATAATTTATATTTGTCTCGTTCAATTGAAATCTTTTCATATATTTATTTAAGGAATAATTTTTTATTTATTAATGTGATTTTTATGGACTTTTAATAGCAAAGATCAAAAGTCGTCAGTAAAGTGCCGTCAAATTTCATGTGCAGTTCGCATTCTGATGAAAATTTTATTTCGATTTTCAATTCAGGAGAAACTCTAATTAAATGTTAAATCCTTTATGTTACGAAACTTTACTCATTAAGCTTTATAAATAGAAATTTAGACTTTAAATTGAAATAATATTTGTGAATGATTTGGTGAATGACATGTTCAAATATTTTTCAACATCAATCTTTCGATTTTTTGGGATATTCCCTAATTACACTTAATTTCAGGCTTAACTCAATAAATATTTACATAAATTTGATTTTAATCTTATTACAGACAACATCCTAAGCCATCCTTTTTTGTCGAGATTTAAAAATAAAGCATTAAACGCTAAATCTTATCAGTCAATTCTTCAAATTACGTTGACAGCACCATCAGTTGATTTGACAAATTTTTATCGCGAAATACGAGAAAAAGCGAAGAAGTTTAATATTCCTTATCATTCAAAGATTGCACCAGTTATCTCAGTTCGAGCGGCTTATCTCTATGACGCCGTGATAATTTATGCACAAGCGGCAACGAAAATGCTGAGTAGTGGCGGGGATTTGCGCGATGGCCGTACATTAATGCAAAAATATGTCTTCAACAACATGTACACGTCAAAACAAGGATTCCAAGTGAATACACTTAAAACAACAAGTATTTGTTAAAGCTTGTAGTAATTTTATTTATTTAGGTTTTGATCGATGAAAATGGGAACGCAGAAGGAAATTTCTCCGTATTTTCAATGCAATACATAAATGAGACAGCCATGACGATGCAACAAGTTGGGTCTTTTGTATCATCGTCCAACAATGCTTCCAGAACAGAACTTCCAAAATTTCAATTAAGTGAAACGAAAAATATTCTTTGGATAAATGGAATTCCGAGAGATGAGCCAAAATGTGGGTTTGATGGATGCCCAAGCGATTGGAGCTTTCTTATCTCAAGTCTTCTGGTGTTCTTATTTGTCGCCCTCGTTAGCGCTTTTCTCTTAAAGTAAAGTTATGCTTTAATTTCTCTTAATTTATTTTTTAATGTGAGATTGATTTAAAGGCATTACCGATACGAGCAAAAGCTTCAATCAATTATGTGGAAGGTTGACATTAGGGAAATTACATTCTTGGGGAAAGAATATAATGAAGAAGCTTACAGAACTGGGAACATGACCCAATATTTTCGACATCGAACCATGAGTCTAATAACAGGCGATACAGGAAGAAGAGCTTACACAACAATTGGTGAGATGTCTTTAGGGGATGCTTACATAATTCAATCTGAAATTGTTTATTACAAAAATGTTGTGTAACTATTCTCAAAATACCGCCATGTTCATTACCATAAATATTTTCTTGTTAATTTAGGATTTTTTCGAGGAAATTTCGTGGCTTTAAAGAAGGTTCACAAACGTTCAATTGATTTAACGAGAAGCATAAAGAAAGAATTGAAACTGATGAGAGAAGTAAATAAAAGCATAATTGATCAGGGCTTGGAATTGATTAAAGTTTCTTACAATTTATAAAACAATTTCAAGCTTTTCTCAACATTTTTACAAACCGGCATATTCTTCTTTGACCTCTTTCTTAAACATTTCAATCTATTTGTATTTGTCAAAAGTTGCGTCATGAGAATATCGTAACATTTATTGGTGCAAGCGTGGAAAGCTCAAACATTTACATACTGACAAATTATTGTGCTCGAGGAAGCTTGGAAAATGTGTTAGCAAACCAAGACCTAAAATTAGATCATTTATTCGTGTCTTCGCTTGTATTTGACATAATGAAAGGACTCATCTTTTTACACGACAGCGAGATTGTATCGCATGGAAATCTTAGGTCGAGTAACTGTCTTGTTGATTCTCGTTGGTGTGTGAAACTTTCTGATTTCGGCCTCAATGAATTTAAATTGGGAAGTGATGAACCGGATAAGTAAGTCAAATAATTAATTTTCCTTTTCGTTGCTACATTTCTTTCTTCTTTGTCGTCACAGAAGTGAGAAAGAGATCAAAAGAAATATTTGTAGATCTCCTGAACTTTTAAGACTTCACAATCCACCTTCATACGGCACACAGAAAGGCGATGTATATTCATTTGCCATATTGCTTTATGAAATTTACGGTAGAAAAGGTCCTTTCGGTTTCGGTCATGCTTACGATTCAGAAACACTTGCGGCTACTTACAAAGAAATTATTGAGAAAATCATAAATCCACCAAATCCTATGATGATTCTTCGACCACCTTTACATATTTTAGACGCACCGGAATGTGTGAAGCAAAGCATTGTGCTGTGTTGGAATGAAGAACCTGACGACCGACCCGATATGCGACTTGTACGAATAAAATTGAAGGAACTTCAAGGAGGATTGTAAGATTATTTTCGTTTAGGGATTATTTATAAGTTATCAACTTAAGGCTTTCAAATGTTATGAAGAAAGCTTTGTTACATAACTTATGAACGTTCCTTGAATTGAAGGAAAGAGAGAGAATATTAATAACTTTACATTCCACAGAAAATCCAATATTTTTGATAACATGATGGCTTTAATGGAAAAATATGCATACAATTTGGAAGAGTTAGTGCAAGAACGAACGACACAGCTGAGTGAAGAGAAGAAGAAAACTGAAAATCTTTTGCTGCGAATGCTTCCGCGGTATGTGATAATGACGAGAAGTTGTTTTATTTTAAGTGAAAACATGTTTAAAACTTTTATTTCTTCTTACATCTCTTTACATTTTACAAACTAAATCATAAAAAAAAGATCTGTCGCTGAATCTTTGATGCATGGAGAACGAGTTGTAGCTGAGTGTTTTGATTGTGTCACAATAATGTTCAGTGACTTGGTTGGATTTACTGAAATATGTTCGACAAGTACACCACTTGAAGTCGTTGAAATGTTGAATGATTTGTATTCACTCATGGACTCAATCATATCGAATTTCGATTGTTATAAAGTTGAAACAATTGGCGATGCATATATGGTTGTGAGTGGACTTCCAATAAGAAATTTAGATCATGCAAGTCAAATAGCTTCGCTAGCTTTGATGATTTTGAATCGTGCATCAAAATTAGAGATTCGTCATCGACCTGGTGAACTTTTTCAAATTCGAATTGGCATTCACTCTGGTCAAGTTGTGGCTGGTTGCGTAGGCTTAAAAATGCCACGTTATTGTCTCTTCGGTGACACAGTTAATTGTGCATCACGGATGGAAAGCACATCGGAACCAAGACGAATTCACGTCTCAACAGCGACTTATGGATTGTTAAAGAAAACTGGTCGATATATTTGTGAAGAGAGGGGATTGACATTCATTAAAGGAAAAGGTGAGATGAGAACATTCTGGCTAAAAGGCGAAGACAAAAGTAAAATTGTTGAAGCACCAAAGAAGCTTAAAATTGATGACTGGAATAAAACGCCAGATTTACTTTGCATTGACAACATCAGATTAGCTGTAAAACGGAATCATGATTTTTGTGAAAGAAATTTCGCCACAAAGTCATTAAGTAATATTAATCATTCGTATTTGTTTAGTTCACTAATGGAGCATAAGTTTGTAGAAAATTTACCATCTTTGGGTATTTCAAAGAATTTCCCCAGCCACGACTGTTATTTGTGTCAAAAGAAAAAATATTTGTACCAAAAATATCATCAAGAATTGCGTCATCGTTGTGAGAAATTTTGCAGCTCTTCAAATTACGTCGCGTCGTTTTCATCGTCTTCGGAGATTGAAGTAGCCGTCAATGAATGTTCATGCAGTCGAGTTAGTCAAAACCCATCAATTCCTAGTCGATCACCCAGCTCAGCGCCACAAATCATATTCACTGAATAATCTTTTCTACATTAATTTAAACGATGCTTACAACACGTTCATCTCATCACAACCGACACGTTCCTAACATTATAAAGTAGCATTTTTAATGATTATCCTAGGCTTCGTGATGTTTTATTCTTGTCAGACACTCCTAACTCTCAATTCAATTCACGTATCGATCAAATTAATATTATATAAATATATAAACAATGTTATCAAATATTTACTAACAGAACTACGATCTTAATCTCTAATTAAGATTCTCAACCATCATTTCATCCAGCAAAAAGGAATCTCTGAGAATTCCATCAGTTGTTGTTTGGAAAGAAATATTTGTGAAAATCAAAAAATGATTGAAATGTTTTTTGTCTAATGAACAATGAACTTTGAATTGAATTATCTACTGTCAGAAAAATATTTCCTTGAATATTCGGAAACAATTTAATTTCTTCCTATTCTCGTTTTTGTACTTTAGTCTAAAAGAATGCGTCAGTGGCTATGTGTTCGAAATGTATTCATGTCATGTAATTGCAATTTGCAAACAGATTGATATTGGAATTGATAAAAAATCTCATCGTATAAAAGTGTCTCAATAAGAATCGAATTCAAAATATTGAATTTATGCATGAATGTCAACGTGTGTGTTCCATAAAATTGTGATGTTTATAAATATATTGTCCAATATTTGTATGAAAATAAAAATTTCTTAAAAAAACTTTTCAAATCCTTTCAAATCACAACATCAGAAAACTTTTTCAAACATCAACTTCGCAATTCATGATGAAGATTTCAAGATGATTCGAAATGAAAGAGAAAGTTTAAAGATAATTAAAAATTAAATAGAAGAAAATGAAATTTAATCAGATTTCTTTTTGAGTTTATCTTGATGATGTCAAGTGGGTTATTTCCCTTTCGGTATCAACTGATAGAAAGGAAAATTGTTATGAGAAAATTCGGGAAAGCAAACAACACAACACAATATTGAACAACAACAACAGTTTACTGATTATTTTTTATTGTAATAGAATCAAATTCGCTCGACTTTTGAAGGCCACTTCAGACTGATACGCAGCTTTTAAAAGTCGATTGAAATATCAATTTTCATCCTTAACCCATTTTAAGCATAGAAAAATTTGTTTTTTAAACTGGAGCAAAATATTTTGATGCTGCTAATGTTAAGTGTTTGACATCGTGGAAACTTCTTGGAAGCACATTTTTTGTAAAGATGCTTAGAGCTAAAAAATTGATAAATTTCCAAATTTTTAACAGAGAAGAATGAGTTTAATATTTTGCTAAGACCTTTTGACTTTTAACAGCTTCGATAGCTTCGATTAAAAGGTTAATAGCTTTATCAACAAATTCATCTCTTGCATTGGTGCCCATCAATCCAATTCGGAATATTTTTCCAACTGTAGGGCCAAGACCACCAGAAATTTCGACTTTATAATTTTGCATGATATAACTTGAGACTTTTGTTCCGTCAATGTTTGCTGGGACGTTTACAGATGTTATTGAAGGTGCTCGTTCATTAGCATTCCTAATAAATAACGACAAGCCATTTGCTTCAAGTTTCTTGTATAAGTTTTGCGATATCATCGCGTGTTTCTTCCACGATGCTTCTAATCCGCCTTGTTCAATAAACATCGCCAAAGATTCCCGCAATCCATAAAGTAAAGTAGGAGACACAGTGTGATGATAAATTCTCTTCTTATTTGGAAAACAATTCCAATATTCACCCAACAAATGCATATCAAAATTAAAGCTTTGAACAAGAGTTTTGCGTGATGTTATTTTATCACTGAAAATGGATATAAAAAAGTTTCATCATGAAAATGCGGATTTAAATTTATTTATACATACATTGCCCTTGAATTAAATGTTATTGGCGTTATACCTGGTGGAGCGTTTAAAACTTTCTGTGAGCCTGAATATGCAACATCAATCTTCCATTTATCTGCATAAAATGGCACACAACCTAGCGTGATGACAGCATCAACCATAAAAATGCAATTATATTCATGACACAACTCTCCAAATCCGTCAAGATTTTGAAGCATTCCCGTTGAAGATTCTCCATGTGTTATAAAGAAAACTTTCGGTTTATGAAGCTCGAAATGTTTTCGCGCTTCAAGAAGTGAAAGCTGTTCACCTAAAGGCTTTTTTATTAAGCGCACATCTCCGCCAATTCTCTTAGACATGTCAGCTGCACGTTCACCCCAAATACCAGAATGAGCTATCAAGATAACGTCGTCTTTTTCTAATAGATTTACAAGGCCAGTTTCCATTCCTGCATGTCCACTTGCAGATATGCATAATGTTAAAGGATTTGTCGTTTGAAACAGATACTTGAAACCTAAGTATACATTTTTTTAACACTTTCACATTTTTTTATAAATTTAAATATGCTTTTGAAACCTTCTTTCAAGTCATCCATTATCTTCAAAGTTTCCGGATGTAGATGACCTAAAACAGGATGTGAAAGAGCTTCCCTTACTCTGTCTGGGAAGTTAGATGGTCCAGGTCCTAACAATAATTTGTTAGGAACCACCAAAGGTGTCAAAAACTCAACCGGTGCAGACACTTCCATCGTAATAATTCATTTACTACTACTCACGTCTCAAAATTTTAAACTCGTTTTATAAGCAAAATTAAAACAATATTCTGAATAAAAAATAGCGTTTCGTTTGATTGGTAGTATGAGAATGAATATAATCAGTTTACAAGTGGCGAGATAAGATGCGAAAATGTCTATATTTGCCTTATCTTGGAAAAAATTGACAAATACCTACTTGAAAGCAAAAATTAAAATAAAAATTTAACGGATATTTTTCAAATCTAAGTTTGAACTTAACTGAACTTTTATTACTTGTCACATTATAACTCCAGTCTTCGAGTTTCATGAAAATTTATTTAATAACGTTATTGTTAATTTCCTAAACCACAGATGAGTGCTTGGGCTGAAACCGTTCAAGCAATTGATATCAAAGAGATCGATAAACAATTTGAAGATAATTTTGTGACAACAGAAGTAAAGGAATTCAAGAAATTAGAAGATTCTGATCAATATTTGAAAAGTTTAGGTAGGTGGAATAATTTTATCTCTGTTTATTTATCTGAATAATAACAAATTTTTACAGAATCAAAGTTGAAGAAAATAAAAAAAGATCCGTCAGTTTTGAAACAACTGAAAGAAAAGCGTGAAGAGTGTTTAAATAACTTACTTAACAGTTCTTTGACCTCCAAAACAAATCAAGATTTTGAATTAGAAGAAACTGTTCAGTCGAACGAAATTATTCGTCATCTTGTTCCAGCACAAGCTCAAACTATTGGTGAAATCGCACACTTGATTAAACACGACACTTTGGATCAACAAAAACAAGAAAACGAAGAGGAAAGTGAAAAGCCAGAAATCAAGGAGACTCAGTAAGATATTAAAACAGGTACGATGTCAAATCCAATTGACTTGAAGGGTAAATTAGCGTATTTACTGGTCACTGGAGCAAGCAAAGGTATCGGAGCAACAATGGCAATTGAAACGTCGCGTCATTTTAAGTCTGGCTCTGTTGTTGTTTTGTTAGCGAGATCTCAATCAGGTTTGGAAGCTACCAAGACAGCAATTCTGGAAGCTAATGCTTGTTTGAAGGTTGTCATCAAAGCGATCGACCTCACAAAACCATCTACTGAAGATCTGAATCTCATTATTCATAGTTCATATGATAAATCCGTTAATTTCGACCTAACAATGATAATCCATAATGTTGGAACGGTCGGAGATATTTCGAAATGGTCGCATGAAATTGAAGATTATAACGTACTGGAAAACTACTATTCAACAAATATTTTCTCTCCAATTATTTTGAATAATTTGTTTCTGAAAGTAATTCCTGAATCGATGAAGAAATTTATTGTCAACATCACATCGAAAGCAGCCAAATTTCCTTTTAAAAGCATGGGATTTTATTGTCAAGGAAAAGCAGCGAGAGAAATGTTTTTCAATGTTTTGGCTGAAGAAAGAAGTGATGTGCTGGTGTTGAATTATGCACCAGGTCCAGTTGAAACTGACATGACAGTGGATTTGCAAGCAAATTCTGTTGCTACAGAAACTTCAAACATGTTTGAGAATCTTCGTAAGACAAAAACAATTTTAACAACCGAACAAACAATTAAACGTTTCCTGGAAGTTGTTGCCAAGGGAAATTACCGTTCCGGTGATCACATCGACTATTACGATGAATTATAATTATTTACATTCCCAAATATGAATACAATTCCTTCATTGTTAACTTCATTTAAAGTGTTTTCTTGTTTTCCTTCACTTTCAGATCGAAATGCGATCAAACTTTCACGAAACTTTCATTTTCCTCACAAAGCTGATGTGGAAGAATCGAATAATTCTTCCCGCTATGATTTCTGTTGCATTTCTTGTTTGCAATTTTCGTTGGGAAATTGAAATTTCAATTCAGACTGAACGAATTCAAATGCCAAACAATGATGACAATGACAGTGACGATGGATCAATCGGCTACACTTCCAATGATGAGTTTGAAGTAGCGTCAAGTGGTGATGATGATTTTGAAGTAACATCAAGTGGTGATGATTAGTCTGATGATACGACGATCAGCTAGAAAACTGATTAAAGTTCCCACAAACGTTTATTGTGATCTCAAAGAAATTTTTTTAAAATGTTTTTTGTTATTTTTTTGTCGATTTAAAAATAAATAAAAAATTGTCTTTTTTTGCAAAGAAAACTTCTTTTTCATATATTTCATTGATCAAATTCAGCAACTATTCTGGCGATCATGAAGTTTAAAAATTAAAAGTTGACATTTTGGATATTTACAAACAATGAAGACGAATGAAAAAGAAGGAAAGAAAAGGATTTGACTGATTCGTCTTCCAAATTTATTTACAATGACTTCAATTTAGTTACTTTAAATATTGAATCGATTTAACGTGATGATGTATGCAAGGCTCTGATTACGAAGAATCCTACGATGGAGCACGTTGCGATACCTAATACTGCTTTCCACATCATCAGTGGATCATTAGTCATCAGGCCGAAGTGCTTAAGCTGACTATAAACGTTTGGAAAAGAATAAAAAAAATTTCTGTTAATAAAATATTCAATCGGTGAGATTTTAAACCAAGCAATGTTTACGAATGCAAGCACAAACGATATAAAAAAAATAATGAACATGCAAATTTGTTAAATCAAATGTTTTAATGATAACTTTTTTTTCATTTTTACTCGACAACACACATAACATAAGATGGATCAGATAAAACAACGTGAACTAAAAACATCTTAATTCGATTAGTTAATGTTTTTCATTATCCAACTTACGTTTCTTCCCAAAGCTGTACGAACCTATGCTTGTAAAATAAGATCCACGCCGGTTGGAAGCGTCTATATGGTACACATAAGTAAATCACATGAAAGCAAACAGATATGTTTTGTGTGTTTATGATTGAATTTTTTTATCAAAGTTGACGATTAGGACAAAGTTCGAATTTTACTCGATAAGCTTTCAATAGAGCTTTTAGAGATTTCAAAAACTTCCCCTCCCTTTAAGGGAACAATTTACGCCACCCTTCGCAATAACATCGAACTTTCACCTAAATTTAATTTCTTTTCCTTCAAAACTTCAAAAGGCTTGCATGACAATATGTTGAACAAGGGAAATTCAAATTGAAAAGTTCTTTTTTAAACAAAAACATAAATCTAATAAATACTCACGGAAATGATGCCATTGTAGCTAATTTTGTATAAAGATCTCGTTTGTTGTGCTTGACACTGAAGAATTGTGGTGGTAAAAGTTTATATTTATGGCAGAATTCATTTGGTTGCAACAAATAATCTTGACGAATTTCTTCCATATCACCTTTGGCGCCAACAATCAGAACAGGAATTTTACTTTCAGCGAAATATTTGATATAAATTCGGGCAATGTACTCAAATGATTTGGCATCGCTGATATCATAAACAAGACAAGCGACATCACATAAAACCTCCGATGGTTGAAGTGGATCGAGAACTTGTCGAACATCGATATCGCGTAAGATCAAATACTTTTCTTGCCCATAAACTTGAACTGTATTAATGCAATATTGATTATTTCCTCGCAAATCTTTTTCGTTCATTTTCTTCATGTCATCAACAAGAAATGCTCGACAAAGTGCTGTCTTTCCAGCACCTTTCATTCCAATTACATGACACATGTAAACCATTCGACTACTCTGCTTCTTTGCCAAATCAATTCGACGTTCTCTTGTCACATGAATTGCTGCCAATTGTGATTCATTCTCATGAACATTAAATCCAAGATAAGCTAAATATTCCAAAGTTTTTGGTAATTCAATAAAAGTTTGTAACGTCCAACGACACATCCAACCATGTTGTGTTGGCCAACCTTTTTCATTTGTTGGAACTGTTCTTTTAATGTCACTTGAGAATGGCGGTGTTGGACATGCACTAAATACTCGTTTGAATTCATCTGGCGAAAGTGATCCATCATTATCTTTGTCACTTCTTTCAAACAAAGCCATTAAAAATTGTTGTCCACGATGTGATAATTCCGTGCTTGATCCTGGTGGTGTTTTTACATGTGGAAATAAATAATCTTTACTCATTTCAAGATTCTCATTGTATCCAAATCTTCTAAGCACTGCCCATGTTGTTTCATTACGTCCACGTTGAATGAATAAACAATGAAGAAATAAAAATCCACTTAGTGTCACACAATCATCTCTTATTCCATCCGGTGTATTCTTCATTAGAACGGCTTTGACTTCGTCTAGTACAGTTGGTTGAAGTGGAGCATTAAAACATCGTCTTTGAAAGTGATTTAATTCATAATCGTTTAACAATCCATCACCATCAATATCACACACTTTAAAGATCCTAACGAGAGCTTTCTTGCATTGTTCTGTTAAGTCTTGCTCTTCCATAACATACAATGGCGCTGTTGGATGTAAAACTGCTTTTTGTGCATAGAAAAACATTTCCGAAATATTGTGAAGAGTTTTTGCTGAGCATTCGACGCAACTTTCAACTTCGCTGAATTCTTCCATGATGGTTAAGACATGATCGATAGTCGAGTAATCAACAATATCAATTTTATTACCAACTAGAACAACCGGCTTGCGTGTGTCACCTTGTGAATGATCTCGAATGAAAGGCAGCCAATGTGAACTGATTCTATCAAGTGAATTCTCATCATCGACAGCATAAACAACACAAACAACATGAGCTTTCTCAATCTCTTCAGATAAGTTTTCATCACTTTGTTCGATGGAAGAGAAGTCGACAATGTTCGTTTTTACATTTTCTGGTGTGACATCTGCTGGAATTGTAATTTCTTCAGCTTTTGGTGGCACTTCTTCAGGAAACTCTTCACTGACTAATGATAAGATTAATGATGTCTTTCCAACTCCTGGATCACCGACTAAAAGTATCCTCACGTTGCGTCTAAGTGGTGAGGAGGAACTTGTTGTTATAGACGATGAAACCATTTTATCTGCTTCTTAATCCACTTCTTATCACAAATACTAATTCCCTTTTAATTTGTTTTTCTTCTTTTTAAATCCAATTCTAAAACATGAAAAGATTGAAAAATTTCTTTTAATTCTAAATCAGAATGATTGCATAATACGATGGAAAAATTTCTAAATCTACTGGAAGTTGAAGAAAAAGTATTCAAAGGTTTCTTTTCAAAGTTGATTGTACCGTAAAGTTCTCATGATTGCAGCAAGCGTGAGATAGGAAAAGATTTATCAGGTTAATCTTAAAAGTTTCATTCTCAAGGTTCCAGTAATGAATTACAAAAACACAATAAACAAAAAAAAAGAAATCAACGCTAAGAATGGGTAATGAGGTGAATTCTTAGCGGGAGACATCTAATAAACATTCAGTGATGCTCATGCTACTGAATATTATAATTTTATTGTTAATGTCGCAACAAATTTATATATTAAAACAAGCAAAGTTTTTATATTTGATAGAAAATCAATAAATAGAACAGAATATCTATGTTCAAGTCAAAAACGAATAAGAAGTAGAGATTTTATTTGTTAAAGTTATTTTTAAACCTTGTTGTCACTAAACATTGGCACAAATCACGCGGAGCAATCAGTTAAAAAACGAAAAAACTTTATTAAAGAGAAAAATTCACCTCTTAATATTCCTGATATGATTCACATTTTCTCAATCATTTCTTGAGGAATTGAACTTTATTTAAAAAATCCTTTAGTATCAATTATGTTTGTGTTGTTAACAATATAAAAGCAAAGCGCGCACTAATTAGTTTAAGCCTCCTGCTGATATTTTCTGTACTCCTTAAAATTTCTATATTAATAAAGGGTATGAAACTATGATTTTTTTTGAATATTTTAAACATTTTCATAAACCGTTACAAATTTTATTTCTTTATAGATATTTTTTTTATTTCACAATTCAAATTAATCTCAACAAAATATTAATTCACATAATAGCAACAGAATGCATAAATCAAATTTGAAAATAATAAAAACATATTTCTATCTAATAAAAGTTCACTTTTTTCATGCTCTCATTGTTGAACTTTCTTCGGTCGTCCCACCGATCGTTTCTCATTAAAGTTCTTTGCTAAGCCTTGAGTCAATTCAAGACTCGATAATAAATGCTAGTGATCACGTTTATCTTTGTCCTTCTTCTTTCGTTTTTTTTTCTTTCCATCACTTTGACCACTTTGCTTTCTGCTTATGCATGCTCGACAAAACCAATCCTCATCGTCTTTCGGTTCCACTTTGATTCCAACACAAGCCCTGAAGAATATAATAAGTTTTTATGATATAAAATATTTCAGAAATATAATCCAAATGTTAGATGAGTTAAAACCACCAGATGAATAAAATTAATCATTTCAAGTGACACCAGAATTGAGTACATTTGACACTCAACTCTTCCCAATAAATTTCTACAACTACTCACCAATGATACCAAGCATCACACGAATCACATCCAATCATTGGTGTACCATCGTCAACCTTTCCACATGCTGGACATATCCATACAGTTGATCCATCAGCATCCTGCTTCGTTTTTCATCACAACAAGAATTGAGGAGAGAAGAGAAAAGAAGAATTTTGCATAAATTGAATGTGCTTTCAAGTGCAATAATCAATTAAACGAATAAACCAATAAAATGCACATAACAAACTCAAATGATAAGATAATGTGAAAATGAGATGAAAATTTTCTTTACCACAATGTTATCAGCTGTCAATTTCCTCTTAAAACTTTCACTTTTATGACTCGTTTTAGGAGTCGTTGGAAGTTCAAGCTTTGCTGATTCAACAGCAATTACCGGCTTCAACTTTCCATCCTTACTTGGTGAACCCTCCTCGCTCGATGTTTTCTCATCATCTTTCTTCTCTGGTAGTTTTTAAATATGGTTTGATAGCAATTATAATCACGATGATAGAAAAGCGACAAAAAACATGAAGAAAGAATTAAATTTTATGGTTAATTTTGATGAATATTAGTATGTAAATTAGTTATGGAGCATAATGAATCGGCACAAGCTATAGGAAAAATAAATTCTATTAATTTCAATACCAACAAAAGTTTTCTAAATAAATTTAAGTTCCCAGCTCTGTCTGAAGCTTTAACAAAAATTAATTCAAAACTTTGATAGTTTGAAATTGATTGAATAATTTTAAAATATTATTTACACAAATTTAGGGATGTTATTTGACTTTTTCACAAACTGTAAACTCTGTGAAGCAAATGCACATCTCTTTAATTGTCACAAATGAATAATGAATGCGTTGTTACATGACGATCAACGATGTAAGTTTTTTTTATTAGTTCCAGCCACAAATTAATTTTTCTATCTAAAGAAAATGCAACGCAGAACAATAACAAAAAAAGAAAAAGAAACAAAACACGCAAATCTGACTTAAAATCTATTCAATCATTTTCCATCGTCAGCAGTACAAGTTTCGGAAATACTCACAACATAAGAAGCTTTGTTGTGTGAAATATTCCACGTTTCTTTGCTTTCACTGGGTTGCGTTTGATGGAATGTTTGAGTCGTAGGTTGATTTGAATCATAATTACTGAAATGTTGTGTTTGATAAGAACTTTGATAATTTGATCCACCTTGATCCATTAGAGGTTGATTGTAATTATATTCAGGTTGATATTGAAAGCTTTTGTTGATTTGTGGAATTTGTTGATGCTGAGTTTGATGATGTTGAACTTGATATTGTTCACCAGGTGATGAAGAATAAATAAGGTCTAACATGTTTTCAAGAATTAAAAATTATATAAAATATTGTGGGGGTGGGTAAAAAATTATAAACCGAATCATCACTTAAGCTCCAAACTTATTTAGCATCATCAATCAATCATTCAATTACTTACTCGACGACGATGATGATGATGACAAGATCTTTGGTTTTGGCGGACGTGTAACCAAAGGTGAAATTCTAACAAGTTCAGGCGATGGATCACGATTTGTGTTTGTGTTCGTGTCATGACTTGATGGTGAAGGGAAATCAAAATCATTCTTTGTTCGCTGAAGTCTAATGAAAAATTGTTAAATGAATTCAAATTAAGAAGAAAACTCAAACGGCACTCACATTTTCTTATGCATTTCCGGTGTGTTCGGTCTCGGTGAATTAAGCTTAAGCATTAGCTTTGGAACCGACGAAGTTGTCGACATATTGTCACCAGTGTCAGTATCACCAGTACTTTGACTATCCAATGTTGACATTGACGCTCGATGCTTCTCTTTACGCTTTTCTTTCTTCTTTTTCTTCTCTTTCTTCTTCTGGGAAAAAAAGAAATTAATTAAAGGAAATTTCAAACATAAAAGTTCTTCACGAAAATCTCACTTTCTTTCGTTCTTCTTTATCTTTGTCCTTCTCCTTGTCTTTATCCTTTTTCTTCTTTTTTTCTTTTGATTTCTCCTTGATCGGCTCTTGATTCTCCTGTACAACAGTTGAAGTTGGAATTGGCTCTGATTTCATCACGACAGGAACTGTTGATTCCTGTGGTTTCACTACTGCTATCGGTGTCATTGGCATTGGCTCTGGTGATGATGTTAAATCAAATGTTTCCATTTTTTCTTCGCTCATGACTTTCTTCGATGATCCCTGATGATGTTGCTGCTGTTGATGTGGTTGTGGCTGCTCTTTCAAAAGCTGATCAAACGAACTCATTTGTTGCATTTGATGATGCTGTAACGGGAAAGGTTCAACATTCATGAATGGTTGGGCATCAAAACGTTCCTTTATAGCTTGTGGCACCATTGGTGCGACATTGAGAAATTTGTTGCCTTGCATCATCTGGAAGTCATCTTCCCTGAACATAAACGGCTTGGGTTGTTTAACAGGTTTTACCTTCTTCGGTTTTGGTGCATGTTGCATCGGTTGTTGATTCTGTTGTTGCTGCATATTAAAATCCATTCCTGGTAAAGGAAAACCTAAAGAATTCTGAAGCATTTGATTCATTTGTCCAAGTTGTCCCATTCCAAACGATGGTCTAGGAATTAAACCTGGACCTGATGGAAAGAATTCTGATGGATTCACTCCAAAAGTGTTTCGAAGTGGATTTCCAATGGTTCCCATAATTCCACTAGCGCTATGAATCGACTGCAAAAAAGGATTATTTTGACCAGTTAAATTATCAAATTGTGATGACAAAAACGAGTTTGATTGACTCCAATCAGGTGGATCGATTTTCTTCTCTCGCTTCTTTCTTTCCTTCTTTTCCTTCTTCTCGATTGATTGTGACAATTTAAAATCAGGTGTTCGTGGAATTGTTGGTGTTTTGGGCATTACAAGCTCTTCAAATGACGACTCGTTACTTCGTGGCAAACTGAAGTTGATCGGCATGTTATCATCAACTCTTGTCATTGTTGTTTCTTTTGGAAGTTTATGAACTTTCTTCATCGGATCGCTGTAAATTTGATGCGGTGTTGTGGGTTGATTTATATCGTATCGATCAAACTTTGGTGGACTTAAGAAATCCATTTGCGATGGCATCACCGGTGAAGACTTCAAATTATCATCTTTCGGTTTCGAAATCTTCTTAAAAATATTTAATTTATTTTTATCCGGTTCGGAGATGAGTTTTCCCTCAATCAGAGGATTTTGTGGTGAGAAACTGTTGTCCAACATTGAATTTGGAAACATGTGAGCAGCTCCTGTGAGGAAGTTATGAGCTTGAATGTTGCTTTGGGGTGGTTGAATAGTTGGCGGCATCACTTGGAAAGGATCGAATTTTGACTTATCTAAAAAGTCGACATCCATTGAACTTTGCTTTGCTGCTTTCGGAACTTTTTCTTTCTTCTTTTTTGTCCCGATCAGTTCAGTTTTGTTCTTCATTTTAAGCTTCTTAAGAGCTTTCTTTCGTTCCGCTTCGATTAAATGTTCATTCGCTTCTCGCGGCATATTTTGTGTCATTTGAGATAAGCTTGGACTGTTACGGGGAAGAACATTCTCCATATGATCACCACGAGGTAAATGTTTCTCCTTTGAAGGTTTATCTTTGCGCTTTTCTTTATCGTGATTCTTTTTCTTTAATTTCTTTTCAAGCTTCTTATCGATTGAACTTCCACTTCCGACACCGATATTTGAATCTTTTGGCTTGTAAAGTGAAGGATTGCTCGATGGAGGTGATGGCTTTGGGAACTCGGGTGGCAAATTCGGTGGCTTTGCTTCGGGAAGTTTACCTTCTCGTGCTGGTGAAATGAATCCAGAAGTTGTCATCATGACTGAAGTAATTTCACGTGTTGGACGACCTTCTTCTTCTGCTTTTATCTTTTTTGAAGAATTATTGTCTAAACCACCATCGGGTGGTCTTTTAAAAACATCAACGTCCTCATTTGGAACTCCAACAACGTCAATTTCCTTCTCACCATTAATTCCATTGTAAAGTGGCTCATCTTCCGGTGGATTAAGAGGTGGTAAGTGTTCGTGTATATGAACTGGTCTAGTTAACACCTCTTTGCTTCCCGGTTTTAAAAAGTTAAAGTGAGATTCTTTAGGAATGGGAAACTTTGCGACCTCCGCTGGTTGAACAGGATCCACATAACTGACATACTCGAGAATTTCACTCATATCAATTCCCATTTCTCTGAACGCCAAACCCAAATCATCAAAATTTGCATCAGTACGATTATCTAAAATTCATTGTTATCACAATAATGGTCCATCAAAAATTATTTAATACTTACAGAGTTCAGCAAAATCGTGAGTTGATTTGCAAACTTCTTTTAAATAACGATCGAGAATATCGACAAGAATCTCTAATGATGAAGCAGTAACACTCTGCCATCCTATTGTTTGACATATTTGGGCGACAACAACTCGTAGGAGTTGAGTCGAATAATTTTGTTTCATCATACTGGATCTTTACAAATTTAAGAAGAAAACATAACAAATATTTTTATAATTCAATTTTTCTTCTTAAATCGAAAATCTTTTAAATGTTTTTGATGATTTATATAATGAAAATCACTTTATGAATGAGTTTCTAATTCTTAAGACGAATAGAATATTCTTTTAACTTGATTTTATTGAAATTTCTCTTAATACGTTTTGAGCACAAAAATAAATTTCAAGGGGAATGAAAATTTCATAAAATAAAAATCCGTTAAAAATGTACCAATTTTCAAAGTTTTGAAAAAATTTCTAAAATTCCAAGGGTAATCGACCGCACCATTGACAAGAATTAAACTAAAACGTTTGAAAAAGTAAACAAATTCAATCAAAACAAAATAAATGGAAAAGAAAGATAATCCAACTTTAAACACGCCGGAAGTTTCAGCAACTGGCATAGAAGATGAAGCAGATAAACGTGATCATATATCGAAAAAAATGTGGCGATTCAGCAAACAAAATTATGAGAAACTTTGCGAGCAAATTGAATTTTATTTTTCACCGTCAAATTTAGCAAAAGATCGGTTCATGTCAAAACTAATTCAAGATGATCAATGTAAGTTGTTAAGAAGATGACAAATTTACAGATTTTAATAGAAATTTCTTACAGATATCCCATTATCTGTCTTCATGAGCTTCAACCGTATCAAAAATATTCTTAACGGAGGATCTGAGAATATTATCAGAAAGGCTCTTATTCGTTCAACTATTTTAGAACTTTCCGAAGATCAAACAAAAGTTCGTCGTAAGGAACCAGCCCCAGTCAAATCTCAAGAAGAAACAGATGAATGCAGTCTTTATGTGGAACAAATTCCAATCAACACAACACATGAATCATTAAAAGTTATTTTCTCGAGATTCGGTAAAGTTAATTATGTCAGCTTACCTCGTTACAAGAAGTCTCGTCATATCAAGCAATTTGGATTTATTGAATTCGATGAAAAAGAAAGTGTTGAGAAAGCTATAAATTGCTTTAAAATGGTTGATGGCGTTTTACAATATTCGAGCTTGAAAGCTGAAAATCTTTTGAGTATTGTAACACATGACAAAGAAGCTCCACCTGAAGTTGATGAAAGCTCTGATAAAAATAAAAGCGATGAACCTCCAGAAAAGAAATTAAAATTAGAAACAGAAGAAATTGTTGAAGTTAAAGTTGCTGATGTAGAAGAAAAAAAGGATTCGAAAGATGTGAATGAAATAACAAAAACAGCTGAAGAAATCAAAGACTCGTGTGATGATGATGAGTCAGCAGCTGAAACTAGCGAAAAACCCACAGATGACGAAACCAAAAAAGGGAAAAAGAAAAATCGAAAACATAAGAAAAAATCTGGTCAGAAATCATTTTTCGATGAACGAGCAATGGCATTAAAAGTTATGCCAAAGAAGGAATGGAAAAAGATGCGAAATGCTTACTTGAACCTTGAACGACAAAAGGCAAAAGAGATTAAAAAGATTCTTCGAGAGTCCTACAATAAAAGAAACAACAATAAAATTCAGAAAAATCAAAAATTTTCACCAGCAAATACAGCATCGCCAAGAATCAATTTCTACGGTTCTCCGAATGATCGAGAGGATCCCATAGCTGCTGCTTTTGAACCAAATAGCGAAGAAAATCCTTCAACTGGTCTCACATTCATTCCTGGTGTTATTGTCAACATAAAGTTCCGCGAACCTTGCGTTGATTTTAAAGAATTGAAGAGGGAATTCAAACAATATTCCTATGTGACTTACGTGGATGTTCTTGAATGTGGAGCGCAATGTTTCATCAGAGTCGAATCGCCAAATTCAGCACACGATCTTATTAGTCAATATTCAAGTTGTGAATATGAAGCCGAAATTCTCAAAGATGAAGCTGAGAAAGAGTATTGGAAGAAGATATTTGAAAAACGCGATCAGAAGAAAAATAAAGATAACACGAAGAAACATGAACCAGTGAAAAGAAGAAGAGGACGTGAAAAGTTGATGGATAAAGTCAACAAAGTAGCTCAACACATTCGATTCGAAGAAAATGAAGAAGGTGCTGAATAAGCCCGAGATTTTAATTTAATTTTTATTGCAAGCAAAGTGTTTAACAATGAATTTAATTTATATCGAAAGAGGATGAATAAATTTTCAATTAAAATCTCGTTGATTGAATTACTGAGTCGAGATTGTATATTCACAAACGATACTCAATTAAAACAAAGCTCAAAGAATTCGTGACATGAATTGAATCTCTTTTCATTTAAAATATTCTTTATTATTAATGACATCTATCATATCTTCAACATCTCTCATGGCATGACTAAATATCTTTCTCTTAATTATAAAAGTACAGAGCAGAAGAGCTCTTATAAAATGTTTATTTCGAGTCTACTGCAAATTTTGAAAGGGATTCAAGTAAACTGATGTAACTTTGATGTTCATATCCAGTACTGAAGTCACTGAGTTTTTCTGCAAACTCATTTGACACTCCCTTCTCCTCTAAATAGTTCATAAGCAAGTCATATAAATATCCATCGAGAACATCTCCAGCTACAGCGTAAACTTTTTCGTTCCATTCGCCTTCATAAATTGTAACCTCATCAATACCAAACATGTCATTGTATTCGCCCTCTTGAGCTTCTCCTTGCAAGAATGAACATGAGAATGAAAGTGTTTTGTTGCCCTTTTGAATTTCAACTTCGAATGATGGTTTGCTCTTCATCTCGCCCAACTCTGGCTTATCTTGTTCCATGTTAATATCAGGTTCCTCTTCAGTGTCGACAGTATGGTTAACGTTGAATGAAACGCTTACTCTGCAAATAGATACAGATACAAAATTAATAGTAAGAATTTAGGACAACGCAATTATATAAGTAAAGTTACTTCTCATTGCCAAGATCTTTCACGAAATCAACGTCTGCACCATCCAGCTTAACTTTGAATCCATCAATTTCTGATGGCAACGTCTTTTTCTTTTGAGCTTTTCGCTCAGCTACAATTTCTTCTGCAAGAAATTCTACCAGCTCTTTTTCGCCTGAAATTAAAAAGATTTATTATGAAATCCACACCGGATAGCCTCAAAGGTTTTACTGTGTAAAAGTAATTTTGAAAATCGCATTTATACCTTTTGTATGAATTTTACTCATTCCTGCACATCCACATTTGCAATTAAAAGAAGGATGCTTTAACTCAATCGAGTTAGTCGATGCAAAACTTTGACGATTAACCATGTGAAAAATTGTTCGGTTTTGAATTGATCTCACGATCGTTGGAAGGCCGGTTAACGATTTAATTGAACGGATGGATGACCTCAAGATAGCATTCATTTTGTTTTTGCTGCTTTAATCACTCTTTGTTCTTGAAATTATATTATAATAAATGCAATGCTTTCGGCTTTTGGAATTGTTTGCTTTTACCTTACTTTGTATGGGAAACTGGTGCCACCTGGTGGACTAGAATTTTAATGGGAACGTTCAATAAGAAAGTTCGTTTGTTATGAACACGTGATTGTTTTCAATTTTTTGTAGACTTTTTTAAATTTTGAGATTCTGTTAAAATATTTTCTCGTAAGTCAATTTAAAATTTATTCAAAATTCCTGGAAACAAAGAATAAATTGTAATGCATATTCAAGTGTTTCCCATTACATCATAAAAAGCAACTTTATTGAACTAAGTGAATTGAAAATTTCATCATACCTATTGAAAAATTAAAATATTTTGCATAAAATGAATGTACAAGATAATCGTAACAAAAGATTAATTCAATTCTTTCTCATAATTAAATAACTTGTGTCCTACTTTGGTTTTACCAGATTAATTTATTTTTACTGTTTTACAGAACATAAAAAGAAGAATAGAAGATAAAAAAATGTGCATTAAACTGAGATGCTTTCAAATGCATCGACAATCTTATTGATGTTATCGAAGATAAGATTGAAACCAAATTCTAAGGAACTCTCTTCATTTACATTCATCTGCTTCCTTAAAAAAATAGAACAGTCTCTTCACTTTAAATTAAAAGAATTCGAAAATATAAAATTCGACTCTTAAACAATTCTCTCGATTATTTTGAATTTCTTTCTTAAAGAATATTGCAATCAAAGAAATTAAAATTGGTAGGTAACTGTTATGCATAAATAATGATTGTTTACTACTTTATTCAATATGTCTAAAAAAGTTTTATTGTTGTTATCCTTGGCCAACTTTGAACCACGAATGTTTCAAATATGTTCTAAATCTTTAAAAACGATTATAAATCTATTTTTTGTTGCGTTTCTTTGACGCTTTTTCTTCTTTCTCATCACGTTCTTTGATATAGCCGTAATCATTGAGAGCTAAATATTCTTTATCACACTTCAAAAGCAACTGGAACCATTCTTCGCCATTAATAGTTGGAATATCGATAGTTCCATCATAACATTTCGGAAGACACTTTGGTGCAATATGTTGATGAAGTGAGTCTCTGTCATTGCCTGGAAAATGATGCGATTGCGCAACTTTTCGCGTAAGAATGGTTTGAACAAAGCAAACACCATATTGAAGATTTTCGGCTGATTAACAATATGAATTCCTTTGATGCGAAGTGGAACTGAATCTTGTAACCAATCAACAATTCTTTTGGCAAAAGGTGGAGTGAACTGCCAACACTGTTGAAGTGATAAGCCATCCATATCGAAAATCACAACAGCTCCGTTGACTTGTGTCTCCGGTTCAAGCATCGCTGCTTCTAAAAACAGCACACAGCCTTTGAAAACTTCATCCAAAGAAACTTCTTTATGTTTCCATTTCTCTGACGAACGAAAAAATAATTCAATTATTTAGCAATGATCATCATATTTGTGCGTCAGACTTACTTCCTAATTCGAGAAGAAGAATTCTTCTTCCAAGCTGATCACGCTGTGGAAAGACTGTGAGAATATTAGCCTTGAAAATGTTCTCTTCTTTTGACGGCATGAGTCCATAGTATACATCATGATGTTTGATTTTGAAGCTGTAATAACGCTTGATCTGAAAGACGTTTAAAGACATTTTTTCTTTTATGCGGTTGTTAAAACTCAATTCCATTTAAGTCAACATGGCTTTGATTGTACAAAAACAAAATTCGCGTACGAACAATTATGTTGACGTGAAAGAAATATTAATAAACTCATTTAGCCACTTGACTGTTAACAAATCGATTCAAGAATAATTTAACTTACAAGTTCAAGTGCACTTTCGGGGTAGTATTTGCAAGGTCGCAAGAATCTCACCATCCAATCATCATTGTCGATTGGAACAACCAAATCAGTTTCTGTTAAAAGATTGAAAGATTTTTTAAGTCAATGTTTCGTTAATAACGTCATTCAATCAAGAGATGAGTAATCAATAATTAAGAAAGGTCGTGTGATATTAGTCAAGCTTTCTCAGATAATTAACAAATTTTATTGCCATCATTTACATTTAATTATTAAGTATTCCCGTCCTATGCTTATTTAGTGTTTCCAATGGAGAGTCAAACTATTTAGCACATAATAAATGTAATGAAGAATGAGAATTATGAGTTGAAGGCCATTCGAAATGTTATTACAGAAAAATTCAATAAAAATAATTTAAGAGAGAAGCAGAATCACTAAGTAAGGGAATACATAAATAAGTTAAGATATATGATGACGTATTAAATGATTGCAAGAAAAACTCAAAGTCATGGTCAGCTGATTTGATCCATGAAGGTGAGACAAAAATTAACTTTTTACTTGCTAAGTTCACTTAAATTGATAATAATTATAAGTGTGTGGACCTCAGTAATTTAGAATGAATATTAAATATTAATCAATCGTAATTAAATCAACTTATTTAATTGCGGTATCAGAACACGGAAATGTCGTTTTTGCACACACACGCTTCTCAAAGCCAAACAAAGTTAAGTTAAAATGCAAAGAAATTAAGTCAGTGAAAATGTAAACTTTGTTGCATATTTCATAACTAGAAAAAGTGTTTAAAATGTAAATATTTTGACGTTAGTTTTGTTGATCTGTGGATTAAAATGTCAATCGAGTAACTTTAATGCATGAAGTGACGATGAACTTTGAGAGAAAATAAGCTTGATGCTAATGATAAATAAAAGTCATAGATGAAGCACAAATTAAATTTCAATGACTGACCTTGTTGTAACATTCGTTTAAGTTCCTTAATTCCATTCTCCTTGTTCACTGGGCTCTCTCTTAATTCCTTCTCAGCGACTTCTTTTCCAAAAGGCGTCAATTCATCAAGTTCAAATCGAAGAGTGAAATCTCCAAGTTTGATCGATGGAAGATCATCAAGTTCAGACAACATCGTGTAAAACCCTTTAAATTTTAAGAAATTAAAATGTTAACATTTCTTTCTTTTTCAAAAATGTTTTGTTGATTTTGCATTTGATATCAGCGTTTTTTTTCCTTTAATATGTAAACACGTTTTGGCTGTTTTTATATTCATTGTTATGACTCTTGTTAGTGTTTAAAACTCTTTTTCATATTTAGTAACTTTGACTCGTCTGACGACATTATCCTAGTTTGTTATGGCCAATTTTATGGTATTAAAAGTCGATTTGTCTTGAGGTGAGTTTATTTTTGTATATATTTCTCAATCACTCAAATGTTCCAATTGAACAAGACTTAAAAACTTAAACTTGTTTGGTTTTTTTTTCTATTCAAAATCTCTTAAAATGTTTTTATACTTACTCATTATTCGGCAATTTTTTTTTAATTCTTTGATGGCAAAGAACGTTTTGGATAATTTCTGTGTAAGTTTTGTTCAAATAATTAAAAAGACAAATTAATCATGACGTCAAAAATCTTAATGTCGTTGAAGTCAATTAATCAGTTTCTATAATTTATGAACTTTAAACCTGGCTCGTATTTTTAATTGAGATAAAAATCAATGTAATTAAACAAGTCTTTAGTCCATGAACTTAAAAGTTTTCAAGTACATTGAGCAATTTTGTTGCAACTTTCAATGAAGCAGTAAAAATTGATTTTCTATTTTTAGATAAGAATTGTCTAATTAACAAATCCTATTAAATCTCAAAATTCAAGTACAATCGATTACTCTCTGGCAGTTCGTATTTAAAAGTTCTTCTTGACTTCAACCACTTGTCACAAAGTATGAATGCTTATTTTTTGCTATTTCAACCTTCAGTAGATAATTCTTTCTTACGATGTTATGTTTGGCAAGTTTCTGTAACTACTGATGGTGGAATGATCCTAAAAGGCATCTTATAGCCGCAGACAATTTGTTGGTATTCTGTCTCACATCTTATTCACATTATTCGCAGTGCTTTTATTTATATCAGAAAAACGTTCAATCGAAGTTCTGCTGAAACAATTTCATGTGGATATACGAAGGCGAATAATTGTGTGGTGTATAAGTTAAGTTGTAGGATCAATTGATGGTGGACATTAATGTAAGTACATGCGATGAATGTTCATGCATACAATCTTACATGATTCCAAGACTATAAAAACATCAAAAGCTTTTAAGTTTATTGCGTGAGAAAATTTTATTAAACGCCGGTAAGTAAATTTATTATAAAGTCAATTAAAAAATTAACAATTTGATTGTTTTTCAGATGCAAATGAACTTGATAAATCATTTCAGCCTCAATTATTTTGATAATTTAAAAATATTTTCTTTTTTGCATCAGAAATTGCAGTAGAATGACAATGAGCTTTGCCTTCGGGGTTCTTGCCTATCATGAAA